CCTTCTCTAGCTGGCTACAACTGGTTATACCACCTGGTTCCCCTTTAGCTGGCTACAACTGGTTATACCACCTGGCCCCCCCTTCTCCACCTGGCTCTCCTTCGCCACCTGGCTACAACTGGTTATACCACCTGGCTCCCCCTTCTCCACCTGGCTCTCCTTCGCCACCTGGCTACAATTGGTTATACCACCTGGCACCACAACATCACCGATCTGCTCAACACCATCCCTCCCTTCCCCCAGTTAGTAGCTGCTACGGCGTATCTCATTTAGTTGACTGTGTAATTGGCCCATTAGTGATATGCAATTTATATTCTGTGTAAACATTTACCAAAGATTTAAAAGATGCTGCTCATCTGAACTCTGACGTTGTGTTGCGTGGCGTCTCTAAGCCAATGGGGAACAGGTGACATTATGATGAGAGGTAAAATATCAGCCAATCAGCGCGGAGCTCCATGACGTAATACGAGAGCCTGAGAGTCGTATTGGCTCTGGAGCGCTGACTTGACGAGCGAGCCTAGGAACGGACCGAACACCCTCACCGGAATACCTGACATTCTGTATCACAGTTCCACTAAATCAGTCTCATTTAGTAAGTCTATATTTGATACCAGGTCCACAGGTAATATAGCAATCATGCGTATCATGGCACCTGATGCTATATTAACCATACAAGAGGTTAATATATTAACCTATAACCTATTAATATATGCTATATTAACCATACACTATAGATACCATACCTAACAGCAAAACGTTCGTACATTGGTACTATAGAAACATTAGTTAGCCTAAGCCTGCAATGATGACATCTGGATCACGAGTAATCATACCATTCACTACAATTATCACCAAGACATTGATACTGATATTAACGCTTCGCGGCCATGTTAAACATAATACCACTGCTGACCTTAAGACATGTCATGACGGGACGACAGCGTCCCTTGATGATGAGAGGGACGGTATCGGCCAGTTAAGGGACGGTATACACCAACTTAAGAGACGGCATCGGCCATTTTCGGGACGAAATTTGACATCATTTTGCTCTGCAAAATGATGTCAGAACGACTGAAGCATGTAGAATGATGTCAGAAAGAACGACTCAAGCAAGTAGAGTCGTAGATGTGTAGAACAGAGCCTGGGGTGAGGGTAGTGATGGTAAACAATGGCTGGCTTTGTTGCCTGACTACTGATAATGTTTATTCAAGCTAAGACAAGCATCAAACTGTTTACAAGGTACTCTCTTGGTTGGTCTGCTCTCTCTCTCTCAATCTCTCACTGCGTATGCTGGGGTTGAACTTCGTCTCTTTAGTTATAATAATAATAATAATTTATTTAGGAACAGTACATACATAGTCACAGCGTTACAGTACAAACATTCTGTTAGATTTAAAGATAGAGGTAGTACATACAATACCTAAAGAGACTAGTACGCATAGCGTTTCGGGCAAAGTACGCATAGCGTTCGATGAGCTCACAATAAGATTAATATAAATTATAAGTCCGTGATGAAAGCAGTTCGATGTTATGTGCACTTCTAAGCCTTTTGTCCAAACTGGAAGGTGCAGAAGGGTTAGTGATGGCCTTAAGGCCTATCAACCTCTGGAGGGTTATTAAGGCCACCACAGTAGCGTACTCACCAATCAGCAAGAATACTTTAGCCCTGAATTAAACTCAGTATATATACACCGAGAAGCGATACACCTATCTGTGTAAATAATATACCTTATAGCATGTCAAGGGAATATAACTTCATATACAGCTCCCCACAGCGAGGCTGCTGGCTGGATGGTGTTTATGGAAAGCCTTCACAATAATATTAATATAAATTATAAGTCCGTGATGAAAGCAGTGTTTAATATACATTTGTTTACTTTAAAAAATAAAAATGTAAATACAATTTTGTGAAACTTTCTCAAACAAGTTTTGGACAAACTTGCTCTAAACTGTGTTCGATTATTTTTAACCAGCCAGTTTAGAATTGTTGTGCTCTCCTGGAGCCCCGGGGCCAGACTTCCCTGGTTTTGTGACCCTCGTATCGTTACTCTGCCCCAGTGGGCGTCCCACACCAACCATTTCCACCGTATCCAACCCCCTAGGTATGGCGTCATTTCAGTAAGGCTGTATTTCATTATGCAGCGAGGAAATATACATGTTCACTAACCCAGCTTAGCCTAACGATACACAGTTTTATCAATTAGAAAACGAGCAATGTGCCTGTTACGGACCCGAGCCCAGCGTCCGAGCACGGAGCAGTGACGACCGCGCCATCTGTGGGTCAGCTCCCGAAACCCCCTCCAAATGGACGACGCCATCTAGTGAGGACAGGATATACCGGCCACAGGGGCTGGTTTCCCGTCTTGATCAGCTCATAACATAGCCGCTGCTGACCTCTGGTGAGGTGGCGCTTAGACAGCAACGCCATCTATGGAGTGGATAGGTGGACGTTTGTGTCTAAGCCTGTAAGTGAGGTGCCCTAGAATGTAACCAGTACTGAGGACGTGTCTGATTACAGAGTCGACCTGGGACTGCTGTAGTGGACGTTGGATCAGTCTACCCAAGGCAGCCGAAGAATCTCCACGTGTTTGCTGCAGCAGCTGTGAGTCACCCCCCCCCCCCCTGGATGAACACTGTTGTGTTAGCCTGCCTGTGAGGTGGCAGAACCAGGGATTGTCGTACCCGGGGCTGACTGGTGGAGAAGACTAGCCACTGGGGTGTTGTGGTGAGGAGAGTGATCTGTGGAATCACACGAGGCTCCTGCCTAGGGCTCGCAACCCTAGTATCGGTCGTGGAGTGGCCTAACCAGCGGAACTGATTGGAACCTGCCAGCTACAGGCTGGATTTGTGGTTGAAGGCCTCCACGACGGTGCCCCCAGTGGAACTGTGAGTTGGCTGGCCTGTGGCCGGGGTAGACTCGCTAGGAGAATCTAAGGATTCGTCGAGAGGCCACAAGAAGAGAACCAGGGCTACTCGCCTTGAGCACCGTTAAGCAGAGCATCCTGTGTCTTCAGAAGAAGACAATTCATTGTACATTATAGTGTTTATACCCCGCGTGTGACTGTTTATATATTTATTTATGGTGGTGGTTTAATAATAAGTTTAGTGTAATTGTATCCCTTCCCCTTTAATTTACTTGCGTTACGGAACACACCCCTTGAAAGCCACTACTAGCTTGGGGCCGGATACCCAAACTCTACTAACATCAGAGAAAGAACCCAGTTGCGACCCAATAGGGCCGTAACAGTGCCTGACGACAATGTTGACCGTATCCTACTGAAACAGCCTGTGGTTTAACACCCATACCTTACCTTGAGGTGCTTCCGGGGCTTAGTGTCGCCGCGGCCCGGTCGTCGACCAGGCCTCTTGGTTGCTGGACTGATCAACCAGGCTGTTGGACGCGGCTGCTCGCAACCTGATGTATGAGTCACAGCCTGGTTGATCAGGTATCCTTTGGAGGTGCTCATAAGTGCTGAGGTGGACATAAGACTAAATTTTTAAATAGTTGAGAGAGGTCCCCCAAAATCAGCATTAAGTACAACACTAAAGGGACATTTAACCAAAAGATGTGATAACAGAATCATTCCATGTCAATCTGCAGTTGTTCAATGTCATGGCCCCATTATTTTCCCAATTGTACATCTTAACAATCCTCTGTATCTATTTACAATGTCTGAATATCTGTCTAAAATACGCTTGGGGCTAACTTACCCACAACTTTCCAAGATGACACGTTGGGGGAATGTGAATATCATAGGCCAGTTGGGAACAACCCCCCCCCCCTCCCCAGTGCCACTGCTTAAGAAATATCAGCATCTATAGCGACCCGCCTGCGATTTTTATCGTCTAGTTTTCATGAAATCTCAAATTAGGGACGCGTTTTCTGTAAAGTTTTAAGAATTTTTTAGCGCTTAGTAATATTAATTTTCTGAGGGGAGGGAGAGCCAGAGAGGCGGATGTTGGAGGAGACAGGAGATGAGAGAAGGAAAAATGAGAGAAGAGATGGAAATTAGATGGAGGGAAGAAGAGAAAGATGGAGAAAATGTTGGGGAAAAAAAGGGGAGGGAGGATGTTAGGAGGACGGAGAGAGATAGGTGGAGAGGGGGAAAGATGGGGTGGGGTGGGGGGTGACGTGGGAAAGGTGGAAGAGACCCGGACACACTGTGTTAACGCCAACTTAGTTCTTTATATAAATAAATAATACTATCGCCAGTCGCATGTACTGTATCTGTTGTTGATATCCTCCTGAATCTTCTCCTCCCCCCCCTCCTCACCCGAGCACCACCTGGTGCACCCTAACCCTCACCCTAGCACCACCTGGTTCACCCTAAACCTCACCCTAGCACAACCTGGTTCACCCTAAACTTCATCCTAGCACCACCTGGTTCACCCTAAACCTCACCCCTAGCACCACCTGGTGCACCCTAAACCTCACCCTAGCACCACCTGGTGCACCCTAACTCTCACCCTAGCACCACCTGGTGCACCCTCACCCTAGCACCACCTGGTTCACCCTCACCCTAGCACCACCTGGTTCACCCTCACCCTATCACCACCTGGTTCACCCTAACCCTCACCCGCATATAAATAACATATTACCCAAAGCGCGTCAACGAGCCACAAGAAATCTGTGAAAAATGTGTAACAAATTTTAAACAAATTAACCCGTGGGAAACTGCGTAGCCTACAAGGTAATGGGGGCATGAACTCCTTAAATAAATATAGTTATGACACCTAAATCGAGATTAGGACTAAATATTAGGCCTACAAATGCGCTAATTTGATGAAACGATTACGAAAAAATATCCTAACTCCTAGGCATAAATAAGCAATCATAGGCTTAACATTCACAGTCTTAGTTCTAGTTTTGAACATCTGTAATAGGCCTAGGAAAACATGGGTTTGCTTATTGTTGTCTTGCTAGGCCTCTGTACAAAATTAATATTGTAAAACTTGGATTGTGCGCGCGAGTCCATGTTTAGTACTGCCATAGTAAGCAGCTATATGCACGTAGATGACATGTTGTTGGATGACATGTTGTTGGATGACACGTTGTTGGATGACATGTCTGTAGAAAATATAAAATATATTTGTATATTTTAGACGTGTCACGAGCTACAGACGTGACACGAGCTACAGACGTGACACGAGCTACAGACGTGACACGAGCTACAGACGTGACACGAGCAACAGACGTGACACGAGCTACAGACGTGACACGAGCTACAGACGTGACACGATCAACAGACGTGTCACTAGCAACAGACGTGTCACGAGCTATACAGACGTGACACGAGCAACAGACGTGACACGAGCTATACAGACGTGACTGACACGAGCAACAGACGTGACACGAGCTACAGACGTGACACGAGCTACAGACGTGACACGAGCTACAGACGTGACACAAGCTACAGACGTGACACGAGCAACAGACGTGACACGAGCAACAGACGTGGCACGAGCAACAGACGTGTCACAAGCAACAGACGTGTCACAAGCAACAGACATGACACGAGCAACAGACGTGACTACACTGTAAACATTCTCCCAAGCTTTATAACATAACCCAAATATTGATCAGCCGGCCAGCTGAGGCAGTCACTACACTCACCTCAGCGACGTGTTGGTCACCTCAGCGACGTGTTAGTGTTGCTCGCTCCTGTCTGGCTAACCCCAGTATTCAGTCACTGGTGATGACTTGTCGTGGGCTCCAGTGACACTCAATCACCTAGAAAATGAACTGTTCTGTGCCAGTTTGGGGTCTCGGTAGAAACTATTCCCAGGGCGATTAAATGTTGTTTTTAATGTGTTTGTAAACTATAGCTCATTGTCAACACCGCCAATCAGACCCAGGAAGCCTGTTATGCTTTATTTTACTTTTTAGTTCTACATGTCCATTCAATATTTCACTCGTTTCACAGTTTTATATAAATAATTGGTGGAACGACACTCCCCCGAGACACTCAGACGGCGACTGACGATGGCGCCGCAGCCGCTGCCATCAGCTGGTACGCCTCGCTGCCAAATGTCCTACCTACCATTATTATCCCCCTCGCTTCATACCTTATATCACTATGAATCACGTATATGTAGAGATTTATAGCTTTATATTTATAGCGGTATTAAAGTTATACCGTATGTAAGACGTAAAATCCAGTGGTCAGATGCTAATTATATTCCAGGTGACATTCATGGCGAACGTTGGCAACTGAGGGCAGGAACATGCGGACAGCTTGCTGGATGGTCTGTATGGACCAGATATATTGGGCCATCTCCAAGACATTAACATAACCCTCAAGACATATCCTTATCTTAATAAAGAGATATTGTGCAAACAGACAAGGCCTTATTGTCATTGGATTATCAAGGCAGAGCTGGGAACTATGGTACACCACGCATGCGACACGTTGAAGCCAGTCGTATACACATGCTGCAGTCTTTGTCTCGAAAAACATTTATTTTTGTGTTATTTGGGAGAATTTGATGTCAGGTAGTCGTAACGTCTCTAAGCGGAAGAAGTACACCCCTCAACACCCAGCTGGACACCCCTCAACGCTTAGCACCATGAAACATTCTTCTGTAATTTCATTTGGAAACGTGTATGTGGGATATTGCCTTTGTTTACATGCGCAGGTATAGAGGAATGGTCATGATGCTGCTATACACCTTCCTCTCCTGCTGCTGACACACCCTCCTCTCCTGCTGCTGCTACACCCTTCTTTCCTGCTGTTGCTACACCCTCCTCTCCCGCTGCTACTGCTGCTGCTACACCCTCCTTTGCTGCTGCTGCTGCTGCTGCTGCTGCTGCTGCTACAGCCTCCACTGTCGCTGCTGCTACAGCCTCCACTGTCGCTGCTGCTACAGCCTCCACTGTCGCTGCTGCTACAGCCTCCACTGTCGCTGCTGCTACAGCCTCCACTGTCGCTGTTGCTGTTGCTACAACCTCCACTGTCGCTGCTGCTGTTGCTACAACCTCCACTGTCGCTGCTGCTGTTGCTACAACCTCCACTGTCGCTGTTGCTACAACCTCCACTGTCGCTGCTGCTGTTGCTACAACCTCCACTGTCGCTGTTGCTACAACCTCCACTGTCGCTGCTGCTGTTGCTACAACCTCCACTGTCGCTGTTGCTGTTGCTACAACCTCCACTGTCGCTGTTGCTGTTGCTACAACCTCCACTGTCGCTGTTGCTGTTGCTACAACCTCCACTGTCGCTGTTGCTACAACCTCCACTGTCGCTGCTGCTGTTGCTACAACCTCCACTGTTGCTGTTGCTACAACCTCCACTGTCGCTGTTGCTGTTGCTACAACCTCCACTGTCGCTGCTGCTGTTGCTACAACCTCCACTGTCGCTGTTGCTGTTGCTACAACCTCCACTGTCGCTGCTGCTGTTGCTACAACCTCCACTGTCGCTGTTGCTACAACCTCCACTGTCGCTGCTGCTGTTGCTACAACCTCCACTGTCGCTGCTGCTGTTGCTACAACCTCCACTGTCGCTGCTGCTGTTGCTACAACCTCCACTGTCGCTGCTGCTGTTGCTACAACCTCCACTGTCGCTGCTGCTGTTGCTACAACCTCCACTGTCGCTGTTGCTACAACCTCCACTGTCGCTGCTGTTGTTGCTACAACCTCCACTGTCGCTGCTGCTGTTGCTACACCCTCCTTTCCTGCTGCTGCTGCTACACCCTTCTTCTTTCCTGCGTTGCTACAACCTCCACTCCCGCTGCTACACCCTCCTTTGCTGCTGCTGCTGCTGCTACACCCCTACTTTCATGCCGCTGCTGCTGTTGCTACAACCTCCACTGTCGTTGTTGCTGTTCCCTTGTCTCGCCGGTTATATGATGACCACAAAAAAATTATTCCAAAGCAAGCATGGTCTTTCCATTGGGCTTTTTGGCTGTGTTGGGAATTATATTTTTTCAGTTTAGAGGTTTTGCGTTTGGGGAGGGACTTACATCTGGTTGGTGTTTGGGGGCTTGTTTTTTTCTAAGCGATTGCGGGCGATGGTTTGTTTGAGAGAGTAGATGAAATAAATTAGAACCATGTCATCAAATTAAAAAAAAATATAAAATTCAAATTCAAATGTTTATCCAGGTAAAGTACATACTGTACATACAAGGGGTGATACAAATATTGATGAACTTATAGATAGAGCTAGTATATACAATGCCTAAAGCCACTATTACGCAAAGCGTTTCGGGCAGGAAAAACACTAAAGACTGAAACTTAATACTAACTGAGATTAAAGTATAAAATGTGTTGAGAAAATAAAAAAATTAAAAACGGGGGGAACATGGCAAAAAAACAGCAAAAATACAATTTGGTCAACAAACAGCATTTATTAAAAATAGCAGACATGGGTTGACATTATTGGGGTAAGGTAGGTTACAGGGAGTTAATTAGGTAGTGCTTAGTTTTTATCTTAAACTGGTTGAGAGAGGTACAGTCTTTAACATGATTGGGAAGGTCATTCCCCATTCTGGGTCCTTTGATTTGTAGAGCATTTCTAGTTTGATTAAGTCGTACTCTTGGAATATCAAAAAGGTATTTGTTTCTGGTGTGGTGCTCATGGGTTCTGTTACAACTTTCAATGAAGCTTTTAAGGTCAGGATTGCTCTACAACAAGTAACTTGAACTCCAAACTTTTCCAGATATTCTAAACAAAGCTAGAATAACCCCAGTCCATATATGTGGTGATCTCACTGATTGTCAACAACTTCAGACCTATATCAATTCTGCCAAACTTGTCAAAAATATTTGAAAAACTAATCTACAAGCAACTTTACTCTTATCTAGCCAAACACAATATACTAAGCTCTTGCCAATATGGTTTCAGACCCAAATAAAGCACTAACGATGCACTTATTAGTATGATTAACTTGATACATGTAGCTCTTGGTAAAAATGAGTTCCCTGTTGGGATATTTGTGGACCTACGTAAGGCTTTTGACACAGTCAACCACCAAAACCTTCTTAAATTACATCATTATGGAGTCAGAGGTCACTCCCTGTAATACCTACCTTACTGACAGGCTCCAGTGTGTTTCTGTGAATAATTCCATTTCTCCGACACTACCTATAAACATCGGTGTCCCACAGGGCAGCATACTTGGCCCTCTCCTCTTTCTCATCTACATTAATGACCTTCCAAATGCCTCCCAACACCTCAAACCAATCTTATTTGCTGATGACACAACTTTCATCTTCTCCAGTCCTGACCCTCTTGCTCTAATTGTCACTGTGAATACTGAACTAAATAAAGTCCATCTTTGGCTAACTGCTAACAAACTCACCCTTAACATTGACAAAACTTTCTATATTTTGTTTGGTAACAAATTCTCAAATGAAATTCATTTAAGAATAAACAATATGCAAATCAGTAGTAAAGTTGATTGTAAATTCCTTGGTGTCCTCATCGATAACAAGCTGAATTTCCAGGGACACATTCTAAATATAGCAAAAAAAGTTTCTAAAACTGTTGGCATTCTTTCTAAGATCAGATATTATGTTCCTCGCCCTGCCCTGGTGACGCTCTATTACTCTCTTGGATTTCGTAGTTTAGGGTTCTTTATATTTATTATAATAGCCTCTTTGCTATTACTCGCCTTTTTGGGCTGATGTCATCACACTCACATGACGGTGAGAAATAGAGCAGCAATTGTCATATTAGTGTTGGTGTGCAGTGTCCCGTGATCACTGTGGATGCTGATATAAACCAAGTGTAATTCCTCTTCTGGTCATTAGTGTCAAACTAAACTCTCAAGTGGGTTGGCTGACCATTACCAAAGACTCTTGTCACAGGAAGTGTGAATATAACATAATCAGAAATATTAATCCTTTAAAGAAAATTATAAAACAGTATAACTATAAAACAGAGGTGATAGTACTTTCATTAGTACTATCTTTCTATAAAACAGAGGTGATAGTACTTTCAGGAGGGACTGAAAAATTTGACAAACTCAAATGGAGGTGGTGCCCACTCAATCACCAGTTGGCAGCTTTAGGCTAAAACTAAAAAAAAGTGTTACAAAATAACATAACTCTTCAAACTAGTAATAAACTACCACGTAAATACTGTTTGTAGGTAATGGAAGGAAATTATTAATAAAACCTTTTTGTATTTGGATTTTTATTTATAGTAAACCTTACCATTCACACAATACAATGTAGTCTAAATAACATTTCATAGGAATATAAACACTAACTAATCCTAACCGAAAAAACCGAATGCTAACATAATAAAATTAAACTGTAATAAGAGGGAAATGTTGTCTGGGAATATCATGAATGGGCTAAATGTGTTCATAACACATTAAGAGTAATACGGTACGGCATGGCCACGGCGGCGGTATAATCCGGGCGGAGCCGACGCATATATTACAGCACAAGTTACAAGTACAGTAGTGACACTACACTTGTGTCCGCACCAATGATCGAAGGTTCGGCAGCGGCGCTTCCGGCATACGAGCGCTAGTACGGCCGACGGTCCGATGGGTTGTAACTGCAGCAACAAGGAAGGGGAGGCGAGTTAGTTCTAATTTGTGCCCTCCTTACATCAAATCTAATTCTAATGAAAATAAAGAAACAAACTTACAAACTATACCCCATGATTGCTACATAATCTAAAGTTAAAATTAAACCATTTATTATATTGAGGTTCCCTGTATAATGTTAAAACTTGTCTACAGTTTACTTACCTATGTAAAGACGTATGGCCAAGGGAGTAGCTGAAACAAAAATATATAAAAGTGAAAAAAGTGAAGCTCTGATAAAAGATCATTTATCCTGGCGAGTTGATAAGACTTCTCACTCAAATCTAATACACACCCCCACACAACCAATGTTAATGGTGTAATGGTGAAAGTTCCCATTATTAGAGTGTTTATGAATCTAGTGCATTAAGTTGAGGGCGAGGGCATATCCTGTTGCATCTAAGTTCACCCCATCCCCCACCTCTACCTTTTTTCCTTATCTTAGAATAAAAAAATTACTAGGGTTCATAAGGGCTGTCAGTTGAGGCACCTAGTGAAACTGCAAGAAAAGGCTGTTATCCAACCTCTGCCCACATGAGGTCTACCCCCCTAGAAACCTAAGCTTTTTTATAATGAATGAACTTTATTTAAATCTAAGTAACAGGCTGAGCTGGTAGCCAACTGAGTGCCAGAGCCTTCATGTGATCAGCTGACTTGATCTCCCAGGTATCAACCTGATGTCAAGTGAACAAGTACCAAATGCAAGTCAGCCTGGGAATGAATGATTGCTGATGGAGTGATGTTCTTGAGAAAGGCAGTTCCAAAGCGAAATGATGGCCGAGAGCCTCGTGTCACGGGTGCCAACTATTGGGTGTCCACCAAGTTGGGCCAGGTGCAGAACTTTAAGAATGTTGGCTTTGTACATATTGTTAAGTTGACAAACATCACAGTAGTGTAGGAGGCTCCAATGTTCAGACCATTCCCACCAGACTTGGCCACGACAAGAGATGAGCCTTCTTGCATGGTTCGCCACTTTGCCTGTCTTCCATCATTCATCAGAATTTTGGACAATCCTCCTCTCTCTCTTCTCTATTCTCTTTCTTTCTCACAGAGAATATAATGCTGAAATCACATTCTTTGAAATCTAGGGACTCTCCTAGCAAACTTTCACCGATTATCAGTCCCCATGGCATACTGGAAAGACACTCGCCTGGCATTTCGTGAGCGCATTGTCCTGGGTTCATATCCTGGCCGGGGAGGATTTACTGGCCACAAATCCTTAACTGTAGCCCCTGTTTACCCAACAGTAAAATGGGTACCTGGTTGTTAAATGATTTGGCGGGGTCCCATTCCGGTGAATATTAAAATTAAGGACCTGCCCGAAATGCTGTGTGTTAGTGGCTGTACAAGAATTTAAGTAAGTAATTATCAAAAGAAGGCACCAAACTGGAAAGGCTATGTAGCATCAACAATTGTGCGGAATAATCAGAGGACTCTAAATATCACCATGGATGCCAATACGAGAACAGAAACGCATAAGGCGAACAATATCAAAAGTATCCGATTCACCAAGAACAAGAATGTAAGAACTCTTGTATATATAAATACAAATACCAATTATAGAGGGAGGAAGGAGGGGGGGGGGTGGTACTGGACCTGACCCTTCTTAACAAGACTGACTTTGAACAGCCAATGTCCATCCCATACCCGAGATCATTCACCCTGCAAAGTTGGGCGAGGCCAGCACTGAGCATCTGACCTTTAACCTTGGAAAGACATTCTCTTTTAGCTCTGGTTATCTATATTTTTTAAACATATCTTAATGTTAGAAACTTATTAATTTATTAAGATAACATTTAATTTCCCTGTTTCTAGGGTTCCCCAATTTTTTTAACCTAGACCTAAATATAACAGCAAATACAAATTATGCTATCAAATCTCTCCATAACCATAACCTGCATGCTTTAGTGAATTAAGATCCTGAAGTGGATCTTAATTCACTAAAGCACGCAGGTGTGGTGTTGCCTCCCAGTACTTGAGGATTTTAATAATTTTGTTTTTAAATTTACTGTTTGCAAGTAGAAAGATATCTACCAGCCAGAATAGTCTGAACTACTGACAAGACCAAACCGAACAGGAGCTATCTTAGCTTAGATAAAAATGTTAAATTGATGCAGACAAATTATCATGGCTGGGGAGTGAGGATGCTGAAATCTTTCATCTGACAGTACAGTACTGTATAGTTAATATGAATAGAAGTACAAAATATGCACTATTGTACCACAGGAAAGGTCATATTTTTGCAATAATTTTGTAGGACAGAGAGAAAGCAACAACAAACCCTAACTTTTCCTAGGCTCTATATCTTAGCCTTAATTTTATACATTAGACCAAGAACAGATTAGGATTATGGCTACTCTCACTTTGTTATTCCCTTTAGAATCCGATAGTATAAAATGAACTTTCATAAGAGATTCACCAGTCCATATTTTGTACATTTCATCTATAGTAGCTATAGATACAGTACTATCAACTTTAGAGTTGGGATGCTAAGTTTGGTGTTGACACTTGTATGGGTTGTGACAGAGGACAAATCCAACAGAGAACGTTCTGATGGTAAAGATTAGATAAAGATTTTCACCTGTCAATGAGTTTGATCAAGCAGTTTACAAGAAGTGCTTGACTGTGGTTAGCCACAATATGCATGAGTTTTATCACATTTAAATTACATAAAATTGTTTTAATATACAATTGTACTTAAACCTACAACAGTTGACAAAATACATCTTTGTGTAAGAAAATTACCAAAAATGTTGTAATAAAAAAAAAAAGCCAATTATCCCTCTCAAATGCAGTTAAAGACTGGAACACAGTCGTTAAAGATTTTGTATGATATGTGGAACAACGGAGAGAGGGATATTGGATAAAATAAATACCCAGGATACAGATGTTGGATCCCTGAGAAGTTATGAAATGGAGAAATATTACAACGGATAATAAGAGATATCCTTACTTACTAGTTACTCCTCGGGAAGAAAAACACAGTAATAAATCTAGTGTGAGCTATTTAAAAAATGTATAGCATTTTAGTGATGGAATGGATTAAACAATGTGATGCTGTGGAGTGTTAAATATGGTGTGAAGTAACAGGTGCATTAGGAGAAACACTTGAAAATCATCTGAATAGGATAGAGTAATTAGTGGAATTTACAAAGAGAGATACAGCTATGATAGGCAACCAATATCCTGACAAAAACATTTTTAAGAATATGCATGGTCAAAACTCCCACATAAAAAGAAATTCAGTAACTATAAACTACCCCAGGAAGGAATAAAGACGAATAAAAAAAAAAGGAACTACAAATGACCCCAAGCAAGAAAAGAAAAAAAAGCTTGCAGAATATAAGTGTACCTAGAGCCTGTTGTTATGACTACACCCTCGTGCAGGAACACATGACTTAGTACCGGAGGAAAATCTGACCACTGGCAAATGACAAAATGTTGACCCTTTCTTCATGTAAAAAGACAAACAGGAGGTTTATACATATACAAAATATACAGGTTTAATCCTATATGACTAAAGTTTTAAATGCATACTATATCAATGAAGGCTTTAAATCAATTTCAAATAAGAAACAGATTGCAAAAAATAAAAAAAAATAAAAAAATGGCTAGCTTTGCCATAAAACTTTCTAAAGGCTTTTTATTACCTAATACCACACAATGTGTGTGACAACTAAAACAAAACAATGAAGGAATACAAACACCTTGTGTAACTGAGGCACTCTACTCACCGTTTTACCTAGGTCACTGACCAACAAAAACAGAAAATCTATATTTGTTGTAAACCCTCAACTCAGGTCAGGCATAATGCTGCAGTGGATGGGGTGGTAGTGGGGTGTGGGAGATGGGAGGGAAGTAGAGTGCTTACCTAATATTGTGAGGAACAAGCTGTAACTAATAATAGGAAACCACCTCATAGCCATGTTACATTGAGCAGAATCTAATTTCATGACATCCTGGTACAATGCTATGTCACTCTGTCATCCTCTGGATCATTTGTTTCCAAACTAGCCTTTCCTATCACTTGAACCCAATCAAGAATATACCGAGCCTTCCTTACAGGAAATTGCTTGTTGTTGGTAAAATAAAACTCACAACAGCTCAGAAAGCAAATGACTCCTGATATTTACCGAGATGAAGTTGCAAGTCTACTAAACTGTAGGTAATCAGGCGGAAGAGGAGGAAGACGTGGTTCATACATATCCTGAAAAAGAGAGGTTATTAATACAAATAACTGTGTTAAATACTGTAAGAGTTACTGTAACACAATACTCCAAGTATCAGGCTGAGCCTTGGGAGTAGAAATATTCCTGGAACCCACCACAGATAACTGGGAAAATAATTTGTTCAACAATATCACTCATTAAATTCACTAGGTATCCTCCAAGTGCCTACCTATGCAAGTATTTAATTTCATAATTATATTTATTGGAATATTATTTTTCCTTGCAATATAGTAGTCCAGAAATAAGATCCTGATGTTGGGCAAAAAGTTTGGAACTAAAGTTGATGCAAAACAAGTAAAACATATTTTTTAAATTATTCATAATTTAAGACCCATTAAGCTTGGACAATGTTTCCCCAATGGCCAGATTACCTAGTTTTAAAGAAATTGTGATGGGCACTTCAACATCACAGTTAATTAGCAGACGTTAGGAACCATTGCAGTTTTACTAGCTTCATAATTTATAGCACATTAATTTACTTGCTTCCTTGGCAAATTACTTTACAAAAAGTGTTTTTTGTAAGTTCTATTTATTATCTATAACGACAGTTAACCTAAAAAACCAGCGTTGAATGTAATGAAACGCCTTTTTCTGGGCGAGTCCCGGAGGCTCCCCGGAGCTTACTAGGCTGATATGCTAATGTCAAACTTTGGCATCAGTCATGTGTATGAAATTCTGTGGGCCTACCGGGGACCACGAGCCAGAATCTGGCCCCCTCTAAAAAGGCAAGGGAAGCAATGGCCTATAGAAACCCCCCGTGTGATTGGAAGCATTTCATGTCTGCCATCGACCAGGTTAGGCACCCAGAAAGGTCCCAAGCGGAAGGAAGGTCCGAAGGAAGTGTCCCAAAACAAACCCCTATTCTGGTGAAAATTGCAACCAAAAGCCGAACGAGTGGATAGAACTCCCCAAACAAAAACGAGCAAATTAGAATGACGTCACCCGTTGTCGCGCCGCTGTCTGCGCAGCTCCCCGCTCCCCGGGAGGGGGAAGGGGAAGCCCCAGACCCACCACCCCAACGATCCACACCCCAGTTCTGAGGCTGGATGTCAAATCACGCGAAAAACCGCCGACCGGAGGGAGGGAGGGAGGGATGCGGGGGAGCCTCAGGGACTCACCCAGAAAAAAGGCGTTTCATTACATCAAACGCTGGTTTTCTGGGGGGAGCCCCTATGGCTCCCCGGAGCTAAGTACCCACAGAGGAAATAATAGGGACTTACCCGGAAGGCGGTTGCTGCTCACTCCTCAACCCGAAGTTGAGACAACTCGCTGCATCCGCGGCCGCCAAAATCTCCGCGCCCGAATGTCATCCCAGGACATATTGCCGAAGACGGCGGCAAGAGCTGCGAACTTGCGGACGTAATGGGCACAGGGATAGACCGCAGGCTAGCCTTAAAAACACTGCGGAGGACCTGGGAGACCCGCACCCTCGAACAGGAAAGAAGGGAAACCGGATCAACCCGAAGCGAGTCCACGGACAGAGAAGCCGTGGCACGCAAATAACGGCGGAGAGCCGCAACCGGACACAAAACATGATGCACCCCCGGCCTAACCAACCAAGCATCAACAACCCAAGGTCCCCTCCAGAAAGCCGCAGTCTCATTCTTCGCCAGTAAAGGAGAAGGCTGCAGACAAACAAACCGATCTCCCCGACTGAAGGAGCAGAAACCTCTGTGCCAGAGGAGAGCATGAAGCTCACCAACCCGACCCCCAGAGGCCAATGCCAACAGGAAAAGAGCCTTCGAACAACAATCAGGAACTGAAGGGGCCACAACAAAATGAGGAGAAGACAGAAAAAAAAGCACTCTGTCCAAAGACCAAGACGGCTCAGGCGGCGCATGAGCAGGATAGAGGTAAAACAACGCCCGAGACAGCTTGCAAAATGGTGCAGACGTGACATCAATACTGAAAGCAAGCTGAAGCGGCTCCGCCAGCTCCGCACAATACGAAGCGACAGTGTTAGGCATAAGGAGACGGTCCTGGAACAACCAAGAGAGAAAGGACAACACCTCCCTAACAGACAGCGAAGTACAACGATGAAGATGTAAAAAGAACCAGAAGGACCGCCAGGAAACTTCATACTGCCGCCGAGGCGAAGCCCGCAGGTGGGACACTAATAAGGAAGACACCTGATCACCATAGAGGTGGTGATAAACTTGAGTCAAAAATACCATACGCGAAGACTCGAGGAGAAGATCGAACCATCCACGTGACGTACCGGTCCGATCTGCTGGAAGAGGCGGAGCCGCGGGAAAACCTCCGGGTTCGGACACAAAGCAAGCAGCGCCTGAAACCACGGCTGGGCCGGCCACCAAGGGGGTCAAGAGGACAACTCTCCCTTGGTAAGTCTCCAAGCGAGTCAGGACCTGGAGCAACAGCTGAACCGGGAAAAAGAGGTACAGGAACCCCCACCTCTGTCAGTCCTGCCGAAAGCCGTCGATCTGGATGGCCTCGCAGTCGAGAAAGGATGCTACACACAGTGAAAGGCGCAGCGACAACGCAGACGCGAAAAGGTCCACCTTGGGGCATCCAAATGTCTGGCAAAGCCAACGGAAGGAGTCGGCGTCGACCATCCATTCCGTGGAGAGGGGAACGAAACGAGACAGGCCATCGGCCAAGACGTTGGACACTCCCTGCATGTGAACTGCCAGGAGAGCCAAACCCCGAGAACTCAGCAGACAAGTCACCTGAAGCGACCGGCGCCAAAGAGCCAAGGACTGCAGCGAACCCTCCCGGTTCAGACAATGAACCACCGGGAGGGAACAAATTCATATTCACTAACCATTAATAACATCTGTAATTATATTAATTAATGTTCCCAACATTCCACAAATCACTTAGGAAAGCCAAAAGTATCCAGCTCGTTTCCCGTGAGGCTAAATGACGATCAACTTGCCAGAAATAAACTGTGTCCAACACAAGATCAGGCAAAGCATGAATATGAGCTGATCAGTAATGTAGCATCGTCAATCTAGCTACAATAGTGGTTCGATGACAATCACTTTGGATATACCATGGATCTTCTCCGATGCCATCAACATTCATCAGATATGATGTAACACTCGACTAATCTAGGTCAAACTATCACACAAGACTCTACAGGGCTTGCTACAGAACAGACGGCTAATTCCGGCCTTATTTGAGCTACCTGCTTTCACCCCGCATTCCAACTCTCTAATCCCACCCTGACCCTGCATTCAATCTCTCCAATCCTGCTCTTGTACAAGTTCTATGCTCTCGCCCTCTTTTAAACGCTATACCCAAAGACTTGCTCAAGCTCTGCTCCCGACTCCAGGCCTCACACAAGTTCTCCGTTTCCGGCCACAGTCAGCACTAAGTCCTACCTGACTACCAGCAGCACATAACAAGCATCCTTGCCTTAGCTATAACAACACATCATTTTATTTCCAACATCTAACTGCTGCAATCAAGTCTATATTAAATAAACTTTAAAACCACCATACTCTTTGAATGTTGACACCCAAAATAATGTGTGTTACAGTACATTAGAGTTGAGCTCAGCAAATGGATTTGTTCACTTGACATTTTTTCATTTTCTGAAAGATCTTACTATTTTTGCCCATTTTGTGTAGTCATTTACTAATACCTGCAGCAAATACACCCAGCTCCATCCTCCTCTTTATGTAGCACTTGTAGAACAATACATAGAAAAAGTATAAAACATGTCATTGAGCTACTTACAGTCAACTATATGGACCAAATGGGTGAGTAAATCTTGAATATAGAACTAAAGCCACAAATTAACTATTGTATTTGAACAGTTGCCTTAGTTTTTTCATCATTTTCTCTAGCTAGAGGCCCTAAAGAGCACTTACTTGCTTTCTCTGCACGACACAGCAAGGCAACAGGCAAGCAACTCCCTCATTATATGTTTACTTCACCTAGGCCTAGATGTGTTTGAAGAGGTTGAGATTCAGCTCTTGAACCCACCTCTTAACCCTTGATGAACTGTAATGTATGATTCTTCAACTGATATTTTGTAGAACAATATATTCTTTATTCCAGTTCATGTTAAAAATGACTGGAAAAAAATTTAGTCCAGGGAATTACAAAATCAAAGGCTGGACAGTGCTGGAGACAATTATAAGCAAAAATGAATTAAATGTCTATTTTTCAAAACAACAACAAAACTTTACTCGCTTCATATCATAACATCAGGCATGATGACATCAGACATGGAAGCTTGTAACATTATTTTTCCAACATTTCTCTAACATTTAAATTAATCAATTCAATACTGTAATTTTTAATGTTCATAGACTGAACAAAGACAACAAATTATTCTTATTAATTTTGAAGTTAATTTATCTGACGAGATGAACGTAAAGGGTTCATTTCTCATTTCCCATTTGTAAATTATAATAATTATTTAAATATGACACTGACCCTTTGTGGCATCATACGTTCCCTGGAATATCTATGAGGTGGTGGCGGTGGGGGATAAGGTTCATATCGGCTTAAAAGACTTCGCCCCCCGCGGTCTCCCGGCAAATAGCGGGAGCCTGAATCTTGATATCCCATTCCACCTTGCTGTCTACCACGGGAGGTTGACTTCTGGACTGTCAGGCGTAGTCCATGCAGTTCATGCCCATCCAACTCACGTATTGCTTTCTGGGCATCAGCTTCATCATTCATGTGCTAGATATTAAAATAGAAGTTTAAAAACAAAGTAGATTTTTTATTCCAATTGATGAAGGCATCACTGGTTCACAATACAGTACTATATGTATTTTACAATCAAAAAGAAATTAACCCATGATTTAATATAGTGCCTCAATGCAAAAAAAAAGTGAGAAAAATGGAATGGAAAATATACACTGACTGTACGACACACAAGATGCATGGCTGCTATAAAAAAAAAAAAGGACAAATTTATTTTTACTTACAGAGGGCAAAAAAACAACCAATACTTTTGTGCAGTCATATCAATAGGAAGACAACAGTGAATGATCAAGGGTGCACATCCAGCATACAGGAAAGGTGGAGGGCATACAGGATTACAAACACAAATGTTGCAGCAGAGAAAATGAGGAAGCAATTAGAGAAGCTGGAAAGGAGCTGAACAATTTTCCAAATGGATCATAAAGGAGGCCATTACCAAGCTAAGTAGACCAATGCTAACACTTCCTACAACACCTAAATAGATGAAGGGGTTAATCCCAAATGAATGGAAGACTGTCAACATTGTGTCTATAAGCTCAAGGAATGGTTGACAAAATTGCTAGTCAGTTTAACTCAAATAAATGCAAGATAATGAGAATTGGAGAGGGAGCATCAAGGCCCAATGAACAGCACAAAATAAAACACTACTCCCTGAAATAGCAAAGAGAGTCAGCATTAGTCACTTTGAAAGAATGAACTATTTACACACCAAAATAGGTCAAATAGGGAAACCAATACAATCCCTTTAAGTTTGACTACAGTTTCCAATATATATGATACCTAATGCTAGAGAAATCTAAACAAAGAAAAATATCAGTCTTTTTAAAAGATACTGAACATCCATAACAAGTCTGAATAAGACTACAAAATCAGTTTTCACCACTAATCAGTGGATTTTGACAGATTCTTTGACCAATATTCTTAATGAAACTAAAAATTATTGCCGAAATGTCTTTGAATTTAAAATACTGTATTCATGTTTACTTAAATATTGCTCTAGATACAATAATTATCTGCAACTCAAATACAGTAGAAAGCACCAACTTTAATACTAGTAATTAAGTACTTGTATAAAAATGAACTTACAACAAAAGCATAGTTAGTAAGAACGCCAACTTCTATGACTTTGCCATATTCTTCAAACAGACTTTTCAGTTCTTCTCGTCTGCAGTCCCTGTGTACATTGCCAACAAAAATTTTTGGCATTTGGTTACCATTTTTCCTAGTGCCAGTAGAGGCCTCAACAACCATAGGCTGAAACAAGGTGAAAATTACTCAATCATTCTATCCATACTCGCCACTTTCATTGAAAAACAGTTATGCCCAAAGATAAAACAAAGGAAACATAAAAGCTAAAGATACCCAATATGACACATACTCAGTTATCATACTATCTACACTCAATGATACCACCACCACTATAACACTTCATTACCACTCAATTTCTGGAAATAATGCCTTAAACTTATTCTAAATTAGTCTGACAATTATTAAAATCAGTAATAAAAGCTTTAAATTTACAATATACGGATAAACATATCCACAAGGGCCGTGATGAGGGTTTGAACCTACTTTCGGGACGATCCCAGACATGCCTTAGTCAAGTGCGCCGCGATATGGTCAAAAGAATTGCAACCAGAGTGCTACTGCCCTTACACAAATCCCGCAGCCTCTCCTGACACAAACTGGGGTTTTAATCTACTAAAGCGAATCGATAACCAATCGACTAAGGCGCATCTGGGATCATCCCAGATGTAGGTTTGAACTCTCATCACGGCACTTGTGGATTTGTTTATTTGACGTATCACGCTATTGTGATTTCTGTGTGTATTAAAGTAAGGGCGAAGAGGTAGAACAGCTTTAAGACAGAGCCTGGGTGCATGGGGAAATTGTGCAAAACCCTGGTTTGTGTCTCGGGGAAGCTGCGGGATCCATGTGAGGGCAGCAGCACTACCATGGCGTGGCGCAATCAACTCAGGCGTGTCTAGGATCATCTTGGACGCAGGTTTGAATCCTCATCATGGCCCTTGTGGATTTATTCAATTGATGTATCAAGCTATTGTGATTTGTGTGTGTACAAGATACAGTATATACCTCAGCAGCATCATCTATAAGATTTGATTTTTTTTTTAACTCCAACTCTCCCATTCAGATGAGTGGGAGACTTAACAGTTCATGAACACCATACACTTACCTTTCCCCGAAGCATGTGACCATTTAGTGCTCTGATAGCTGCTTGGCCCTCTTCTTCATCCTTCATATGAACAAAACCATAGTTCTTCATAACATCTGCTTCAGCAACTCTACCGTAAGTTTCAAACACTTCTCGGATATCTGTGCTTGTGGCAAAATCACTGAGGTTTCCAACAAATATCTTGAAAGTGCTTTTTCGTGCAGATGTCTTTGTTGTAATAAAAAACAAAAAAAATGTTATGGCATCAATACAACCCAAAATAAAATACTGTAATAAACTTTAAACTCTGTTTAAATGGAATAATTATACTTTGCAATGACATTTGAGATTCAAATTAGTTCATGATTATTTTGTTTAAATATATAATAACATACAGCATGAAACATAGTTAACGCTGATATTATCTGTCATCCTACCGAGTCGAACAACACGGCACAAAATACTGGGACATTTACCACACTGTTATCCACGCTGCCTTGTTGGTCACTTGCACTTTTCCTAACCCCAGTAGAGGCCTTTACATCCAATGGCTAAAATAAAATGTAAATACAGTAACTCATTAATGAAAAATTTAGGCAGAACATTAATCAGATTATACTTTACTGTGTATGCAGTAGACATTGCTAATAATCCAAATAACCACATTCACAACCATGCCTTTCAGTTTATTCATTTCTACTGCTCCGACCTTAGATTTTTCAAGCTCATACCCGATCATCAACTCAAAGGCACACATAAAAAATAGCACTAAAACTTCATGCATTCCATTGGTCTCATTTACTATTATCTTTATTTTTCTAACCAGATATTGAATTTCATCTGCCACTTTTTTCCCCAACTCAAACCACACTTATCTCTGATTTATCATGGTCTACCCCTTCCAGCACTTCACCATTCACATTTCACAAACAAAATTCCTTTTCTCTCCACCACAAAAACATTTCTTTCGTCCACATGCAAAATTACTCATAATAAGCCTATAAACTTGGGTTTAAAAGCCCCTCTAACATTATTACCTTGACCATCCTCATGATCGCATTCATGTACAGTATACTAAATAACCAGGTGACAACATCCCTGGCATAAGCCTACATTAATATCAAACCAGGATTGTGCTGTTACCTATCCCATCTCCCTGTCCAAATGCTATTGGCTTAGTGCTTTGCACTCATAATTACCTTACCTTATTACACCATTAACACATAACTTGCACCATTTTCTACAGAAAAGTGTTCCACAACAATTAATACACATTAGACAACACCTTAGTAACAAGTAAGAAATGTTGAAGCAGACACAATAAAAAGTATATGTAGATCAATGACATGAATTAATGTATAACTTAGCAAATGTAAGTACAGTACTATAATCCAATTTCCATCAAAGAAGCCAGAGCATTTAAACAGCAGTAAATTACAGTAATAACACTGATATCATTGAAATCATAAGGCCTAAAAGCTATGAATGCCTACCTTTCCATGTAGTACATGGCCATCAAGAGTGTCAATTGCTGCCTGACATTCCTCTTCAGTTTCCATGTGCACAAAGCCATAATTTTTCACAATATCTGCCTCAACTACTGTGCCACAGCCTTCAAAAAGTTTCCGCAGATCTGACCGAGTCGTATAATCACTGAGATTTCCCACAAATATCTTGTAGGTACTTTTCCGTGGGGGTGTACTAGTAGGAATCTAAAAGTAAAAAATATAGGCTAACTAGAAAAATGCTCATTACAGCACAAAAAATTTACTCTGTAAAATTTTAATTTATATTTCACCTTGTTTCTCCTCAAGCTAATATTCCATCATAATTAAACCTGACCTAAAAGCCACATTACCAAAATTACAAAAACATTTATACTACAGAAACAAAAACTGCACAATACTGTATAGTATTGCATATTTTATTATTTTTCTATTTTAAATTTGGTTCTCACATTTAAAATAATCCTAGGTGTATTTTTATGCCATTCCAAAAAAACAAAATGCAAGTAAGCAATGAAACCTGACAGCAATAATAATTCTCGTGCACATTTCCATACATTCTGTATATATATGACAAAAACCTGTATATATTCATTCCAAAACCACATACTAATAGAAACTATATGAACCAACCTGTTTAGAGTCGTGTTCAGTAGTGTCTTGACTGTGAGACTCTGACATACAGCTCTCCTCTGTCTCCACACTGCTACATGTGGCTACACCTTGTGTTGACTGCATCTTAGTAAGTGCCTTTAGAAGACAACAAAAGTTAATAATAATTATTAATACCTGTAATGGTAACAATAACTAGAGCATGCTTAACAAATGAAGATGGTACATCTCTTTTACACAGGTGGGTACAGGAATACTGTAGATAGATGAACAAATCTGTGTGTACTGTAGATAAGATGGTTTATGACTCCTATTAGCAGGCTGAGAGCTTTCCCTTGCCGTAGCTCATGGAAAACCTTACCTATTAGTTTTCCCTTGAAAACAACCCACCCATCGGTTTACAACCAGGTCCCCAATCATTGCTGGATGAACTCTCAAACCAAGAAAAACTGCTCTTGAGTGGGGGAGGGGTGAGGGGGGGGGAAGGGTGTCAGGTGAGGTGGGATGAACATGAGGGTGGCGAGGTAAAGAGGGACATTACATTACATGGGAGGGGGAGGGGGCAGGTAGAGGTTCCCTGATGTCTGACCTCACTAATGAATTTAAACCTAATTTGACACTTTATTACAATCCACACAGAAGACTGAAAATGAATATGGTCAATTATACAATACTAAATAAAACTAATAAATTTTTGTAACCAATTATGAGAATCAAATTCAGAAACAGGTACCAGAGACTGATGAATTTCTCCCATAGCAATTATAAAGAAATAAGAGGACTTTGCATCTTTACAATAAAACTTATTTGGGTTATTATGAAAATTTCTATATTGTACTATACGATATATACTTCCCAAATTTGAAATATAAACTTTAAACTTTCCTTGCACATAAATATATATCCATATACAGTACAGTAGTTGTTTTCTGCTACACATTAACCCTTAAACTGCGCAACACTGCATATGAAGGTTTGAGTAACTGACGCAAAAGTGTGCATCACTACATATGAAGTTTTGGAGTACAGTACTACGCAAGATTTAAACAGCCCGCGGATACACGGGGTTCACATCACCTTCCTCGCGGCTCTTGTAAACAGACGCCATTTAAAAAAAAATTCGTGGGCAACATTCCCAGGTGTGAGGACCTCAGTACTGAGTGAGCCACCAAGGCTGGCACACGCAGCATGGACTCACAGCACTGTTGTTCAGCTTGTGACCACAGCATCGCCTAAAAAGTAAAAAATATATGCAACTGGTATTATTTAGCGATGATAGTACTGTATTACAGAAGACCCCTGACTGTGATATAACTGACCAGTATTCTGATAATAGCAGGATTGTTGTGATAATTTGCACTGTGCTGTGGGAGGAGTATTGTTGATGGTGGGAGAGCTGTAGCGTCGTCTGCCGAATCTGTGTGGCCACCGGTTGCAGTCTGCACTTGCTATATCAGCTTAGTGGTTTGCTATGGTGAGCAAAACATGCAGATACTTATATATATAGTCTGTATATAGTGAATAAAAGCAAAAACAGTATGGTGGGAGGAGAATGTTGGCGAGTCAGATGAGGTGAGGGAGGGAGTGACAGCCAGTGGCTGGTTGGCTGGTGTGCCGGCCACTCCTTGCTGCTTTTTGACTCAGCATACCAACTTAGTGGTTCATTATGGTGAACACATATCTAGATACTTATTACAATATACAGTATATATATACACGTTATATATAACAGCAAAAGGAGTATTGGGAGAAGCCATTTTGGTGAGGGAGGTGGCATCATCATCCTGACTTGTCATGCTGTGTGGCCACTATGCACTTTGGGCACTATACCAGCTTAGTTGAACAGTTATGGTGAACAAAACATGTAGATACTTATATATAACGTCTGTATATAGCGAATAAAAGCAAAAACAGTATGGTGGGAGAAGGATGTTGGCAAGTTAGGTGTTTTTATCTGTAAGAGGGAGGGAGTGGCGGTGGGTGGGTGGCTGGTGTGTGGTGGCCACTCCTCGTTGCTTTTTGACTCACCATATCAACTTAGTGGTTCGTTATTGCGAACAAAACATGCAGATACTTATATATAACCTGCGTATATAATGTAATAACTGCAAAAGTATTTGTTCATTGTTTTATGAACATAATAATTGAATCAATAATATGCACACCATAATTTTGAGTACAGCAATGATTCACACATTTTATTATATAAATATATCACACTACACACTATTGAATAATATTACTGCAAAAAAACTAAGAAAAAATCAATCAAAGACATTGAAATAATTAGGTAATACTGTAATATCTCTGAGCAACTCCCACCTGACAGCTTGGGCGAAGCAGACCGCCTCCGGCACTTGCTCTGTCAATGCCTCTTTTTTGCCAGACTTCCCCGTCGTATTGCGACCAAAATATGCCACACGATTTTTTTTTATTATTTTTCCCGTGATCAGACAACACAAATGAACACTTTTATATGAGGATTTTTTTTTTTTGCACACCTGTGGGTGTTGAAAAGTTAAATAGCCCACGGGTAAATAGCCATAAATTGTTGAAAGTTAAATAAATAAATAAGAGCAGTTTAGGGATTACTTTTCAGGTTATTGTTCAGTTAAATAAATAAATAAGAGCAGTTTAGGGATTACTTTTCAGGTTATTGTTCAGTTAAATAAATAAATAAGAGCAGTTTAGGGATAAATAAATAAGAGCAGTTTAGGGATAAATAAATAAGAGCAGTTTAGGGATAAATAAATAAGAGCAGTTTAGGGATTACTTTTCAGGTTATTGTTCAGTTTTCATCAACCATGGCTTATCTGTAAGAGAGGACTGCAGAAGAGAGCGACTCAGCAGTACATCAGCTGTGCACGAAACACCTAAAACCAACACAAGCATATCTGAGGGACATCCATTAAAAAGTATAATGTCCCACCCTGATGGAGAGCCATAAGTCTCAAGCCAGGATATTAGCTGTGAACATACAGTATTATGAAAGAAAACCACCAGAGCAGTAAACTTCCAATCATCATCAGAGCAAGAATAAACTGCTGGCTTCCTGAAGTGAACCATCTTACAGATGGTCTGGGAGAACAAAGTCTTCACACAATTGATGAGACACAGGGTTGACAAACAAGGCATGAACCTGAAGAAGTACAGTAGTGCACCCAATCACAGAACAGCTTCCATGTAAGTCCTCAACTGAGAGAGGAACCCAAAATTGAGAAGACAACAACTTCAAAAACTATCTAAAGAACAGGAAGGTAATAAAGGAGCACAAGCTGGTAAAAGCTGAAAGAATGATAGAGTCGTTGGAAAGGGAGCAAAGACATCCTTCTCAAAGACAAGTGAGTGTGGTTCCAACAAGGCCAAATAATATGAGGCAATAGTATTAGCAATCAAACAGTGATCAAGGAAGAGCCAGGGAAGAAAAGTCATCACAATGGTAACAGATGCAGAAGGCAGATGCTGAAGAGGCAGAAGGCCCACCACGCCTCCACATTCTGCAAGAAGGAAAGCAGCAAAAACAAAATAAAGTGGTCTACCACCCAACTCCCATTCAGATAGCAGTACAATATGCCTTAAAACTCCATATCCAATGGTAAGTGGAAAGCCTCAAACCATCAAGCTAGGTTGAGAGTAAGCCAGAAATGCATTCACTGCAAGCCTAATTATACTGTACAGAGATGGTCAAACTCGGTTGTGATTTTGGCCAAGTTATCCAGAGATTTGAGTTACCATGGTTTGAGGCAGTGAGTGGTCATCATATACAACATCTACTTGATACACAGCATTCAGTATAATAATAAATTTCTTATCATTTGGCATAGTCCCCAGACCTCATTAAAGTTTAAATATAAAAATGTAATTCAAAAATCTACAAGCACAAATACCCATGTAAACGTTCATACAAGATTACTTGCCAGAAAATTATAATGCATCAACTCTGATATGAAGGGTGAGTTAAGATGGTAAGGGAGGTGGTGGTGTGCTTTCCTTATACAGTACTGTACTGTACTTTGGCTAACAGATAACAACGACATGCAGTCTATCATAGCAGACAGCATTTTCTTCTCAAGATCTTCTTACCTCTCTGGTGGAATCCAGCTCATGTTTCGTACTCTCGTACAAAGCTTGTAACTGTTCTAATTTCTTTTGCAAAATTTCCTTTTCCTCTGATACAATACCATTTTGGTCCGACTGGTTTTCCTCACTATCTAGCTCGTTTAGTTCCTGATTTACTTGGTCCATGGTATCTGAGGTAGTGCTCATTTTCAACACAGCACAATTTCCACTACACAAAAATCAACTGACGATTATAATTTTCCACCATGCTACATCACTTTGTCTCTGATTCTCAGTGCCTCAGAAAGATCTTGTCACTCCAACCTGTTAAAAAAAAAAGAAACGCTGGAAAAAGATATCCCAATATGAAGAACAGTAACCTATGTGAATGATCCATCATAGGAATGTAATATCAAAGGTCAATACAGCATCCTCAATCTATCAGCCTTGTTTAATACCTACTTAACATTGAGCAACATAGTGTAACGGAGCCAAACCTTACTTTACCTTACCTAACCCTAATGTAGTGTAACGTAACGTAAGCTAACCTATCCTAGCCTTACCTAACCCAAACATTTCTACTTACAAGCAGAAATATTTTACCCAAACTTATCTTCCTACACAATCAACATTGTAATTAGTGAAGCGTGCAAGAGTAGCCCCGAGGAGCACAGGTTGCAGGTGATGCAGCAGCAAGACACTGAAGCTATACCTGCAGGAGGCCAGTAAGGAGCCACATATGGTCTCTACACAGGTGCTACTTGCACAAGAGAACACACCTGGAAACTGAGTAACCAAATGTGCCACGGAGACACTTCAAAGCACTTTGTGTCACGAGTAGTAAACAGATGTAAAGCGGCGAGTAGTTAAAATACTTAGTAAGGTGACAGACTCCATACAGATCCAACAAGCATAATTGGCTCAGGAACTTGCACACCTGGTGAGTCAAGAGTTTCGAGACGATAGAGCTGAAGCTCAACTCTCACACGAGCGGACATAAGAGAGTACAGTTAGGTACACGGGCAAGGTCTCACGTATGGCCCATGTACACTAAGCGTCACCTTGAAAACGGCCTCCGATCACCACGAAGAAAGGTGTACCACTTAGTTGATTGAGTGTACCTGAGTCTGAGACAATGGTGAGGAGGACAGGAGGAGACAGAGCAGCAGCTGCAGCAGGCCAGAGAGGAGGGACCCCTACAGGAGGCTGTGCTGGGGGACGCTGGGGCCGCTCCTCCTCCCTCATACAACCTTACTTTATTACACATTCTCACCATCATCATACACCATTATTAAATGACGCGCAGACAAATGTTAGTTAAATAGTGGCGACAGGATATATTTGGAAACAAATAGCGTTTGTACAAACTGGAATTGGTGGGTGAGTGGTTGTGTAGGGAGAGTGGTGTAGGTGACCCGGTGCTGCGCGGCGGCCCAACCCGCTCTAACGGCCACCTCCTCATACACAGCTCCTGGGGCCGGATTCAAGAAGGTACTTACGAAGGTTTTTCCTCTTAGCTAAGAGCGAATTCCTTCTTAGCGCCTTCGTGGCGGCTAGGTCCGTATTCAAGTAGGTACCCTAAGTGCAAAAACCTTCGTAAGTTCATTCCGGGATTTAAGTGTGGTTTCGACCACTCGTAGCTTTACGTAAACTGGATATAAGTCATTTTTTCTCTACTACATAACACTGGGATCGATTTATGATATTGGAACATGACCAAAATATTATAGCTGGTGAATCTAGTGGAGAGGAGTCCTTCGTGTTAGTTATATATGCATTCTCTGCTTGAAACTTGAAGTAAATATGTGTTTGATAATAGTAGAATTAGTTTTATAATAGCAAGATATTATACCAGTAGTTATTAAGTAAATAAACACTGGTGAACATGAAATATGAGAGAAGGTGATGAGCCCTGCCTGATGGGATCATTTACTATCACCAAATGCCCCTGTTCACCTAGTAGTAAGGGTGTACCTTAGCTATACATACCCATTTCTAATTTATTTAGTTTGTTTTTATTTTTAAATTAAATCTGGGTGAGACATAAAATAAAAATATGCTGCACAAATGATGTTAGGTAAGGAAAAGGGTAAAAATGTCAAAAACTTTATTCATTGAATACTTAAAGCTATAATTATGACTATATAGATTAAAAAAGAGAGGGAAGTAGGGGTCCAAGACCTCTTCCTGTTATACAATTTGGGTGTGGAACAAGTAATTATCAAAAGAAGGCACCATGCCGGGAAGGCTATGTAGCAGTAAGGCAGTGAGGTGAGGCAGCTACTCATTTGAGAAATGCTTATTTTATTTACCTTATAAGCTGAGGCAACTTATTTTATTTGAGGAATACTCAGCTGATTCCTCTACATTTAGCATGGAACAGATTTGTGTACAAGACCTCTTCCTGTTACTCAATTTGGCTGTGTGTAACCAAACTAGAAGTGCTCTACAAATCAAGGGACCCAGAATGTGGAATGACCTCCCGAATCATGTCAACGGCTGTACCTCTCTCAACCAGTTTAAGAGTTAAACCAAGTACTGCCTAATTAACTCCATGTAACCTAACTTACCTCCTAAATGTCAACCCATGTCTTGCTATTTTTTAAACAACGCTGTTCACCAACATGTGCAATTGCTGATTTATGCTATGTTAACCCCCTTTTTGTATTTTTTATTCCGTCTTTCAACACAATTTATACCTAATCCCGATTACTATTAAGTTTTAGTCTGTTTTTTTTCCCCCCACACCTTGCCCGAAATGCTAGAGTATTAGTGGCTTTAGGTATTGTATGTACTAGCTCTGCCTATAAATCCAACATTATGTTTGTAAATCAACTGTATGTACTTTTCCTGAATAAAATGTATTTATTATTGATTTTTTAATCAGTAAGTATTAAAAGAAGGCACCAAGCTGGGAAGGCTATGTAGCACCATTGTGTGTAACAATAAACCAAATTTTTTTAACAAATAATGCACCTGTATGGGAAAACAAATCCTGTCAGCTGTAAAAATATTGATGCAGTTATTTAAATGAAAAATATAATGAAAGAAATATTACTGGTTTATTTTTTCCTATCTTTTTGTACTGTACAGTATATCCAAGGAAGTGAAAAATTGAGACATAATGCACAATTTAATGAATGATTAGCATGGATTAGCAGTTCAAAAGAAATATGACTTGTATTACATATCAACATGAGATCTTAATGATCCATGGTCAACATGATTTAATAAGGATAATACAGTACTGTATTTGTAATTATACAAACTATAATTTAAAATCTTTATTACTGATTTTTTTTATTAAGAAGATTAGGTATACACAGCAATGTGCTGCTACCCTATTCTATATGGAATATTACACAGTGTAGATAAAAAACTAGCTATAAGTTTATCTAATACTCTCATCTCACAGGATGGTTAGACATACTGTACATAGAATCAATTTAGAAAATACCAGCCTCAATACAAAAAACAAATCAACTCTGACTAAACAACTCTAAGCAATTTTCACAACATGTAAGCACTGAATCATGGAAACATTATATTATAATTACTCTTACCAGTTTCTACAAAACTCCTCTCAAACAATGTATTTTTAAACATGTTTAGGTATACACAGCAATGTGCTGCTTCCCTATTCTGTATAAAGGACCACACAGTGTAGATCAAAAACCAGCTCACCTCACAGGATGGCCAGTCATACATGGAATTAGGAGAGAACAAAATACTTAATGCTGATCTATTAGCCTCCACTGGCAAAATCTGGGTGCAGCACAAGAATATCTTCCAATATTCCTGAGTGTATGAAGTAATTACAGAGCTCAAAATACCTCATACCATTTGGTATGAAGTCACTGATAACAGGACAATCACAGATATAGTGTTGGAGAGTATGTTCTCTCAAGTAGGACTGAAAACAGATGTTTTTTTTTCCACCAAGAGGGCTATAAACCCATGGAACCGCCTACCCGCTGAAGCCGTAAATGCCAAATTCCAGCTAAAAAATATAATTAAGACAATTGGCGGGCCCTTCAACAAGCCGCCGGCTTTCTGTCCTCTTCGAGGTCACTAGATAGTTAGTGGCCCTTGGGTAAATTCAGTAAATGTATACAATAATTGTCAGCGCATCTTCCGAGCAACAAGGACAGCTACACAGTATCTCTTAGAATTACGTAGGTAAACAACAAATGTAACATATTTGTTTACTACAATGTCGGTGCTGGCTGTAGAAGTTGAAAAAACATTGTTTTACTTCGAAATATACTAATTTTATAAGAAAATTCGACGTAAATAGGAGGCAGTAGAGCTGCGATAAGCCAGCGCTAAATCTTCAATATGAAGAATGTTGCTGCTCTCTGATTGGCCAAACGAAACACAGTAGTGACCTCTATCGGCACGCAGGTGAACCAACAATTTTTCTTCCTAAGTATACCTTATTGAATCGCACCTAAGCATCTTCTTAGGGCGCACTTAGGAACCTTCGTAGCAAACCCACTTACGAAGAAATACACAGAGCTTCCTGAATCTAGGTCCTGGGCCCCACCTTCCTCTCACTTAACTACTGCAATGACACTTGACCCCTTCCTTCCTTCTAATATCTCCCTTTAAACCCATATGCATAAAACCATTTCTTCTTTTCCTGGATTCCTTCCAGATCCACGAAAAAAAAATACAATTAAAATAACTATTTCCCGTCTCCAACTTTCTCCCAAAATGTCCCCGTCATCCCCCCCCCACACACACACAACCACTTCACGCATCTCAACTCTTTAAGACATAACTGTAACATGCTCGTGTCCGAAGCTAGACACAAATACAACAAAATTATTAAGGATGGTAACAGAGTCCATTTCATGTGGTCTCCATCTCATGTTGGCCTCCGAATGCATGATAGAGCTGATAAGTTAGCCAAAGAATCTGCCTTTAAAGGAGCCGTTGAGTGTAACCTTGGATTGTCAATGAGCAATCTGAGAGCAGCTGTACACCGAGAACTTCAACAAGATCTTGTAGATCTGAGGCAAAGTGAAACTGACACCAGTAATTCCATCTATCATCATACTATCATGCAAGAGGAGCCACACATCTATGGATCATCCAATAAAATCAGCAGACTTCTAGATGTTACTACTGCTCGGCTTAGACTCGGTTACAAGTATCTCTGGGAATTCTCATTATCTGCTGATGTAGACCTGACCAAATGTAAACTGTGTCAACAAAAAATTATTCGCACACCCTCCGTCACTATGTGATGGAGTGCGAAAAGATACGTGAATTTAGAGACAATTCTATAACCAATGTTCCAGCGATGTGTCAATATTTCATTCAAAATGATCTGCTACCAGAAATTTTAGCCAAATATCCCCAGTTTGCTAACTGTAGGTAGTAACTAAGTGATTGTAACCTATCCACCGCTGCCCACTGGATGGGGGGCGGTGTGCAGGACAAACATATAAATTTTGACACTAGCTCTCCACATATGTCAGTTGCTTAATTTAGAACCTGTACTTGAGGTCGATCTCGAACCCATTGTTGATGTGATGACTTATATTGAATTTTGTAACTAGCTCATCAAGATTGTAACTTGCTTAGCTAAATGAATTGTGGGGTTCAGTCCCTGAGCCCATTATGTGCCTCTGTAACCCTTTCCACTACCGCCCACAGGATGGGTATGGGGTGCATAATAAATGAACTAAACTAACTAACATCTCTCAAGTGAAGAGATCTTAGGGGGGGGGGGGGGGGGGGGGGGGCGGGACCGTCAGCCACCTTTCGCAGATGAGGTTGGGGGGGGGGGTCATTAGAGGGGTTCCACCCCTCTAACAATAGAACCAATAGGACCTGGTGGCCAAAATTGCTTAATTGTTCTAATATTCCGGATTATTTTGACCATGTCAGTTAAGTGACAATGTACTCTACATATAGTTCTCCAGCATTTCCACCCATGGAACTGCCTACCCGCCGAAGCCGTAAATATTTCTGCAATTCAATATCTATCTGGATAAAACTCACCCTGACCGTCCAAGTGGTTGGGGCACCGTTTCTTTCCCACCGTCCCATCCCAAATCCTTATCCTGACCCCCTTCCCAGTGTAATATAGTCGTAATGGCTTGGCGCTTTCCCCTGATAGTTCCCTTCCTTGGATAAAACTCATCAGAACAAATGGGAGACCTTTGATAAACCGCCATATTCCTGTCCTCGTCGAGGCCTCTATAGACACAGTGGCCCTCAGGTAAATTATAGCATAGTCTAGCACTAATCTCATTGTAGCTCCACTGACATTCCCAACTTTCCCAACTTGGGGGTCATTCCAAGCCAATTACTAGATATATGGTTGCCAAATATTTTCTGACACTAATAGTATTAGTCCACTGAATATGCATCAATTTTTTTCTTTTCTTCTCAATCATCGTAAATAAAACTATTAGGTTTGACAAGTTCGATTTTCTTTCTATGAACCCATATTACTACTTTATTGTGAAGTCTCTCTATGAGTTGCATTATTGTTTTTCTTATTCTCTTTAGCTTTATATGCATGGTATATTTCAACTATTAGTGGGTACTGGTCTCAAGTTGAGCAGCAGCTCTTGTGCAGGAAGAATGATGCGTCTTCTGGCTACTAGGTAATCACCAGCACTTATCTCCAATGATACATTCAACTTGTAAGTGAGTTTCACAAGATAACAATGTTTACACACAAAAATCACAATAGTGTGATATATCAAATGAACAAATCCACAAGGGCCATGATGAGGGTTCGAACCTACGCACAGGAGGGGGAGGGAATTTTCAGAGTAAAGCGCCAAGCCATTACGGGATGTTCCCAGAAGCGCCTTAGTCAACTATACCACGACATGGTTACAAACCCCGATTGGGGTTCATAGAAGCTATGGGATCCTAGTGAGGGCAGTAGCACTCCAGGTTGCAATTCTTTTAACCATGTTGTGGTACAGTTGACTAAGGTGCTTCTGGGAACATCCCATGTGTAGGCTCGAACTCTCATCACGGTCCTTGTGGATTTGTTCAACAGATTGTTTGTTATCTGTTAATGTTAATGTTCTACAGCGTTTGTTTAACATATGGCCTGGAACTAGTCCCTTGCCATCACTTCTTGAATTGTTGATATATTCAGTTGAACCTCTAGATGAGCCCCTCAGGGAGTATTCATGAGCCCTCCCCCTCATCCTGAAAATTGGGACGTTCAACAAGGAAGTGTGCAACTGTAAGTGGGATGATGCAGTTCCGACAATAAGGAACAGGGCAGTGTTCCATTAAGTGCTTACAAGTTAAGTGTGTTACTGATACGCAACCTAGCCAGAGCCATTTACCACCGTCTTATGACTTTAATTACAAATATTTGTTCATCTGCAGCCTTTTTTGTTTTTCCTAGCACAACATGTACTATTTAGATAGCACATCATTCTCATGAAGCATTTCCACTTTACCATTCATAGTGAACACAAATGAATTTTTAACTTCTTGGTATCATACTAATAAACTGTTTTCACTTCTGAAACTTATTAAAGGGAATGTGCATCACCACACAACACAAGGATGAAAGTGAAGAAACCTTTTCCAATAAAATTTCAATTTATTGCTACAAGAACAGTAATACACTTGATAGGGCATGACATTACTCATAAATGATTAGAAGCATACTGTACTGGAATCATTTAAATTAATATTTTACATTGGTAGTTAGGTAGAGCTACAGTTTAAATGAAGTGAGCAATGCATGGCATTATGCTTCTTCAACACAGGTTAATAACCAAGAGGATTTCTTAGCTACTGAACTATTGTAAGTAAATGGTATTACTGTAAACAGGTATTGAATGATTCAATAGTAAGGCAATCAATGGATATGTTTTTGTTTTATTTACATCTACAACATTCACAGCATATGGTCTACATAACAATTCAATACAAAATAAATAGAAAAAAATTCACAAGATCTAAACCAAGAAAACTTGTTTAGTGTGATAACTATTTTTTGCAGAACAGGTTCAGTTTGGGTAACATTTCTGTTAAAGGATAATGGGTTTTCATAACAAGCATCACATATCTGTTCAACATTTCTAGAGTACAGTACTGTCTACGGTGCATAAAGACATGTTGGCAGTATGGATCCAGGCGAGGTCAACAAGGCTACTACACAAAGTATGAAAATCTGCTGACAAAACTACTGTGCTTGCACCAATTATCAAGAGTTCTGTGCTAGTACTTGTGGCTAGTTATGCACTCAGAATGGCCGATGATTCGGTGGGCCGTTACTGCAGCAATGTGGAATGAAATAAGGTTAGTACTGAGGAGTACCTTCCTTGAGGTTATGATATAAAAACTTAATAAATATAAGAAACATATTTGGATATATCACACTGCTAAATGAAGACTACATTTTATTTATTCCCAAGTGAGGATGAAATTGGATAAAAGCACTGTTTTCAGTAGTGAACTTTATACTTACCCACGCATTGGTGGACGAGGAAGGGAGCTCCTGCAACACAGGCATCCAACTTTAATAAAACTAAATACCAAATGCAAATTCATTGATATACATAAATTCATACATTCATTCATTACTATTTACACTGATACTGAGAATTGTTATTATACATGCATACATTCACTAATATATTCACTTATTCATTCATTGATACACATTCATACAAGCAATCATCAAGCCATCCAAGGTCACCATTGTGAGTGGTTTGGGCAGCATGTATTTGTACTGCTGACAGTGAGCTCTTGCATTGACAGATGGGGCTGGGCTGGCAGTCACCTTGTACACTGTATGAAACCAGTTGCAATATAGATTTTCAGTTTACTGTATTTCCACTTTTCCTCACCTTTTACATCTAAATTATTCTACTTGGAAAAATAGGTTTCGGATTTGTTTTTGTGCATTGGCAGATGTGTGTGCACTGTAAGTCCTAAGCCACACTTTGGGGGGGGGGTTAAAGAGGGGAAAAGGCTCCCAAGTTAGCTGAAATAACTGGAGAGAGATGGAAGTGTGGGGGTTGAGGTGATGGTGAACATAATGTTGTATGTCAGGTGGTATGACAAGAGGGAAGTTATCTGATGACTGAATTAAGGCAATTGGTGGAAATAAGGAGAAAATGGAAGTAAGGAAGGTTATATGAATTACTGATGATGAATTTGGGTACACATACTTATTCATTTGATAGCTCCTGCCTATGGTGGTCTTGTTGAAGGGTGAATTGTAGCTAAGCAGCCTAATAAAAAAAGAATTGTAATGCTGTCCCCATGTATGTATACAATGTAACATAACCAGTGTACTTGTACTCACCCTCGTACTGGTGGACGATATAGAGGGTTCCTGCAAAAATTGGAATCTACATATTACAATTTGTTTTTAACACTTGTACAGTGAGAATGATGTAAATCATTTTGATGAAGCCATTTGATTGCTCTCTAAGGCAAGAACCTCCTGGCCCAGGACAGGCCTATGCTCAGCACAAGGTGACCCCCCCCCCTGCACTGACACAGTAAGGATCTTTATAAACAGTACCTGGCTAATACTGGTGCTGAGGAGACACTAGAGAATACTCAATTTAGCATGGAATGACTTCAAGCCAGAAAGCACATCTTAAAAACATACATGCCCTTACAAGTGCTAAATGACACTACAAGGACTATCAATGAACATTCAAGCGTACAGTCAGTTGTGCCACTCATGCAAACTTAAAGGGAGTCATAGAAATAACTATCACACTCATTCCATTAAAAAAAAAAAAAAGTAACTTCCCTGAACAAATCCCGACCTCTTCTAAAGTGCCATATAGTCGTCATGGCTTGGTGCTTTCCCCTGATAATTCCCTCCCTCCCTCCCTGAGGAAAAGTCTGACAGGGAAAAAACCACTCAACCCCCCCCCCCCACCCCTGGAGTGCAGCAGAGGAAATTCACAACCGAATCATCTCAAGGCCCAAGATTTAGCCAACAGCTGTTGCACAACATCCTCCAGAACGAGAAATAGATGAGAATAACAGCAGAGAAACTGCACAACCCAACTCATGAAATTGGCTCAACAATGAACACCCATGAATAAGACAATTTGAAAAAGTCTGCAACCAAATCCATGAGAAAGATGGTGAACATTTTAAGGCAAGCTGCAGCTAAATCAAACCGAAAATAAACAATGCACATTATCTTTAAAGCTAGCCCACTCAGGCCACAGTTGAAAGATGTTTAAGCATGCAAAGATTTTTTAGCACATTCTCAGAGGAAATTGATAGGGTAAAGACAGACTATCTAACATTGGGTGGTACACGAACAAGGGAATATAGGTGGAAACTTAGAACCCAAATGCGCCAGACACATTAGTAAGAATTGCTCCAGTGTCAGAGCAGTTAACATATGTAGCCTGGTTATGGGTACTATAGCTAGTATAGTAACAATTGGTCACTGAATTAACATATGGGCACTGTAAATAACAAATGGGCACTGTAAATAACAAATGGGCACTGTAAATAACAAATGGGAACTGTAAATAACAAATGGGTACTGAAATAAATAATAAGTTTTGAAATAAACAGATTCTGAAATAAGATAATAGATTATGAAGTATCAAATAGGTTCTGAAATAACAAATGAGTAATAACAAAAGTGAGAAGCAACAGGAATAATTATAGGGCAAGTGAGATACAGAAAACAAGGAAAATTTCAGTGATCTTCTAAATATGGGATATATATACTGTGTATGTATGTATATATATGTGTGGGTGTGTGTATATATATATTTTATATATAGTAGTAGTAGTAGGCATCCATCATCCATCAACATATATACTGTATATATATATATATATATGTTGTACCTAGTAGCCACAACGTCGTACTCGGCCTACTATGTAAGGCCCGATTTGCCTAATAAGCCAAGCTTTCCTGTATTTATATATTTTTCAGTATTTTTTCTTATGAAATGATAAAGCTATCCATTTCATTATGTATGAGTTAATTTTTAAAAAATTTGAGTTAAAACTAACGTAGATATATGACCGAACCTAACCAACCCTACCTAACCTAACCTATCTTAACCTAACCTAAACTAACACAATTAAGTCAATAATTTATGTTCTTAATAAAATACTGTATAATAATAATAATAATTCAAATAAACTATTTGGAAACAATTTATTGAAAATAAAAAATCACTTGGCCTATTAGGCAAATCGGGTCTTGCATAGTAGGCCGAAAAGTGTATTCTGGCTACTAGGTACGATATATTTTTTATTTATCTATATATATATATATATATATATATATATATATATATATATATATATATATATATATATATATATATATATATATATATACTGTATATACATACATACATACATATACTGTATATTGTACTGTAGAACACTACCAACTACAGTACTGTAATAACCATTACGACAAATACTAACCGAGGAGGTGGTAAGCCTCTACTAAATCTTAGATAATCAGGATGAGATGGCAGGGAAGGAAGACGTCGATTATACAAGTCATCTAGTAGTGGTGGCGGCGGTGTGGGATGATCACCATAATGGTGTTCATATAGTCCAGTGTCACAATAGCGATCATAACGATCATAGTGACTAAAATCATCCTGAAAAGTAGCAAATGTAAAGGTATAACATTTATCCTTATGAGTTGTACACTGTATTCCTAAACATTACAGTGTTTATAAACAAATATTTCTTCACTTGGCTAGTGACACCATAAAACTTGATTTAGCAGTGCTTTTCCAAACCATAAATGTGCCACATCACATTTATGATGTGGCATTTATGATAATTCTAGCATTACTTTTAGTAATGCTAAAATTATCATATATTGTACCACAATTTCTGCAAAACAAGCTATTGTTTGTTACCTTTTTTCTAAAAACCTATCCAAACACTGTAGTACAGTATTTACATTTGCTCCACTGTAGTCTATATATTAAGATAAACAAAAGAATGAATCTAGAGACATTCAAAAGAATGAATGACATTCTAGAGAATGTCATTAAACAGGACAGAACGGTACTGAAAGGTGAGTGCTCTCTTTGTAAGAACTAACATTACAATTACCATAAATTGAAGAACCATATTAAATATTTTCCATTAAAAAACTATTTCTTCTATTTTTTACAATATAAAAACTAACTTTAGCTCATTGATAGAGTGAATTTGTCCTTTACAAGAAACGAGCGTTAATTGAAATTTTTGTACTTCCACTAACAAAGCCGGTTTCACTGGGAAAGGGAAAGATTTGTTCTGGTCATAAAATTGGTCCAATTGGTTGCAACAGGCAAAAATAATGGGAAATTTTCAATGAAGCAAAGCCACATATTCAGTGGAACAGATTGCAACAATACTGTATACTGGTGTTTAAAATAGTGTATACTTCTGCCAGCAATTTTAGTACTATATTAAAGTTTGCTATTATTTGCAATAATTAATATAATATTGCACTTATAGATATAAAATAGCAAAGTAGAGATACAGTGAAATCTTTTGCAACAGAAGGGTCCAGTAACAAATCTGTCCATAGTTCCCCACTTCACCCAATTCTCCGTCAGTGCTTGTTATTCCAAAATGTGTTAATATGCAACTTATTTTAAATTTCAATTATATGATCTTATGTATTTTTTCTTTGTCAGTATAAAAACAATCCCATGAATACACACACATACCAGTGAAGAAGTGTTCCATGTTAAATAACCTTTAATACAACCAGCGGTGTAGTTACTGTACTACAATACTGTACTGACAGTAAACACAAAGAAAGGAAGCAATCTACTGAGCATATATAATTACCTTGTCACATAAAACTGCAATAATCAATCACAGACTCTTAACAGCCAACCACTTAAGACTAGTCGGTGGAGCAATAGCCATACATCTTGCAGAGTCGGCGTTCAATCTCTGATGGTCCAAGTACTTGGGCTCCATTCCTCCCAAGATTTGTATAGTCATACTTAGTGCTTTATCCCCAAAATTATCTTACCTTTAAATCATAATAAGCAAACAATCATGTATAACTAACCGTAATTACCAAAGTGTAGTTACAGGACGAGAGCTACGCTCGTGGTGTCCCGTCTCCCCAGCACTCTTTGTCATATAACGTTTTGAAATTATTGACGGTTTTGGCCTCCACCACCACCTCACTTAACTTGTTCCAACCGTCTACCACTCTGTTTACAAAAGTTAATTATCTTATATTTCCCCGGCAGCTTTGTTTCGTTAGTTTAAATCTATGACCTCTTGTTCTTGAAGTTCTGGGTCTCAGGAATTCTTCCCTATCGATTTTATCGATTCCTGTTACTATTTTGAACGTAGTGATCATATCACCATACTGATATGGTGATATGATCACTACGGTGATCACTATATGGTGATATGATCACTTTTTCTTCTACTAGTTTTTGCATATTTAATGCCTCTAACCTCTCCTCGTAGCTCTTGTCCTTCAGTTCTGGGAGCCACTTAGTGGCATGTCGTTGCACCTTTTGCAGTTTGCCGATGTGCTTCTTAAGATATGGGCACCATACAACCGCTGCATACTCCAGCTTTGGTCTAACAAAAGTCTTGAACAATTTCTTTAGTATTTCTCCATCCATGTACAGTATTTAAAAGCAATTCTGAAGTTATAAAGTGTAGCATATGCTTCTTGCACAATGTTCAATGAACCACCCCTAGATCCTTTTCTTTGTCAGAATTCTTTAAAGATTTCTCACATAATTTATAGGTTGTGTGGGGTCTATGTTCTCCAATTCCACATTCCATAACATAGAATTTATTCACATTAAATTCCATTTGCCAAGTGTTGCTCCATATACTTATTTTGTCCAGGTCTTCTTGAAGGGCATGACAATCATCTAGGTTTATCTTCCCTATTATCTTAGCATCATCAGCAAACATGTTCATATAATTCTGTATTCCCACTGGTAGATCGTTTATGTAGACAATGAATATTACCGGTGCAAGAACTGAACCCTGTGGTACTCCATACTCCACTCGTGACATTCCTCCAATCCGATACCTTGCCTCTGATTACGGCCCTCATTTTTCTGTCAGTTAGGAAATTTTTCATCAATGTTAGAAGCTTACCTGTCACCCCTCCAATATGTTCCAGTTTCCAGCAACCTCTTATGGGGAACTCTGTCGAAAGCCTTTCTTAGGTCCCGATAGATGCAGTCAACCCAACCATCTCTTTCCTGTTAAATCTCTGTGGCTCCATCATAAAAACTGAGTAAGTTCGTTACACAGGATCTTCCAGATCGAAAACCATACTGTCTGTCAGATATTATATCGTTTTCCTCCAGGTCTTCTACCCATTTAGTTTTAATTATTTTTCCAATATTTTGACTTGCACTTGTCAATGATACAGGTCTATAATTAAGGGGGTCATCCCTGCTTCCACTTTTGTAGATTGGAATTATGTTAGCTTTTTTCCACACATCAGCTACAACTCCTGTAAACAGGGATGCCTGAAAAATCAGTTGAAGTGGAATGCTGAGCTCAGGTGCACATTCTCTTAGAACCCATGGTGGAACTCCATCTGGACCAACTGCTTTGTTCTTACTTAACTCCTTGAGCATTTTTCCACTTCGTCTCTTAGACACCTCTATGTGCTCTATGTTGTTCTCTGGAATTCTTATTGTGTCTGGTTCCCTGAAGATATCATTTTGTACAAACACACTTTGGAACTTTTCGTTTAGTGTTTTCATACATTTCCTTTTCATTTTCCGTGAATCTATTTCCCATTTTCAACCTCTGAATATTATCCTATACCTGCAATTTGTTGTTTATGAATTTATAGAATAGACCTGGTTCTGTTTTACATTTGTCTGCAATCTCATTTTCAAAATTTCTTTCTGCCTCTCTCCTCACTGCCATGTAGTTGTTTCTCGCATCTTTGTATCGCTGGTATGTTTAGGGGTTTAGCCTTTTCCTGTATTAATTCCATTTGTGTGCCTTTTGGTCTCTGGCCCTTTTGCAATTTCTGTTGAACCAATCCTGTTTCCTAGTTCTGCATCTCTGTTTTGGTACAAATATTTTTTGTGCCTTTATCATATATTTTACAAAACTTGACATACATCTTATTCACTTCCTTGCCTAGCAACAAGTCTGTCCAATTATACTCACTAACAAATTTTCTGAGGTCGCCATAATGTCCTCTCCTGAAGCCAGGTTTTTCAACTGCTTCAACCTCCTTATTTTCTTCCAGATTATAATGCATTGCATACTTTATTCCCAAAAAGACATGGTCACTTTTACCCAAGGGAGAAAGGTACTGAATGTCAAATATCTCTTCCTCCTTCCTGATAAATATCAAATCTAGCATGGAGGGAACGTCCCCTTCCCTCATCCTCGTAGCTTGTTTAACATGTTGAAACAAGAAGGTTTCCAAGATGAGGTCTACAAATCTACAGGTCCAAAAATCTTCTGTTTAGCTTCATATGCTTCCCAGTCTATGGATTTCAAGTTGAAGTCGCCGACTATCAACAGTCGTGATCTATCGTTATCCGCTCTCGCTATAATCTCTCTCATTATTGTTACAAGATCTTCTCGTTTACTATCTAGCTCCTCCTCTGACCATGTGCTGCTTGGCGGTGGACTATATGCATTTATGATCATTAGTTTATCATCCTCATAGCAGATCTCTAGTGCTATTATGTCAACTTCTTGTGGATTGGCAATCATTATTTCCTTCACCTTTAGGTGTTCTTTCACCAGCCAGCAACGCCACCGCCTTTCCTAATTTTTCTGTCCCATCTCAAAATTGAGTAGCCCCTTGGGAATATGACCTCATTTAAAATAACATCATGTTTTGTCTCCATGAGTATTGTACAACAATGTCTGGTGTCTGCAGCTGTATTACATCACTTAACTCCAGTATCTTCGACCTCACTCCATCTATGTTGGTGTATGCAATTTTCAGGAACTTGTTCCCCCCTCTCCTTATCCTTCACTACCCCTCTCTCTAATGATTTTGTTAGTTTGCCTTTATGTACCACTTTACTGGTCTGCCTACCCTTATCACTTTAAAAAAAAAAAAAAGAATCAATTTCTTCTTCATTCCTGCTCTAATTTAAATGTTTTGCCTTGGCGAGGTTCAGTTTCAGCTTCTCTCTGTCTTCTTTTGAAAGATCTCGTCTTAACGACCACACTTTCTCATCCTCATCACTTTGTAATTTTCTAGCATTCCATAGTACTTCTTCCATCTGTTTGGCACCGTTTAGGGTGATCCTTAAACGTCGATCTTTCCCTTTTATGTATCTGCCTATTCTCCTGTAGTCGCACACATTCTCTATGGTAGTAAGACCTTCCACAAGGCCAACAATTTTATCTACTACTTTCGCTTCTTCTACAGCTCTTTCTGACCTAGATGTTATCTCCTTTTCTTTGCAACCAAAAATTATCAGGGACTTACTGATACTTTTAGACTTACCGTGTAGTGCATCATATGCTCCCTGACAAAGGTGGGTGGAAGTAGTGGGGGATAGTAGTCATTTGAACTGCCAAAGCTCTGTCCTCTACGTTCACAATCGCCAAAACGAGAACTTTCGACGCGTCCATCACTGGTGTACTGTCTGTACCAACTGCCACCAGATCCGCCAGAAAAGTAGATGTCAGGGTTTGTGGTTCCAGTTTGTTGTCGACTGTGTGAAGTTGACTTTCTGACCTTCAGACGGAAACCGTGGAACTCGTACCCATCAAGCTCACGGATTGCTCTCTGTGCTTGAGCTTCATCGTCCATATGCTATAATGTCATAACAAAAACTAACTTGAGATATCCACTATTGTAAACAAAGATGTATAATGACTATAGTGCTTGGCAGAGAAGGTTAATGCCACACTATACTGTCTGGAAATTACCTGCTACTAAACTTAATCAAAACTGATTGCAGACTGTTGAGAATGAATTAACGTTCTACAGTAGAATACAATGAATTTTATCAAAGGTAATCACAACATTTTGCGAGCTATTTAGTGGGTGGAAACCTAAAATGTTTTACATGTTTTCTGGGGGGAGCCCCTTCGGCTCCCTGGAGCTTACTAGGCTGATATGCTAATGTCAGACTTTGGCATCAGTCATGTGTATGGAGTTCTATGGGCCTACCGGGGACCACGAGCCAGAACCTGGCCCCCTAAGAAGAGGCTAGGTGAGCAATGGCCTATAGAAACCCGTGTGATTGGGGGCATTCTATGTCTGCCATCGACCGGGTTAGGCACCCAGAAAGGTAAGCGTCCCAAAACAAACCCCTATTCTGGTGAAAATTGCTACCACAAGCCGAACAAGTGGATAGAACTCCCCTAAAGTAAACAAGCAAACAATAATGATATCACATGTCGCCGCCCCGCGGTTCGCACAGCTCCCCCCTCCCCGGAAGGGGGAAGAGGAAGCCCCAGACCCAGTTCTAAAGCTGATGCTAAAGGCTGAGGTCATGTGCTCTGGCTCCGGTGGTTGTTTCAGCACTGTACCTAGAGTGTCGTATCTGTCTTCCAGGTGGTGCGTGAGCCGGGAGTGTTTCTTCAGTACTCGGGCTGCATACGCCTAGGGTTTCCTTCCCTAGGTGCCTTGTAAGTACTGCCCTTGGGGCTTGGGGTTCCCTTTCACAAGTTCCTTGGGTTCTGCCCCTGCTAGGCCGTTTACTGCTTGGTTTTTGGCTGCCCCTTGTGTGCTCGGGTGTTCTGTCTCCCTTGTTCGCCTTGGGGTAGGGGGCAGTTTGTACTGGCGGGGCGCAGGGTACTACGAATCTAGTTTTCACCAATCAGAGCGGCCGGCTCTGTTCCGCCTGGGTACCCTGTCCTCTTGCGAGGTTTTCTTTTTCTTTTTGTTTTCTGCCTGGTGGGGGGTCTGCCTTGGTTCTTGCCCCCTGTGTACCGAGTACTCTTCCTTCTTCCGGTAGTTCCCCCTGCTAGGTCCCCGTGAGTGTACACGTCCCGGGGGTTCAGTTCTTAGAAGGTTGTTTGGTAGTTTTGGGCGCCGGTTAGCAGTACCCTGCCTGGGTTTACCATGGTTGTTTACCATTTGTCCATGGTTGTATCAGCAGTTGTTGCTGTGCCTTTTGGCTCCGATTGCCAGGTTTGGTTTTCTGGTTCCTGGCTTTCCCTGCCTGTTGGCTTTTCTGCGTCTCACGGGATCCCTTTCCTCGAGACTCAGTCGGGGCCGTGGTCTCAGACCTCCTGGAGAGCTCACTGGTGTTGAGACGTTTTTGTCCGGCAGACGTTCCACCTTCTTTTGCCGGCTCAGTTTTCCGGCTCTTCCTGCTCGGTGGTCACACCCAAGATCTTCCCGTGGCTCCGCCTCTTCTCGGCTCGTTTGGTCCTTGGGGGGGGGGGGCCTGGTTCGGCTCTGCCTCGGGTCTCTCACTTTCTGTTGGTCAGGAGGCTTCGTTGATGGTGTCCCACCTGCGTTGTTCTTCTTGGCGGCAGTGGGGTTTTTTGGCGGTCCTTCCTTTTTCCTTCTGTCCCTTCTTCAGTTCTGTTTTGTTGGCATGGTCTTGTCCTTCTCTTTTGGGGATTCGGGGCCGTCATTTTGCCACATACTGTCACCTCGTATCGTGCGGTACTGGCGGAGTCGCTTCAGCTTGCTCTCGGTATTGAGGATTGAGGTTCGGTTTATTCTGGTCCGTTTTGCATGCTGCCTCGGGCGTTGTTTCCCCGCTGGCCTGCTCATGCACCACCTGAGCGGTCCTGGTCATTGGACAGAGTGCTCTTCTCTTCGATTTGTTGTGGCCCCTTCGGTCCCGGTTTGTTTCTCCTAGGCTCTTTTTCTGTTGGCCTTGGCCTCTGGAGGTCGGGTTGGCGAGTTTTCTGCTCCTTTGGTCATGGCGATGGGGTTGTTCGTTGTGGCAGTCTCCTTTTTGGCGGAGAATGAGACGGCTGCTTTCCAGAGGGGTCCTTGGGTTGTTGCTGCTTGGTTGTTTTGGCTGGGGGGTGCTTCATGTTTGGTGTCCGGTGGCAGCCCTCCACCGTTCATTGCGCGCCACGGCTTCTGTGTCCTGGGTCGCGCTTTGGGTTGATCCGGTTTCCCTACTTTTTTGTTTGCGGGTGCGGGTCTCCCGGGTCTTCTGCAGGATTATTATGGCTAGCCGGCCTGTGGTCTCTCCTCATGTCCATGTTCGCGGCTCTTGCCACTGTTTTTGGCAACATGTCACGGGCTGTCATTCGGGCGCTAGGTTTTTGGCAGTCGAGCTGGGTCCTGGCTGCTCGTTATCTTGTGCGCGTTCCTGAGCCCAGTTGGGCCTGGGTTGCTTTGGATCAGCAGTTGTAGCTGTTTGTCTCGGCTTCGAGTTGCGGAGTGAGCGGCAACCGCCTCCCGGGGAGGTCCCTCTACTTCCCTTTGTGGGGAGTTAGCTCCGGGGAGCTGAAGGGGCTCCCCCCAGAAAACCAGCGTTGAATGTAATGAAACGCCATTTTCTGGGCGAGTCCTGGAGGCTCCCCGGCATCCCTCCCTCCCTCCGGTCAGCATTTTTTTCACGTTTTTGACATTCAGCCTCAGAACTGGGGGTGAATATGGGTCCACCATATCCACGCGATGGATATGGGGCTCCCCCTTCCCCCTCATGGGGAGGGGGGGAGCTGTGTGGACAGTGGTGCGGCGACGTGTGACATCATTATTGTTTGCTCGTTTATTTTAGGGGAGTTCTATCAACTTGTTCGGCTTGTGGTAGCAATTTTGACCAGAATAGGGGGTTTGTTTTGGGACGCTTACCTTTCTGGGTGCCTAACCAGGTCGATGGCAGACATAAAATGCTTCCAACCATACGGGGGTTTCTATAGGCCATTGCCCCCCTTGCCTCTTCTGAGGGGGCCAGGTTCTGGCTCATGGTCCCCGGTAGGCCCATAGAACTCCATACACATGACTGATGCCAAAGTCTGACATTAGCATATCAGCCTAGTAAGTTCCGGGGAGCCTCTGGGACTCGCCCAGAAAATGGCGTTTCATTACATTCAACGCTGGTTTTTTCATTAATACATCAGCAAAATCTATTTCTAGCATGGCTCTCTTCTTCTCTAACATTGTTTTTAAATCTTGTTCCATCCTGGGAACATTCCATCACTGAAGGGATGACCAGGAGTGAGAGTAAGGGGGCCTTGAGCTTCTCTTTCTCAATCATTTCTCAAGAAAATAACTCATGCATAATAGTGGAATTCAACAATCCACCTCCCTCTATTTCTCTTTCCCCTCTCTTCTAACATGATATAATAAACTTACAACGAATGCATAGTTGTTTATAATATCGGCTTCTACTACGTTGCCATACATTTCAAAAAGTCTTTTCACCTCCGATACTCTACAATTCTTGTTCAAATTACCAACATAGATTTTTGTCTTCTGGTTACCACCCTTCTTGATGCCAGTAGAAGCTTTAACAACCATAGGCTGCAATAAATAAAATAAAGCTTCAAAACACACAAAAAAACCTTAATATCAAAATTTAAATTTGTTATTTCAATAATGTGCATCACAAGGAACAAGTTTAATCAAAGAAAAGCTTTTAATTTGTTAAAGATAATTTCACATTTTTAAAGGGATAAAATGTGATTTTGTTTACTATGTCACAGGTTGAATTAAAACATTATTTTACCCTTTCATCCAGTATATAGCCATTCAGTGCTGCAATAGCCACTTTGCCCTCCTCCTCTTTGTCCATGTGCACGAAACCAAAGCTTTTTAGCACATCTACCTCTACCACTGTGCCATGAGCTTCAAAGAGTTTTCGAATTTCTGTAGTTGTGGTGCGATGGCTGAGGTTACCTAAAAATATCTTGTAAGTTTTCTTCTGTTCGGCTTTCTTAGACGATATCTGGGAAAATGGCAGATGGTGTATGTATTAACAATTGAAGGATGAGGCAAACAGATAGTAATTAGTTGCCCTATTTTTTTAATCTTTTAAGCATTGCTTATGCTATGTTTGTTAATTTTAATGCATTTTCCTTTCCTTCTGTATGGGTTCATACGATTGAGGACAAAGTTTGTTACGCTCATCGAGACCCACCTAGGCCAATCATACCGCTTCTGAAGGATGCAAGCCACAACAGCTACCCAACTCCTCCCGGTTACTTATTTACTGTTAGGTGACCAGAGCATCAGGTGTAAGGAACTGTGCCCAAGCATCTTGCCTTACCAAGAAACTGAACCCAGAAATATTTGATGGCGAGCCAACTGTGTTGACGATGTACTCATTGTGTGGAAGCATCTTTTATTTAAATGATGCTCACTTTTTTAAAATAATCACAAAAAAATCTAATAAGATACTTAGAATCTCTAAGTATAATTAATTTCTCCTAATACATTATGTATACAAATTGTGTACAATATCTACACCACTGTATGTTCATATAAACTAACAAATACTTCCCTAATATAGTTTCAAAAAATTATCCATGAGGTTTATCCTTGAGGTTATCAGCTAGCCTTAGAGAACATGGGTAAACTCCACTACATCCATACAGATATTTGCATTATTCCTGTAAAACCCAGACAATAATCATTTAAATCAACAAATGATAAGCGCATTATCCAGTGAATCTACATGTGATGATAGCCACATTTTAAGGGTTAAATTCTAATTCGGGTACAGTAATGCAATACTGTACAAATTGCAGGCCACCTGTATACATTTATGTGTACTGTACTCTACAGTGATATACAGGGGTGAAAACATAAAAATCATACAAATTTATTTGTTGTTTTCCATGTAACAAAATAAAGCTGAAACTTAAAGCAGAATTACCATCACAAACTGTGTTTTTAAGATATCATAGAGTCAAAGTTGGCAGTCCTAACCAAACAGCAGTATTAGAAGTGGGAATGACTACAAATGATGCAAATAGTTGGCAATGAAATGAAACAAAAAAAAAATGTGTAATGTTTTAGCTAAGCAGAACTTTGTGATTTTCGTGCAGCAACAAATACAATACAATTTTATTCAATAGAATGTGTGTACAAAAAAACAAAGGAATAATGTACAAATTGTAGGGACAGGAGTTACACAATATATGAAGCCACTAGTATGCAAAGCATTTTGGCCAGAAACAAAAGAAATAAACAAAATGTTTTTTACAAAGGTGTCAGGAGGAAAATAAAAAATTATTGTAAAAAAAAAGGGACACTTAAGGATGACAGGTAAAGACTTCTTGCCATTTAAAACAAAAGACCCTCCCAGTGAGGGGTACATTAAAGACAGTACTGTATACAAATATTGCTCGAAACGATGCCGATTTGATGACAGGACTGCAAATGCAAAATGTGGGAGGATGTTTTACATGCCAAATAAGGAGTCCATGTTCAACTGATATTCTGAACATAAGAGCATGTATTAAGTAACATACAATACTATACATAGAACACATGTTGTTACACATCTAGTATAAAACTAAGCTGTGTGTTACACACAGATCTCATGTTGAAGTGATATTTACACATGGAACACGTGTCGACATGACAAGGTACACCAACAGTCTACACACTGAGCACATTCTGAAGCGACATACATCACAAATTTGAAAACAAATTTATGATGCGATTATAATTTTACTGCAAGTTTAATCACTTCATTTATAACAATAAAGATAATACAGACAGAATTTGCACGAATCTTTGTGGACATCCTTTATACCCCGTACTATAACGAACACAAAATGTATCGCAATTTTACGAGATACTTACAACAAAGGCACAGCTGTTGGCAAGAGAATTAGACTCTATGGCACTGTTATCCAGGTCATATAAACTTTGCAGCCTCTCAAGTCTAGACTCTGTAGGAAGGTTGCCATCTAAGATATCTGAAGTTTGGTCATCATCTTTCTTAGCACCGGTAGAGGCCTTAACAACCATTGGCTGAAACCAAATATATATTAACCAACTCATTAAGATTTATATTCAACTAGAATTACTCATCTTCAACTAAAAATAAATCAAACTTTGAATGGAACTAAAGCCTAGTCTACACCAATCTGTAAATCAAATATTTACTGTAAATCAACCAAACAGATTTACCCAATACTCAATAATGCAACTGATGCTCTCAAGACATAACTCTGGAATGTACTAAAGCCAAAGTTCATTTATAATCCCTCCCATTACATTAATACACAATGATAAAAGTATATTTCATGCTTAATTTGAGAAATAGCTTTTAGTAATCACTGGGATCCTGTTTATCATGGTTTGTGATATAATACTTTCATGCTGCATCTTATTGATCACACTAAACAGTAGTCATTATCAGTTCCTATCTTGAATAGGACTCTTTCAGAGGTGTGTCGAGTCAATTCCGCAGGAGAAGTTTATCTTGGCGTGGGTATAAATGTGGAAACCACTCCTCAAAAGTATTTTTATGACATTGATACATTTCCATTTTTTGTCTGAAAAGATGTACATTACTAATTAATTTGTGTATTTATAACTACACTAATACTATACTGTACCATGTACAGCATTTACATTATACAATGTACAGTAATATAATAAGTGAATATTTTGTATAAATAAATATAATTATTATTAATAGTATTAATCTAAATTAGCAAGAACCATGCGTACAAACAAACCAATTAACTCTATTGTACCTACCGGTATATATATCATCCAAAATGGTTAACCTGGATTAAAAACAATGTATGGTAACAAATCTTACTTTTCCATGAAGAGAATAGCCATTGAGTGTTTCAATAGCCATCTGACCCTCATCCTCATTTTCCATGTGCACAAAACCATAGTTCCTGATGACATCTGCCTCCAGCACTGTACCATGTGTTTCAAAAAGTTTGCGGATATCCGAGCCTGAAGCACGATTACTGAGATTTCCAACAAATATTTTGTAAGCATTTTCCCAATCAGGAGTTTGGGTTGAAATCTAGAAAAAGACAATCAAGGTATTTTCAAGTAAATGAAGAAAATATAAATTAAATTACAAATATTACAAGAATTCTAACATTCATACATACTTTTATTTTAATTCTACAGTGCAAGCAATATTTCTAGTTTTATTAAATTATAACACTATCAGCTGGGAGAAAGTCAGTGAAACAAATCAAAACAGTATCTGTATAATGCAACAATATAGAAAAAATATAAGCAAAAGGTGATCATAAGCTACAACATGAATTTTCCAAGTAATTAATTATCAAAAGAAGGTGCCAAGCTGGGCAGACTATGTAGCATGACTTCCAAAGTAGGTGGAGTTTGCTCCCTGGAAGCCTAGAATGGAGAAGACCATGCCTGTACTGAAAAGTTGAGCACTAGGGCCTCTACCTCATGCAGTCTCCATCCTTAGAAATGAGAGAGCAGGCTTTAGATGGAACATCTAACTCATCTTAAAGAATATCTGTGTGTCATCTAACACCTTCTACATTTCCTAAGGTTCAGGAAGGAAAGAATAGTGAGTAGGGAGCAACAAGAAAATCATCCAATCAAACTCCTAAATTGAAACAATTGTACCTATAGGTAAGGCATTACATCAATTGCTAATTAAACCACAATGAACCGATAAGAAACCAATAATAGCAAGCGAAAAGTCTCGCACGAATCTTGCAGAGCAGAAAACCTCCTGGATATCAAGGAATACACTGAAGTTGTGCCTACACCAAGAAGGTAAAAGCCTCAAGTGAACAAGTCTTAAACCCGCAAAGCACGGAACCTCCACTGGGGAGCACTAGGGAACAGAGCAGTACCCATAAGAGATACCCTACAGAGCCAGGGAATACATTTAAGGCATACAAAACCAAACAGAGCATGCACCTACAAAAAAATACATCACACCAAAAAAATAAAGCAATACAGTACCCTGCTTTAGCAGCCACAGCAGCATCTGATCAAGACTATGCATAGACTCCATGAATGGATATAAACACAACACAGCACCAAAGCCCAGACCAAAAACTAATCTTCTACACACCACAAAGTTAGGAGTTGAACTTAAGAAGAATTGGACAATGTCGAGTGCTACCAAAAAGCCTCAGAGAAGATATAATTCTATATATCTGTAGTTATCTGAAGATATATGTAGTATAGTCATTTGTCTTCAACATTAGGCTACAGGAGGGCTTCTTAAGCAAGAAATCCTCAAAGCAAAGCTAAAGTGGAAATGAAAATCAAATAGCACACAAATGCTCATTTTTATTAACAAATAGCACTGGTGAGTATAAGAAGGAAGCACGAGTTGCAGAAATTTGACTTTCAATAAATGATAGTTTTAAATGACCCTAAATTGTATTTCTTCCACTGAACTACAATACTACTGTATATAATCACTTCTATATCATGATACGAAGTATATTCATGAATAATACAAACTTGTTTTGTTTCAGATTCAACCCTGATGATAACTTGAGAGTTGACAGATGAATCTGAAAAAGGAGACTCAAGAGGAGAGCTCTTCTCTGTCTTAAGATCACTAGCGGCACTTGCACAGTCAGTTTTCTGCAATTTGGCCAACGCCTTTAAAAAGAAATATTTTATGTTAGAAAAAGCAATTGATAGCAATATAAAATATAATGCTGGTCAATGCTATATTGCTGAAATCAGTGAATAGAACAATAGTTTACGCTCATACTTCTGCTAGTTTCCAGCGATATGTACTCCCGAAAGATGCTACTGGAAACTAACATAATACGAGTTAAACTGCAATTATTACTTTTAGTGTATTTTTGTACATTAAGGAGAATTATTTCCGAGATTCTGAAATCCAAACAAAATCCCATATTACTTTAAGATTAAACACAATTTTTTCTAATGCAGTACAGTATATGAATGCAATATGAGTAAAATGAAAATACATACAAAATCAATGTATGAATAAAAATAATTACCATTTATTATGTACTCAATAGTAGGTGGGGAACAAGGAGTTTCATATAGGAAGAGGGCGAGTTGATTACACTATTTTCAAACTTAGGCAAGAAAAAGAGCTGCCTACGTTGAGAAGAGTAACTATGTATCCAGCCAGTTCTCATGAGCCACTACCATTTTCTTGTACTTTAGTTTTTGGCTTTGGGTAAAATACATGTCAAAATGCGACATGCTATGAAGAGGATAGGTTGATGTCCTCAACTGAATAAAATGAGAAAGGGACAATGGAAACTGAGAACTTAATGAAAAGACAGTGTGAAAATGCATGGGTAAGATGAGTACAGTATCTTTAACAAGGCTTTGATATACAGTACTGTATAGGGTAGTGTATGGAAAGAAATCCCTCAAGAGGCCACTCAGCCCCGCTCATGCTGGTGAACTGAAAACAAAGCATGATACAATTGGAAATGAAAGCTCGTTCATTGTTACTGTATTAAGAATAAACATATCAAATTTTGAATGCAGATACAGTACAGTATTTAAAAAGAATATCAAATACTGGTAGTAGGAACATTATTTATTTTAAATATTAGACTATTAGAACTAGTATAACTGAGGAAAAAATACAAAAGAACTACAAAGTAGTAAGGAAAATTTGTGTCCTTTCACACAACTTGTGCCTCATCTGGCTTTTCCATGCGTTGTCTCTCCTATAACAGGAAGATACAGGCATTCAACTATAACAGAAGATATTCACTCAATCTCAAAACTTATACACTGTATAAATACTAGTACTGTACAGTATTTCTTACCACTCGTGTGCCCTCCAGCTCCTGTCTTACATTCTCAAATAAGGCTTCCAATTCCTTTAATTTTGTTTGCAATTTTCCTTTTTCATGCGACACTAAACCATTTTGTAGGGACTGGTTATTCACTGTGCTTATTTGCCCAACTTCCTGATCCTCTTGATCAGGCTCTTCTTTCAAACTTCCAATTGATTCCATTAAGTCTGAAGTAGTCTTCCTTAATATAACAAAACCGCCTCTAATAACCAATAGTGAATGCCGAATAACTCATAGTTTCTCTATTTGTAGTTATTTTTTCAGTAAATCTTGAGCTTCTTAAGATCTTGTAGCATCACAATCTGTTTAATGAAAATGTTAAATGTTTAAACAATGCTCAATTTCTAAGAATCCATATGTTGAAACAAACAAGCCCATTATAACAATAATAATTCTTTGTGCCGGGAGACATTCGGCCAGTGTATATATACATACATCTTTGGCTTATATTGAGGCCCCCCCCCCCCCACTTCCCATGAAAGTTAAATTACTGACCCTCCCCGGGATGCACCCACCACAACAAGTTGACCAATTCCTGGGTACCTATTTAATGCTAGATGAACAGGGACATTAGGTGATAGGAAATGTGCTCAACCAATTCTGTCTTGCCTAGTATTCACACCCAGGATTCTCAATTGCTGTATGCAGCAAATTTAGACAAAAAAATTATAACGCCAAACGTGTAAAGTTTATGAAAAATCCATTCTGAAGGGATTGTAGAACAGACAGCTAAGCACACAATATGACAAAATAATGAGAATCGGTCAAAAACTGGAATGTTAGAAGCCACTCAAAGTTGAAACTCTGGTTTAAAGATAATTGAAGTTGAAGTTATCAACAAAGAATAAAGGTACAGTAGTTTTAATTTGTTAATTTAACACTTTCGCGCTCTCGGCGCTGAAAAAAAAACAATACCCCAGATGCTTTCGGCACTTCGCGGCCTACGCGGTAAGACCGAAAAGTGTACACTCTTTTGACTGTCCTGACAATAATTAAAGGCGCACGTATTTAAATTTGGTATCACTGTGTTCGCAATGAAATTGTCTATAAGAGCATACCTATAAAATGCCGCCCAAGCATAAGGAGTATCAACACCAAATAAAAAACTATGCAGATCACTCGCCGAGAGCGCCAAACAGCAACAAAATGTTTCCACTCTCTTAATGGTTGCGAAGCCTACAGTTGTCCTACATCGCTAATTTTGGTATCATTGGAATCGCAATAAAAGTCTCTACACGGACATATGCATATGAATGTTTAATATAGGTAATTGCCCACCCGCAAGAGAGTGTGAAGTGGAGAGTAGTTAGCCGCGAGCGCACTGGCGAAAACACAGGGGGGAAATCATGCTTGGAAAGTTTATACGTTTCCTGACCCTACTTTTCTATGTACGTATTTCTTTTTTATACCAATGTGTTCGCAATAAAATTTTCTATAAGATGAACTGTATAACATTTGTAGAAAGCATGTGTAAGAGAAGCGCCAAATATAGAACCACGTCGCTCAGTATTCGTTCGCGGCAGAAACGAACGCATTGTTTTCGTTCGTTTGATGTTTGTCATGTTTATACTTGTTGAAACATTTTATAATTTGTATGACAGTGATCGCAGTAAAATTCCCTTCACAGACATATACATAACACATACAAATATTTCCCACGTGTTGGATATATCAACGGCTAAAGGGAACCCACTGCCACACGCTCGCCACACCCCCAAACATACTTTGTGTATTTTTTTTTTTACTCATAGAAGTTTATGTGATATAATATTCATTCTGGTACCAAAACATTCGCAAATAAATTCTCTACAAAACAAAAGTATCCCTATCCATTTCAGTTAAAAAATGGAATTTATAGAAATATTTTTTCGATGGACGAGAAAAGTAGGCAGTTATGCGGAATCGTAAGAGAAAACGGCGACGGGTTATCTCTAATATAAAGCGCGAAAGTGTTAATTGTATGTTTTAATAAACATTGTTTGGCATTCATACTCGAGTATGTGAAAGTTGTAGGTCAATATGTGTTGAAATGAAGTCAAGAAAAAATAACCCCAAAAAAACACAAAATATCGGGATAATTATAATAATTATAATGATTTAGGGGATATCTTTAGGTTTAGGTCTTTAGGTTTATATAAGTGAAAAATCCCAAATATGGTCCCTAATCATTAAAACAACCTAAAGAGACAAAGGAAATAGAGTTTGAAATCAGAGAAAAAATCAGCTAAAAAAATTAAAAGTCCCAAGTTTTGCGAGTTGTGACTGATTTATTTGTTGACTAATTTCATTCTATCTTCACATAGTTATGAAAACATATGCATTCTCCAGGATGTAACAGATACACTAAAATCAGATAATAAACAAAGGAGAAAAAAGTAGACTAAAATCTTAAAAAAAAATTTTTGGGGACATTGATGAAAGTAACATGTATTAACATTGGATAATGTTTTTATATGATATATAACAAAATAGATCATATTAATATAGTTATTCATTATTATTTGTGTTATGTATTACTCAGCAATGATATAAAGGCACCAACTGCATATCCACTTTGTGGACACTTCTTACTACTATTGTTCTTCTTTGAGCATAGGACAGGTGCTTGCATCTCTTTATTACTGCATAATCCTTCAGTTCCAGTTATTAGGAGCTGTTCTCATTATTAACTAAAGGTTCTTATTTTTCAAAAATTTGTCTAAAATCAATTTCTGAAAATATTTTGATGAAAATTTCATGACATTGAAGCCAATAAGTTGGAGATTTGTTTCTTTATATTTATTTGATTTGTGGAGATATTTGGAGACATTAAGTTATTTTTACATAATTCAAATATTTTTCGCTATCAGGCCGACAATGAATTATTATTATTAATTAAGAGTAGTTACAGGATGAGAATCACTCTTGTGGTGTCCCGTCTTGCCACGGTATTGACCCTTACTGATATGACACCTAGCTGGTGCAGAACGAGGAACCACATCAACGAACATGCTAGTATTGGTCATTGGTCATGCTAAATGTCACAGCTGCAAGCTCAATACCCTCACTTAGGCTAATGGTGTGAGTGTATACGACAAAGTAAAACAAAAAAAAATCCCCATCCAAACCTATCAATCATTTGGTGTTTATTTTGTATTAAATACTAGGCTTTTTTTTTTACTATACCTTGAATACATGCATAAATATAATATGTTGGAGAGGATGACTAGAAAGTGGGAGTTGCGTGCAGACTTGACAAGTGTGAATTATTAAACACTCGTAATTAATCCATTAGCTTCGTGCTCGAAGTTATGCCAGCACGTGTCCTCATGCACATACCCTGCAGTTTGACACCATGTCACAGCTACCACACACACATACACACACACACCCGTGTCACAGCTACCACACACACCAGTATCCCAGCTACCACACGCACGTATCCCAGCTACCACACACACTGGCCAACATAACCCAAAGTGTCATAACAATAACATTGCTGATCGGTGTTTACCTGTGCAGGGGTGAAGGCAGCGTCACTGTCATAACAACACCTCCAGATATTGACCTAAACTTCTTGTATATTCCGCCACACAACTCATACTTGTGTCCAGTGGAGGTGTGAGGCGTCACCTGGTCATGTCAGCGGGGAGGTTGTGAGTGTGTTATGAGGAGAGTCACGGGAGATACTCACTCACTCACACGGCTCCTCATTCCGGTCCCTCCTGGGTTGCCAGATTCAAATTGCTAAAAGTAGCGAGATGACGGTCTAAAAGTAGCGAATTTGTAATAAGAGTAGCCCAATTTTTTGTTTAGTTATTTATTTATTTATTTATGCATATACAAAAAGGTACATTGGGAATGTGAGGATACATAATATGGTAATTACAGTCTTGTAAAGCCACTAGTACGCGCAGCGTTTCGGGCAGTGACTGATACGGGGTTTCAAAGTAATCTATTATGATATATAGAGTACATTAAACGATTTTAATTGTTTTATTAACATTATCTCTGCATATTTAACCAATATGATAATAGGATAACTTACCAATATTTACTGTTTGAAGATTAATGGGTGTGAAGTCCTTCCACGTCTTTACAGTTGAAGATTACCAAGATCTTGATCTGCATCCACAACCTCGTTCTTGTATATTGCAGACTCATATTTAAGCATTGACATGAGTGGTTCAAATGACGAGCAACAAGTTACATTTTCTTCAAGATATGTTTTGATTCTCAAGACTGATGTCAAAAGCTCAAGTCCCATTCCCATTAAAGATTTCTCAGTTTTGTTTTCACAGACGTTACTCTCGAAAATATCCGTTCAACCAGGGCATTACTGATTGGCAAGCTGTGTATTTTCAACACGAACTCTGCGAGGTCAATCAGTATGGGATTGAAGTCAATCAGTATATCTGAAGTGTCGGAAATTTAACTCCTGAGCGTGATTTTTGAGCCGAATTCTGACTCTCTGCACCTATTTTCGTTTTCAAATTACGACTTTTTACACCGAAAATATGCCAATTACTGAAAACAGCGATGGGTCATATTTTGCCCAAACCCCCCTGCAGTTTTCAAAATATCTGAAATGTCTGAAATTTGACTCCTGAGCGTGATTTTTGAGCCGAATTCTGACTCTGCACCTATTTTCATTTTCAAATTACGACTTTTTATACCGAAAATATGCCAATTACTGAAAACGGCGATGGGTCATATTTTGCCCAAACCCCCCCCCCCTGCAGTTTTCAAAATATCTAAAATGTTGGAAATTTGTCCGGGAGACATCTCCCGTCACGCAGGGTGCAGTCGCGCCTCCACAGATCTCCAGTATCATCTCTTGATACTGGTAATGGCTCAAAAGGGCCACAACTTACGGGCTATTCATGCCCGTGCCACCTCTTGGGTGGCTTAATCTTTATCATCATCATCTTGTGTAGATACCACTCAGACTAAAGACACTAAAGACACTTCGGGGACACTAAAGCCCCTTAGTCATCTCAAGATAACTTCTCAGGGTAAACAGTGTTATTTCATTGCTATATGTAGTTTCAAAATTTTTGCTTTTTATCAACACAATTATTTGTTCTTCCTATGTATTTTGCCAGACTGTACTAGTTAAGTTTGTTTACAATACAATGCCTGTACTTAAGTACAGTATTTTCTGTATAGCTGTATGTTGTGTCCAAAAAATGAACTTAGCTTATATAATATGTTTCAATTTTAAATAATTATGACAATACATAGGATCAATGGTTTAAATACTGTAATATGCATTACTTTGGACTGAAAAATACCGACTTTGCAGTAATAATAAAAAGAAGGCAAAAGGCCTGGAGAACTATGTAGCACCACTTGGCTGCAAAGGATTTAGACATTCATGAGCTGTTTTCCTCCACACATTCTAGTTTAAGAATATATACTTCACAAATATTAAGGTACAGTACTGTACATGAATCTTAATTCATATATTATCGGTGGAAACTTAGTAAAACAACATTTATTAAAACATTACACACATTTCTTTAAATGTTGATGACTAACATACTGTACAATATTAACTGTCGATGGAATCGGGTGTAACCTAGGGTATCTCAAGCCAGTTGAACTATAATACATTTCATCATTTGAGAAAAGGAACCCATCACTTATGACCAGGGTGAAAAAATAAATCTGCATGACTCAAAAAAATTTATTTCAATAAATACAGCTAAACAGAAGGAAATAATAACAAGGTATTACATATACCTAATGATGATAACAGCTCCGAGATGCAAAGCACAGTATGTATAGTACATTATGATCACTGTAGTCATTACAGGTAATGGCAAGGGTAGAAAACAACTATTTCTATGTTAAAAGATACAGTATTCTAAATGTTGCCGAGAATGGAAATAGCCAGTTGTTAAGCTCAAAAACTAAATAAAAAAGCCAGTTATATTTAGTTGCAAATAAGGCAACACACTTGAGTTAAAATATTGAATGTTTAATAAGAAATGAGCAGAACAAATGTATAAAATAAAGCACATTCATAAATACTATGCAATCTTTCCAAATACAGTAATGACTATGAGAACACTACTGAAAGATGCCAGAAAAGTTATAGCACAATCAATACTGCATATAAATTCATAATGCTTATAGCACAAGATGTTGTAGCCTCAAATACCTACGTGATAATGGTGGTAGGAGATTAGACGAGAATTTTCATGAGGATATGGATTTAGGATAGGACAGAGGGATAGTGCCCAACCACTTGGACGGTTGGGGATTGAACGTTGACCTTCCAAATGGCTGGGCACTATTCCTTCCCTCTTATTCCTTCCAAGTACTATACTGTATACTCGTAATGTCTTAGTGCTATGTCCTGATAATTACCTTGCCTTACCTCCTTATTTTGAATTTCTTCCATCATTCTTGATGCAATCCACAACCGTTGGAGAAATAGATGGTTAACTTTTATAAATAACAAAACACTATCAAATGTGACCTATCCTCGAGACCTTTTTTGTGACAGCAGCAGTTAGTGGGAAATGAGACGGGTAAAATGGTCTCCTTAGTGGCGGCATTTACGAGGTCACTGGAGGCAACACCAATATGGCTGGGAGACTAGTAAAACTGGATTGTATTAAATCTTTTTTTTTTTTTTTTTTTTTTGAGATATATACAAGAGTTGTTACATTCTTGTACAGCCACTAGTACGCGTAGCGTTTCGGGCAAGTCCTTAATCCTATGGTCCCTGGAATACGATCCCCTGCCGCGAAGAATCGTTTTTTCATCCAAGTACACATTTTACTGTTGCGTTAAACAGAGGCTACAGTTAAGGAATTGCGCCCAGTAAATCCTCCCCGGCCAGGATACGAACCCATGACATAGCGCTCGCGGAACGCCAGGCGAGTGTCTTACCACTACACCACGGAGACTGTGTAACCTGTAAGAAGATAAGCAAGTTGTTTCACTCATCACAACTTGCCACAATGCAGATACACAAGAAGTAGAACGACGGAAACGAGTAAGCAAACCTGACAGAACATCATTGCAACAGGTCACTGTGAACAAACCAAAGGCAATCTGTGACTACACTAACCACATGCACAGTGTTGATCACTTCGACCAAATGGTCAAATATTTTCATTTCACACGGAAATGTCACAAGTGGACAAAGAAAATCACGTTCTACTTTCTGCAAATGGCTATCATAATGCTTTTGTGCTATACAAGTATTACACAACTGATACAAAGAAACTCTGTTTGCTCCAGTTCCATGAAGTAATCATTTGGTCACTACTGAAGTTAGAGTATAAGAATTGGCCTCTGCAACATGACATCATTCATGCTGGTTATGTACATGACGACGAGAGCAGATCTACTAGCGACAATGTTGCATCACCCGGACCATCAGGTGTGAGGCGGCCACTATTCCCTTCTTTGCCTGGAGATGATAATTCATCATCTGACTCAGAAGAAGAGCGTCAGATAACTTCTTGTGGTGCTGCCGCTAGGAGAAACCCTTGTGTTGTGGATAAATCCGAACGTCTGAACAGGAACTTGAACCATTCCCTAATTCGCATCGAGAAAGGTATAAAGTGTCATATCTGCTACAAGTCTGGTAAAAGGAAGGACACCAGGTATAAGTGCAAGTTGTGTGGTGTGGCACTGTGTGCTGCACCATGCTCCAACTTGTACCATCGTAAGGTGACATACTGGGTGGATAAGCAGTAATGCTTACCCCTATTCACTCCACATTTAGAACATGGGTTGAGAAACTTCAGGAAACCTTTTCCTGGAGCAGGTGGAGTGGTTCAACCTAATGCTCAACTCATGCTCAACAAACATCGTTGGGTGGTGAGAACAGATGTGTTTTTTCATTTATTTATATATATGATATTGTGGGACAAACACGTACAGTATGTGAAGGAATAAAAACAAAAATGAATGATAAATAATGTCAAGAATGAATAACAAATGTGAAATAATGACAAAAGGCCAGTTTTTCACATGATATATTTTATCTTATGGTATTGGTAATGTTTTGTTCTTCCATTTGCCCATATACAGTGGCACCTCGACTTACGATTGCCCCGACTTACGATAATTTCGAGTTACGATGTAAATTTCATCGAAAAATGCGACTGTCGTCGACTAACGATATTTGTTGGTACACGTTCGTGTTGACCGAGCGCATGGTTTGACCTGCCTCAGTTTACTACAGCTGCCCACTTAGTGATGATCGGGCCTATAAGAAATTCCGCGTTTGTGGTGATTTTTTGCATTTTGAACATTTAAGTAATTATTATATATCACACCATGAGTCCCAGGAAAGTCAGTGGTAAGGCTCAACATATGAGATCCCATGTAAGAATGACCATAGAGCAGAAACAAGAGATCATTCGTAAATATGAAGATGGTGTGCGGGTTGTTGAACTGGCTAGGCAGTACAACAAATCTCAGTCAATGATATCCACCATACTGGATATCATTGAGAAGAAAAAAGAAAAGTCCTTTTAAGAAAAAAGGACATTTATGGGTGCTAAACTGGCAAAAGGCGTATCAATAATCATGAAACATAGAACACAAACACTTGAAGATGTTGAACAGTTATTATTAATTTGGATACACAACAAGGAGTTAGCGGGTGATCGCGTTTCGGAGGCCATCATTTGTGAAAAGGCAAGAAAATTGCATTAAGACTTTTTAAAGAAAACCCCTGGAACAAGTGATGCAGAAGCGAAAGAGTTTAGGCGAGCAGGGAAAGCAGAGTTTGAGAAATTTAGAAAAAGAAGTGGAATTCATAGTGTTGTGAGGCATAAGGAGGCTGCCAGCTCAAACAAACCAGCGGCTGAAAGATTCATTGGCGAATTTAAAGATTTTATGCAGAGTGAGGCATACCTACCACAACAAGTGTTTAATTGTCACGAGACAGGGCTATTCTGGAAAAAGATTGCCAAAGAAAACATACATTACCAAGGAGAAGTCATTGCCAGGACACAAGCCTATGAAAGATCGGTTTACTCTTGTGTTGTGTGGTAATGCGAGTGGCGATTTGAAAATTAAACCCTTACTTGTGTATCATTCCAAAAATCCAAGGGTTTTCAAAAAAATATAATGTGCAGAAACACAAAATGTGTGTGATGTGGAAGGCTAATGCTAAGGCATGGGTAACTAGGCAATTTTTTACGGAGTGGGTGAATTTGGTGATGTGCCCTGCCATCAAAAAATATTTGCAGGAGAACAGTTTGCCACTCAAGGCCCTGCTTCTCCTCGATAATGCTTCTGCCCATCCTCCAGACTTGGAGGATTCATTGGAGGAGGAATTTAGTTTTGTTACAATAAAGTTCCTTCCTCCCAACACCACTCCTCTACTTCAGCCTATGGACCAGAAAATCATTGCCAATTTTAAGAAACTTTATGAAAGGGCACTTTTCCGGAGATGTGTCGAAGTGACGGATGCCACAAACCTCACCCTCAAAGAGTTCTGGAAAAACCATTTTAACATTTATAGTGCTTTAAAACTTGTTGACAAAGCCTGGCAAGAAGTGACTGTAAGAACCATGATCTCTGGCTGGAGAAAACTGTGGCCTGCATGTGTTGCAGAATGAGACTGAGGGGTTTGAGCCTGAACCTGAAGTGCCTCTTGTTGAGGAAATTGTTTCTCTGGGTCGGCAATTGGGTTTGGAGTTGGATGGTGCTGATGTGGAGGAGTTGGTGGAAGAACACAACGAAGAACTGACAACCGAAGAACTCCTAGCCCTTCAAAAGGAACAGCAAGAGGAGGCAGCTGAGGAAATTTCTTCAGGGGAGGATGTGCCAGTACAGAATGTCTCTTCCTCAACAATTAAGAAAATGTGTGCAGCATGGGAAGACTTGCAAACCTTTGCTGAAACGACTCGCCTAAATCAAGCTGCAGTAGGCCGTTGCCTTAACCTATTCAATGACACTGTGATGCATCATTACAGACAAATGTTAAAACGAAGGGAAAAACCAAATGTCTCTTGACAAATTTGTAGTGAGACAAGCACTGAACCACAACCAGGTCCTAGTGGTATTCAGGCAAAACATAGGAGAGAGTACCTCAGAGAAAACATCACTGCCTGATGTGATAATGGAAGGGGACTCCCCTTCCAAACAGTAACAACTCTCCTCCTTCCCCCCCCCCCACATCACCATCTTCCACATGCCATCAAGAGCCCTCCATAAAGGTAAGATAAACTTAGGTACTGTATTGTAGTTAGAAAAAACACTATTCAGTATAAAATGTATTTGTATGTTAATATTTTGGAGAGTGGGGAACAGATTAATTCAATTCCCTTTATTTCTTATGGAAAAAATCGCTTCAACTTACGATATTTCGACTTACGATCCATTTCTGGGAACGGATTAGCATCGTAAGTCGAGGCCCCACTGTATTACTTTAGAGCAGTCTATTGCAAACAATGACACCAAAATGAACGACGTAACACAGAAATTGAGGAGATAAAACTGAAAAGAGTGTACACATTTGTGTGTGGGTGTTGCGGGTGTGCAGATGGGTGCTCGCACATGGGTAACGCTCGGCTGATTTCCCGGTTTTCTGTGGGTAGCGTGCCTGTTTGTTTTACCTTATATGCATATGTAGCTTTAATGAATTCTATTGCGAACAATTTGATACCAAAGTGGACGATGTAACACGTAAATTTACATGAAAACACTGAAAATGAATATACTGTACACTTTAGTGCAGTTATTGTGGGTGTGGAGATGGGTGCTCGCTCATGAGTAACGCTCGGCCGATTTTCAGGTTTGCTGCGGGTGGCATGCTGGGCTTTTTGACCTTGTATGCATATATCCCTTTAGAGAATTCCATTGTGTACCAAAATGAACGACGAAACACGGACACTGATGTGAGAAAACTGAAATGAGTATACACATTTTAGCATGGGGTGGGTAGGTGGGTGTGCACTCACAGGAAATGCTACGCCCACCTTGGGGCAGGCTGGGGCACACACGTCGGGCAGCTGAAAGTGTTAATAACCATTTTGTACCTAAAACTGTACGTTATGTTTAGGTTTTTCCACTGAATAACATTAAATAAGCCAACAAAAGCTATAGAAATAATATAACACTGTACTAAATTAGGTGAACAGATCACTCATGACTAAGATGCCCTTGGAGAAAAATACCTAACAAGGGATAAAAAGAAGGTTCCAAAATTATCAGAGGTTGCACACAGCCAAAACATACTAAAGAAAATTATCCTACTTTATCGTAATACATAAATTTTCAATCTGAAACTAGTCTGGTAGAGAGTTCTACAGTTAACAAGAGACAGAATTAAATGAGACAAAAGCATTAACTATAAATCCTAACATCTTTCATGAATGAAGATAAAGCTAGTATTGCAGCATTGCTCAAGACAACTATTACAAGTATCGACAGAAGAACACGGAAGGTAAGAGAAACTAGCTTCCCAAGCTGTAGAAGGTGCAAGTCTTGCAAAATAGGCCATACAATGAGATGTGAATGAATAAGCTTTCATACTGATAAAATCCAAAACCAAGTGTTCTCAAGCATGTCAAGTTTCAAATAATATTTTACATCATATTCTATAACTCAAGTACACATAAAAAACCAGCGTAGAATGTAATAAAACGCCATTTTCTGGGCGAGACCCGGAGGCTCCCAGAAGCTATCCAGGCTGATATAGACATATTAGACTTTGGCATCAGTCAATGAGCATGGCGTTCTAGGCCAACTGGGGACCACAAGCCAGAACCTGGCCCCCTCAGAGATACACAAGGAGCAATGGCCTATAAAAATCCCCGTGTGGTTGGAAGCATTCTCCGTCTGCCATCGACCGGGTCAGGCACCCAGAAAGGTAAGCGTGCCCCAAAACAAACCCCCTATTATGGTTAACATTGCTACTGAAAGTCTAACTAGTAAGCAGAACTCCTTAAATAAAACGAGCAAACGAGCATGAAGTCACTACGCCGCTGTTTGCACAACCCCCTCAAGAGAAGGGGGAGCCCCAGGCACTTGTGCCGGCTACCCACACTCGAGTTCTGAGGTTGGATGTCAAAACCCGCAAAAAATCCGCTGACCGAAGGGAGGGAGGGTAGCCGGGTGAGCCCCCAGGTCTCGATCAGAAAATGGCGTTTCATTACAATCAATGCTGGTTTTCTTGGGAGAGCCCCTGCAGCTCCCCGGAGCTACCTACCAAAAGACAAAACCAAACAATAGGAACTTACCCGGGACCCAGGGGTCACATCCATTGGAAACAGAGCCCCCGTGGCGTTTCCCAGGGCCCTTAGTCGTGGTATTCCTCTAAGGAAAGCCCAGGCAGGGTACAGTACTTCTAACCGGCGCTCAAAGCTACCGAGCAAACTGCTAAAGCTTCAGTACATCTACACTCACAGGGGCCCAGCAGAGGACCACCAAAATACAATAGGGTGTGACCAATCAAAGGCAGACCCCCACCAGGAAGGAAAAAAATAGGAAAATAAAACCCCGCAAGAGGACAAAGTACTCAGGCAGAACAGAGTCGGCTGCTATGAGAGGTTATAGCTAGCTGCACAGTAACCTGGGCCCCGACCAGTGACAAAAACTATCCCCCAACCAAGAGGCAAACAGGGGAGCACCGACTCCAAGGGCAGTCAATCACCAAGCAGCAAAAGACACAATGGAGGTAGATCCTAAGGTGACTTGTGGAAGGTGGCTCCACGCCCCAAGGGCAGTACTTACAGAGCACCTAGGCAAGGTGACCCTAGGCATATGCAGCCTGAGTACTTGTAAAATTACTCCTAGCTTGCACACCACCACACCACAAGGCACAGAGCTGGAGACAGGAAAACAGGAGCCAAAGATACACGACCATTGCCAATCACATCACATGAAGAACTGGGGTGTGGGTAGCCGGTGCAAGGGATTGGATCTCCCCCTTCCAAGGAGGGTAGAGGGTGTACAGATAGCGGCGCGGCGACATGGTGACGTCACGCTCGTTTTAATTTGGGGAGTTTTGTCCACTAGTTCGACTTTCAGTAGCAATGTTAACCAGAACAGAGATTTGTTTTGGGGCACTTACCTTTCTGGGTGCCTGACCCGGTCGATGGCAGACATAGAATGCTTCCAACCACACGAGGGTTTCTATAGGCCATTGCTCCTCATGCCTCTCTGAGGGGGGCCAGGTTTTGGCTCGTGGTCCCTGGTAGGCCTAGAACTCCATGCACATCGACTGATGCCAAAGTCTAATATATCCATATCAGCCTGGATAGCTCTGGGGAGTTGAAGGGGCTCCCCCCAGAAAAACATTAATAATGCAATCCAGTACATTCATGAACTTAAAATGAAGGTCTAAATTTTTTTTTTATTCCAAAGCTAACTTCATCAGGGATGAGCACCTACTATACTTACCTTGTCTTACCAAGAGAAGAATCAATTTATCTCGCATAATCTGGTCAACTCCACACTTGATGCTGCCTGAGGACACATTGGACATAGTTAAGGCTCTTACAATGTAACAGATCACTGTGTACTGCTTGAGGAAACACTGGGCATGGGTAAGGCTCTAACAATGTAATAGATGACTGTGTACTGCCTGAGGACACACTGGGCATGGGGTAAGGCTCTAACAATGTAATAGATCACTGTGTACTGCCTGAGGACACACTGGGCATGGGGTAAGGCTCTAACAATGTAATAGATCACTGTGTACTGCCTGAGGACACACTGGGCATGGGGTAAGGCTCTAACAATGTAATAGATCGCTGTGTACTGCCTGAGGACACACTGGGCATGGGGTAAGGCTCTAACAATGTAACAGATCACTGTGTACTGCCTGAGGACACACTGGGCATGGGGTAAGGCTCTAACAATGTAACAGATCACTGCATTCTGCCTGCAAACAAATAAATTACTGTTTAAGACAGAAAGATGCAATTAAGACTTTTGCAAGGTACAACGTGTCTGATGTTCAGTAAAACGTGTCATCATGCTGTCAAACTAAAAAATGGCCTTTGTTTTAAAGACCTCGCATATATCTACTGTATCAAGGCTTTCAGTCCACAAGATTAAAACTAACCACTATTAATATTTCAAAACTACTAATTAACAAATATGGTAATGAATAGCCTAGGATTTGCTAATTAACTGAAATTCTATTTTGAAGCATAAACAAATGCTACCTTTGACAATAGTAACCAGTGTGTTGTAAAGTACCACTAGTTATTAAATTTCTTTTACAAAGAAACAAAACTTGTTTCTTTATTAAATACAAAAAAGCCAAAAATGTATTTTCTGCATTGCATAAAAAATTGTTTAATCTATAATAACTTACTAGTTACTGTTTAAGCATTTGTAAAGAACTATATATTATCCATTCAACAAAACTAAACAGTTTTACTTTAGCAAACTGACGATTTTGAGAATAATGATTATCTCTCAATTAAAACAATACGTAAATATTTAAAATGAAGCATCTTATATTCACTTTGAATAATTATGTTAAGCCATTACAAATTTATAGCAAAACCATTAGTTACTACTGTCAAAATATACATTTGCTATCCGCTTTATGAAAAAGCAAATACCAAACTAATTACAAATACAAAAGTGGTAGCCAAGATGTATTTGATAAACATTGAGCCAACAATCAATTGAATACAATATTATGGTGAAAGTAAAGTAGCATTAATAAATATGTATTCCTTATTATAATGAAATCTTAAGTTAAAGCTTTTAATTAATACTAATCTATATATTTAATTATTTTCTAAACCTGAATTATATTGAAAAATAAATAAATAAAAAATATCCAATGTGCTGCCATGCCTGCATGTTATTTATATTTTCTAGTGTGAAGGTTGTGTTTTTGTAGGACATACTTGCGAGAGGGATTACACACTAGTCTTGCATACATAAGCACTGCATAACTTTAAGGTACTCAGTAAAGTGTTATGCTCCAAAACAACCAAGAGTGAATTCCATATAGGTTCTAAAGAAAAAATTCCTGTGCTGTACTGATATCATCAACAATCTATACAGGAGCCCGTATGACCCATAAAGGAGCCCATAAAGGTGGCTGATGCAGCTTCATACACACAAATATATAGACTTCCTAACCTAATAAATCTCTCTTACATTACACATATCCACATTCCCTGTTTCAGCTTATAACTCAAATCAGCATGAGGTTTTGGCAACCCACTGAGTGCATTCAACAAATGAAAGCATTTCTCAATAGTTCCCCCCTTATGTTAACCACTGCACTGCTTAACACGCCTTGAGGCTCTCAATGGGTGGTGCGTAACGCGCCTCAGGGATCTCATAGGTATAGTGTATCATTTAAAACTCCCGTAGCTACACGGGATTCACATCAGCTTCCTCAGGGCTCTCCTAAACAGACACCATTAAAAAATAAAAAAAATTGTGGGCATCATTCCCGGGAGTGAAGGCCTCGGTACTGAGTGAACAACCAAGGCTGGTGCATGCAGCATGAGCTAACAGCATTAGTGTTCAGCTTGTGACTACAGCATTGCCTAAAAATGTCCAAATATATATGTATCTGGTATTACTTAGGCTCTTCTGTAATACTATCATGGCTGACTGTGTACAATGTTCAAATATCAGTAAATAAATGCTGTTCAAGATGTTCACAGCGCTAGCCACAGCAGTCATTATTTTGTCCATCTAAAATTCTTCAAACGATTTCTCATGTTCCTTTCCAAAAACATGCAGAAAATTATTCATTTACATTATTTAGTGACCAGGATTCTGATAATAGCAGGATTGTGGTGAGAAATAGCAGTGGGAGGAGTACTGTTGGCGAGAAAGAAAGGGAGGGAGAGGTGGCGTCGGCTGCTGTCTGGTGTGTGGCAACATGTTATTGTCTGGAATCATACCAGCTTAGTGGTTTGCTATGGTGAACACAAATGTAGATACTTATATATAACATGTGTATAGAGTATAATAACAGCAAAAGTAGTTTGTTGGGAGATGCCATTTTAGTGAGGGAGTGAGTGAGGCAGTCATCTGCTACCTGCTGTGTGACTTGTCATGTAGTGGCTACTATGCTATTTGGACACCATACCAGCTTAATTGTACAGTTATGGTGAATAAAACATGTAGATACGTATATATAATGTGTGCATATAGTGTAATAAGACCACAAACAGTATGGTTGAGGGAGGAATGTGAGTGACACTAGCCTTGAACCAGTAAGGGAGACAGCCATCAGCTGAGTGTGGGGCGACCTTTCTTTTATTGCCTGAACTTGCCATACCAGCTTAGTTGTACAGTTATGGTGAATAAAACGTGTAGATACTCAAATATAACATGTGTAAATAGTGTAATAAAACAATAACAGTATGGTGGGAGGCAGAATGTTGGTTCGTGGGTGTTGAAGGAGGGAGGGAGGGAGTCAGCCAGCAATCTGCTGGCTGCTGTGTCATGGCCACTTTTGTTTTGGGTTCAATATACCAACTTAGTGGTTTGTTATGGTGAACACACTTGTAGATAGGTATATACAATGTGTGTGTGTGTATATAGTGTAATAACAGCAAAACCACTGTGATTGATCATAGAATATAATATACTGTACATGTCACATATACAGTGAGCCCCATAATTTTGAGCGTAGCAATGTTACACACATTGAACTATATAAATTCCACAAATTACACACTTTTGAATAATATTACAGCAAAAAACCAGAGAAGAAATGAATGATTAACATCAAAATAATTGTGAAACTTTATATTCAAACGGCAACTGCCGCCCCACGGGGTGGCGGGGGCCTAGTGACTTTGAGTGCTCCATCACTCAACACCCATAATATGCTCAACTTCCCAGCTCCATCGCGGCTAAAGTATGTCACATACGATATTTTGTTTTAGTTTCCCGTGATCAGAGACCGCATTTTAACACTACAAGATGATAAAAATTTTTGGAAAGAAATTATTTTCGGCGCACTATGGGTGTGTCGTATTTTAAAGCAGAGCAGTGCAGTGGTTAAGGTAATTCCAAGGAAGATGACATGAGAGAGCGACCACAGAGAACAAAATGAAAGCATTATTAGAGGCAGCGATATACAGAAAACTGTTGTATGCTAAAACAATAGATTAAAAAAATTGCAAAATGAATACCAAAATTCATGTCACACACACACACAAAAAAATAATGGATCTGTTTTCACAGCACTTTTGTTAAAATGACGAGCGAGACAAAACTGCACTTAAAAGAATGATGGAAAATGCACTTACATAAAGATGCTAAGAGCAGAAACAAAATACACTTGGGAAGACTACTAGTATGTGTGTGATAAGAAATATGTCAAGAGCCTACACAAGAGCCATCCACCTGGACAAGAGTGAAAAGACCTATTGATGATTAACTTACATGCAAAATCACATGGGAGACAGAATTGCCTTCTTTCATATGCACACAGAAGTAAACCTTAGCATCAATAAACAAAAGCAAACAACAATAATTATTTCAATATACTGTACAGCACTATATAATTTTCCCAGGAGTTTGTGGATGGGTAGAACAATGTAATCATACGAACTAACAAGAAGGCAGCTTTGGATTTAACGTTTAAAAAATCTGGTAACTTACCAGTATCAACCGAACCGTTTGACATCTCAAGGCATCTGTAGGGCATCACTGTCCAATGAACTTCAGAATACTCTTTACTATTTTAAAAAAGATAAAGTAGTATTCAAGATACAGATACCGAAGGATTTCACAGTCAGTAAAACAAACGTTTAATCTGTACGGTTTTTACTTTTATTTGTAATTATTCCTTAACATTCATAGTACAATGGAGCCTACATTACAACAAAATATGAAACAAAGGAACTCAAGGAACAGTACCTGATCCTAACCGAGGAGTGATCGATCTTGACAGCAGTTTCTAACTCTAAGGAAAAAATTAATCGGACTGACAGTGAAATTCAATAACAGGGTAATGCCCTTTGGGGGTATCACGAATGAGCTTCGTGTGCCCATCCTAGGTTGCTAGAGCAGCGCGGCACGGCATAGCCACGATGGCGGTATGGATCCGGGCGGAGCCGACGCGACGCTACAAGTTACGAATACACGCTGACACCACACTACCGCGCCCCGCACCAACGATCAAGGGTTCAGCGGCGGTGCTCCCGGCGTATGTCGCGCGCTTAGTATGGCCGGCGGTCCGGTGGGCCGTAACTGCGGCAATAAGGAAGGGGAGGGAGTTAGTTCTCACCTGTGCCTTCTCTATGTCAACCATCAAATTATCATGAAAATAAACAGCCTTAAATCTAAAATGAAATGGATGCTGAAGATTTCATCAAATGATGTTAAGAATTAACTAAGACTAACGATGCTGGCTACATGGGAATTTAATGTGTAAATGATTAAATACAATACATTATACTTACCCACGCATTGGTGGAGGGGGAGGAGGGTAACTGTAAGATAGAAAAATTTTAATTAATAAAAAATAACTACTGTACTGTATTCCAACTAGAAAGTCTTCAATACCCTACCAAAATACAATGAAACCATTATACTATACTTACTTTACCACCCATTAATAATTTGTGTGTAAAATTCACATGCTATACTGTAGTAGCACATACATAATACTGTACTAATTGTACTCTACGCAATATTCCAGAACCATTAACACTTTTGCATTATGTGTATGTGGTGCCTATCCTTCCGAAAGCTTGTTTACCGATACATAAAATACTTATATTGCACAGTGCTTATTTTTTTGTTTGTAAATCTATTTATAGGGGTAAGAGAAACATTAAGATCAATGTTATTTTTAAATTTATTATTTCTCTGTGATTCAGTACATTATTTATAATCATCAGGTTTACTTATATCTACTGTATTTATCACCAGTGCCACCCTTCATTACAGGAAATTCATTTAAGGCTCCAGATCAGCCACTTAAGTATATCTTTTGAGTCTACTAGAACAATATCATTGGCTTGGCATCTCTTACTGTTGTGAGTTACTTCATTATTCATTTTAAATATAAGTTCACATTACTCCCAGATCATACAAGTTTTCCTTCCATTATTTTGAATAGTTTCAGTTTCTTCTGAAGTTTCAGCAATTTACGTAAGTGTCTGAATTATGCTTTTATCAATCTTACAAAATATCCAGATATGTAACCCATAGAAAATATTGAAGATAATCAAATAGAGAACTCTGGAATATCTGGAGAGGACTAACTTTGCAACCGAGAGCGTGATCCACGAATAGGAAAAACATGGCCGACTAACCTGACCAAGGTCTTCAACAAGTGCTACGATTGTGATCTCGGTAATAGAAAAAGTCAACAGGATCACTCGGGGGGTGTAGGCCACATAATAGAAGGTAATTATCTAGTTTTGATGATTTTATGGTGATTAGAAAAAAAATAATTCAATACTATACAGAGAGTAATCACACTAACGTGACTGCATCAAATGAGAAACTCCATAGGAGTTGTGATGAGGCTTCCAGCCTATACAATGGGTGTTGCCATGCACACGCTCTAGTGACTTGACCACGACATGGTATAAGGATTGAAACCTGGAGTTCTACTAAACACACAAGGGTTTTTCCAGAGACATCTACTAAAGCCAGACCAAGATTATCCCACAATCCCCCCAGGATTGGGGGGATGAAAGAGGAGCATCAGATATAGAATATTCCTAGATGACAGCCAGAGTGCATGGGGGCTTTTTCTTAGGAAAAGCATTTGAACTGATTAGGTTATGTAGTGCCACATTACGAATACAGAACTGTACTTACCGAGGTGGTGGAGAGCGTCTACCATATCGCAGATAATCAGGATGTGGAGGTAGCGGTGGCAACCGTCGTTCGTATAAATCATCTAGCATGGGTGGTGGTGGTGGAGGATGATCACCACGACGTTCATACAAGCCTTCATCATAATAGCGATCGTAACGATCATATCTGTCAAAATCATCCTGAAAACAAATTATTTTATTTATACAAGTTAAATATTATACTTTGCAATGGCTTTAATTATTTTTGCTAATATTATATTAAATATATTATACATATACAATACTGTAATGCATTTTACATAATGCAATCCTTTAGTGCTCAAACAATATAATCAGTCCCAAAACTTGTTGATCACACACAAACGTATATAAACATAAATATTGTAAATAGATTTGAAAGCAACTGACCCTATACCGCAACATGCGCTCTCTAGCGTAACTGGGTGGTGGTGGTGGTGGATAAGGATCATATCTGCTACCGAAGCTACGGCCTCCTCGCTCTCGATCAGGATAACGAAAGCCTCCTATGCGTCCATCTCTGGGACATTCCTTGGACCAATGACCACCTGACCCACAGCGGTAACACATGTCTGGATTTCCCATCCCAGCCTGCTGCCTGACCCGAGAAGTAGATTCTTGGACCCTAAGGCGCAGACCATGAAGCTCATATCCATCTAGTTCCCGAATGGCTCGTTGTGCCTGAGCCTCATCATCCATGTGCTGAAAAGTCAAACAAAAAAATAAGTGTAAGGTAAAATATTTGGTATTCTTATGTCTGTTAATTCTCTACAAGTACTATAGTCAGCATCTCATTCTTCAAGAGTTTGTATAACACAAACCTTGACCTGGAGTATTTTAACACCAAAAATCAAACCAAGTAAGAGTGAATCTACTCTGAACATTTTGGCGCACAACACCCAAATACAGAACATTTTAACCTTATGACTTCTTACTATACAGGTAATTATCTGCATTTATGTACTATCTAGGTTAAATCCTGGCATGTAGGCACTTTCAAGGCACACTACATAGAATTATATACAGTACTACATAGATTTATAATTTAACAGAAGTACAGGTAATTAGCAATATGATGTTCAGGTAATCATTTTATTGTGAGAAGAGGAAGATCAATATACTGTATATTTGGAGAGTTTAATCCTTAAGCAGCTAGGGGTCCTAAGGAGATTTACACCCATGCTCAAGAACAAAAATTTTAATTTTTTTTTTCGTCTTTAAAAAATTTTAATCTGTGTTCCCGAGCACGAGAAAAATAATAAAAAAATCATAGGCGACATATTTTGGACACAATAGGCCGAGGAAGTCTGGCAAAATGTGGGCGTTGACAGAGCAGCTGTCAGAGGCGGTCAGTGTCACCCGAGCTGAGAGGCGGGAGTTGCCACAAAGATATTATTACCTAATTAGGGAGAGGAGCCGGTCGGCCGAGCGGACAGCACGCGGGACTTGTGATCCTGTGGTCCTGGGTTCGATCCCAGGCGCCGGCGAGAAATAATGGGCAGAGTTTCTTTCACCCTATGCCCCTGTTACCTAGCAGTAAAATAGGTACCTGGGTGTTAGTCAGCTGTCACGGGCTGCTTCCTGGGGGTGGAGGCCTGGTCGAGGACCGGGCCGCGGGGACACTAAAGCCCCGAAATCATCTCAAGATAACCTCAAGATAATTATTTCAATGTCTTTGATGTTTTCTTATTTTTTTGCAGTAATATTATTCAGTAGTGTGTACTGTGATATATTTATATAATAAAAGAGGTGAATCATCGCTATATTCAAAAGTATGGTGAGCATACAGTATTAGTGATTCAATTATTATGTTCATAAAACAATAAACAGTTTTGCTGTTATTACACTATATACATAGGTTATATATAAGTATCTGAATGTTTTATTCACCATAACAAACCACTAAGTTGGTACTGTAAGTCAAAAAGCAATGAAGAGTGGCCGCCACACCAGTCAGCCACTCGCTACCACTCCTCCCTCAACAACACCTCATTAGCCCACATTTTCCGCCCACCATACTGTTTTTGCTTTTATTCACTATACACAGACATTATATAGAGAACCACTGAGCTGGTATAGTGAATGCAGGCATTAACAGGTGGCCACACAGTCTCCCTCAGCATTACTCCCGCACAGCGCTAATTATCACAACAATCTTGCTATTATCACAATCCTGATCATTGTTATCACAGACAGGGTTCATCTGTAATACTGTCATTGCTAAATAATAGCAGTTACATATTTATTTTGACATTTTTATGGGATGCTGTGGTCACAAGCTGAACAGCAATGCTGTTAGCTCATGCTGTGTGCATCAGCCTTGGTTGCTCCCACAGTACTGTGGCTCTCACACCAGAGAATATAGTCCACAATTTTTTTTTAAACATGGCATCTGTTTACAAGAGCCCTGAGGAAGCTGATGTAAACCCCGAGTAGCCGCGGGCCATTTGAATCGTGCCCGGCACCCCATGGCATATATATACGCTATGCGCACGGTGGGACATAGTTACTCATGGCGTATATATATACACCATGTGCAGTTTAAGGGTTAAGAATATTACCTTATGTTCCAATAATAAAAAGTCAATATGTCAATTCCCAAGATTAAGGCCACATAAAAATTTACATAAATTAAACTGATATCAGTGATTTTCATTATTGCAATATGCATCATAAAAAAATAAAATAAATAAATAAATGTTTATTTAGGTAAGGTACATACATACAAGAATTTTTTTTACAAAGATTGGTGGACTTATAGATAGAGCTAGTACATACAATGCCTAAAGCCACTATTACGCAAAGCGTTTCGGGCATGAAGAGCAAAAGACAATTTATCAAATTTACACTATAATTTACTTACAATAAAGGCATAGTTGGTCAAAATGTCAGCCTCTACTACACTGCCATATACTTCAAACAGGCTTTTCAGTTCCTCAAGTTTGGAATCCTTATGAAGATTGCCAATAAATATTTTTGTCTTCTGATTTCCACCCTTCCTAGCACCAGTGGAGGCCTCAACTACCATTGGCTGAAATATACATTTCATTAAAATCTAAGATGTACAGTACTGTACTTGCTCTTCTTAAAAGCAAAGCAAATGTAAAATCATTACATATATCAATGGTGTACAACAACAAACTATAATAGTAATATAATTTGGAAAGTATATTTAACAATGAATTAAAACAATAACTGGGTGATTTTCTTTATGCCCTGCAAGTTCAGTATGTTAGGTATGTACACAAGTGAATTATTACCTTTTCCAACTTTAAAATCTTACCTTTCCATGAATAGAGTGACCATTCAGTGCTTCTATGGCTGCCTGACCCTCATCTTCCTTTTCCATGTGAACAAAACCATAATTTTTCACAACATCAGCTTCAACTACAGTACCATGAGCTTCAAAGAGTTCTCTGATATCCGAGCCAGTTGCACGGTCACTTAGGTTTCCAACAAATATCTTAAAAGTATTTCCCCGCACAGGCATCTTGACTGTTATCTATTTAAAAACAAAAATAAGTTTGCAATATTATTAAATATCATTAAAATTAAAATGATTAAAAACAATATACCACACAAATGCTTCTTAAAGATATCTCGGGTTATTCTCTAAATGACCATATTTTCCTAGTGTAAGATGTAATGCTATAGTGTGCCTTCCCCCTGCTTTTGTCCCTGTTTTGTGTTTAGATTTTATGTCATCTAGATATTGTATCTAGATCCTCATACATAATGCAGAACAGCCAGAGATTCTTTGAACCTAGTCATATTCAATGTGTGACATGTCAGTTTAGTGACATGTCACTAAGTGTTACTTGCACTATACAAATGTTTTGCATTTTTTTGTGGTAACATTGACTCTACTATTTCTAGTTAACACACTTCTGTTTTCTTCAAATAAATAATACTGTACAAGAGACAGGAGTTCTTATCTAATCATACTTTTTATGCATCTATTGGATAACACAAGATCATGTTCAAGTGTCATTTACTGCAAGTTTGACAAATGGCATTAACTTTATTATGTTCTTGCTGATTTGTAAGAGGTTGAGGTTTGCTATGGACCAATATATGCTGGGAAATGCAAAGATATAATACTTTACAGTGAAACAAATACATTTCATTAGATTGTTGTCACTAGTGGCAGTTAGTTTATTGTGCACCCAATACTCATCCTCAGTGGTACCATAAAGGGGATGCTGAGAGTACAAAAGTCTTAAATCATACCTCTGTGGATATTTGACATTACCTTTTACAATTTATCTGCACATCTTAAAATTAATCATAGATAGCTATAGGTCCCCCCCCAAGGTCTGATCCTCCCCAGGATGCATTCCCACAATGAGTTGCCTTACTTCCGAGTATCTATTTATTGCTAGGGGAAAGACGCCTTAGGTGAAAGGAAACACATCCAACCATTTCTGTACCACATGGAAATTGAATCTGGGATCCCCAAGTGTGACTCGTAAACAAAACCGAGTCAGTATAGAATATCAGGGCCTTGATATTATAGTTTGGTTCATTCTCAACGCATAATCGGGATTCCCTAGTTCGAATCTTAGGCAGGGCAAATTATGGGGCATGTTAACTTTCACCTAATGCTTCTGTTCACCAAGCAATAAATAGGTACCCAGGAGTTAGGTATCTGTTGCATCCTGGCGAGTCAGTAGTTCCACCTTGGGGGCCTTGATACAAGCCAAACATACATACATACACAGACAAACCTAATTATGAAATTGTTAAAAATATTTTCTAATATTGGATATTACAGGGTATTAGAAGAATTTCTGTTTATGATTTTAGTCAATATAGCTTATATCTTTATCATGTACAAATACAAGCAATTACCCGCATGTTTCTTCTCTTGGCACCCCTACAGACACCCCCCCCCCCATGATGTAAATTATATACAGAAGTTTAGAACATGGTTCATTTTTCTCATTGTTAAACTTCAAATAACATTAGATCTGGCCGGTCAGTTGCCACGACATACCCAAGGTTGTCCACCAAAGGATTTTAAAACCCATCTATCCTTATTAAACCCAATGACACATACAGTTTCTACAACTAAGAAACAAGCTTTGCCGAAATGCCCGTGTAAGGTTTGTCACACCCCGGGATGGTGTAGGTCAGGAGCTTTTGTAAGTGTATTACTTAGCATACCTTATGGCCCTCCAACTTAATGTATGATGGCTACAACTTCACAACATATTCAACAAAATGTAGTTGAGCATACAATTAGTGGCCAACAGGTTGACAATTATGATTTGTACAGCTGTTGATGCAAAGTGACAGGAACTATATAAAGGACCTATAATTACTAAATTCAGTAATTAATTCATTATGACAGGGAAGAGGCAGCCAATATGTAGACTGTATATACATGTTAGGCTCATCTAGCTTCTGACTATAGTATATCTTATATCATGGTTGTTATATTGAACACATTTTACTGCATTATACCCTGAAATAATCCTCAAATTATGCTACAATGCACCTATTGATAACCCTCAAATTTTACTTTAAAAGTAGCTACTAATCTTTGTCAAATTTTCTTAAAATGTACCCGTTAACATTTTTTTAAATTTTGCTAGAAATTACTGTACCGACTGAATTTTTTTCATTTTATTTTCTTTTCTTAATTTTATTTATATATACAAGAGTTCTTACATTCCTGTGCAGCCACTAGCCTGCATAGCGTTTCGGGCAAGTCCTTAATCCTGTTCCCCGGAATAAGACTAGGTACCCATTTTACTGTTGGGTAAATAGAGACTACAGTTAAGGATTGGCGCCCAGTCAATCCTCCCCGGTCAGGATACGAACCCAGGACAAAGCGTTCCCAAAACGCCAGACGAGTGTCTTAATCACTACACCACGGGGACCGTTTGATTAAGGACTTTTCTGAAACGTTATGCATGTTAGTGGCTATACTATTACTAGAATGTAAAAACATCAATGCTATGTACTCTCATAAACCCAATGTATCTTTTTGTATATATATATATTAAAATAAATCTTGAGCCCCCCCCACCCCCTTGGCCAAAGGAACTACTGCCCCCCCCCCACCCCTGGGGTGCATCCCCACAAGCTAACTCCTAGGTACCTGTTTATTGTTTGGTGAACTGGGGACATTAGGTGATAGGAAACACGCCCAACTATGTCCCGCCCGGGATTCGAACCCAGAATTCCCGATAAAGAGTCGCGAACAAACCCCCAGACTACTACCGTAGTTAAAACGTAGTTGAGGCCGTGGGCGAGACTCTCAGGTTGGCTCCTTAACACACACAAACAAGACCTTCTCCTGGCACCAGTAATCTCAACTAATATGACAAACACATACCTACTCCCCCAATATATATAGGAATGTATCTGTCAACTGTTAGTCTTCTCGTCCACTACAACCAAGTAATAAAAGATGGCGGACACATAGCATTAGTCAAATGAGAGTTTCCTCATACTGTCTTATAATGCTTCAAAACACTTCCAAAAAATATTGTTATATATTTATATATATACACTAAATAATGTAGAAATGTGTTGCACGCCATAGGTGAGATAGATTGCTTCAGATATAATGCCGCTCGTCATTCATGATAGGGGCGTCGCTATATGATTTTGTTAGTATATTATTAAGTTTAGGTTCAAGTACAGTAGTGTGCTGCTACCTTATTCTTTGTGGAGCATTGCAGAAAGTAAATCAAGAGCTAGATATAAGTTCACCTATATAATATCCCCCATCTGGTGGTTGCTGGTCATATACATGGAATGTATCTTATCAGTTAATATAGTGACTATGCGAAACCACGACCATGCAAATTGCTTTGTAATTTATTATACACCCACTGCCTCATGCAGTGTGCGAGTCACTAACTTTTACCAAAATCTGTAGACACAACCTATCCTTACTCTCGCTCAAAGGATGGCTATGGTATGCATAATAAATTAACTAAAATCAATCATCTCATATACATTATATGTTGTGTTGATTTATGGGCGACGATCGTGGGATCGGATGCGCCCATATACATTATATGAATATATGAATTACGTATTGCTATATAATGAGATAACCACAAGGCAGCATCAGCTGGGATGACCACAAGGCAGCATCAACTGGGACGACCACAAGGCAGCATCAGCTGGGATGACCACAAGGCAGCATCAACTGGGACGACCACAAGGCAGCATCAGCTGGGACGACCACAAGGCAGCATCAGCTGGGATGACCACAAGGCAGCATCAACTGGGACGACCACAAGGCAGCATCAGCTGGGATGACCACAAGGCAGCATCAACTGGGACGACCACAAGGCAGCATCAGCTGGGATGACCACAAGGCAGCATCAGCTGGGATGACCACAAGGCAGCATCAGCTGAGACGACCACAAGGCAGCATCAACTGGGATGACCACAAGGCAGCATCAGCTGGGATGACCACAAGGCAGCATCAACTGGGACGACCACAAGGCAGCATCAGCTGGGATGACCACAAGGCAGCATCAGCTGAGACGACCACAAGGCAGCATCAGCTGGGATGACCACAAGGCAGCATCAGCTGGGATGACCACAAGGCAGCATCAGCTGAGACGACCACAAGGCAGCATCAGCTGGGATGACCACAAGGCAGCATCAACTGGGATGACCACAACAGAGCGGGTGGACTCGTCAACCTCGCAGTACCAGTTTTTGCAACAGGTGTTGACATAGTCCAGTATTGTAGCTAGGCGACAGGTGTTATATAGAGGGTTCTTCACCCTCGACGACCTCTACCCCCGTCAGCCCCAGAGCTAGAGGCTGCCGGCAGACATACAAGGGCCTCGTCCAGGGGTCACCACCTGCCAACTCTTACAATTCTTCCCGTCATGATGAACGCTGTCAAGACGGCCAAAGCCGCTCTGCGCAAAGAAGTTAAAGTGAAACTTGATTCTTTGAGTACTGCAGAGAGAGCCAGACAGTCCGTAGTTGTCCAGGAGAAATTATGGCAACATGAACTTTATAAGAAAAGTCAGCGGCTGTCAATATTCCTGAGTATGAACGACGAGATTCAGACGGAGCCAATTCTCAGACATGCACTGGAGGCTGGCAAGACCTGCTATATCCCAAGGTTAGTCCTCATTCTCCACCTCACCCTTTACTACTACAATATATTATATAGTCACTGACAATTTTTTTAACATGGGGTGTTTGCCAATACATTATCCATTACTTTAATAGTGTACTGCATTGTTTAAGATTGACTACTTCTATTAACTTTTAAATAGCTAAAAATTTCCCATTTATACCTTAATTACTTAATGACATGAACAATTTAGTAATATTGTATTTAAATTTTTTTGACTTAATTTGCATAGGTAATATTATAATTTATCAGTGTAATCTTATTAAGTGAACAGATCACAATGGGCACCAAGACCTATCGTGGCCCATAAAGTATTGACTAGGCCTTATGGACAAAGTCTTGGTGGGCTGGAATATGGTCAGGTGGTGCCGTAGCAAGTAGTCGTGTCACGGTGTGTTGGCATACTCTACCTACATTTCAACACAGTACATCTTTTTTTTTTTTTTTTTTACTATTCAATGTACCAAAAAAATCTGATGTTTTACTTGAAAATTTACTAAAAAAGTATGAAATGCAGTACAGTAGTTTGTTTATGAGTTAGAGAGTCTCTAGCATATCCCTGACAAAATTAGTTTAATCTCTGTATCTGAATTTACCTGAGGGGTACTGACACTAGATGAGGACAGGAAGCCAACGACATTACTGTAGATTAACAGATTACAATTAGATTACTGTAGTGTTTTATTTAATAAATTATAGACCATAATTATTGACAAAGATTAGCAATTAGTACACTACAGATACAGTAATATAATTTTAGTATTGGTTTTGTTTATGGGAGTATATAGTACAGCTATACACTGTACAGTATTTGAATACTGTACTGTCTTTTCAAGGAAATATCTAAATTTATGGACAGTATGATCACTTAGAGTTAATTAATTTGATATACTGTAAGTTAAATGTTATCTGGAAAATATCATAAGGCAATAGTATTTTGTGAGTTAATTGAGAATCAGATTTTTAAATTATGTTATTTTTGTGTGTAGAGTTATTATAAATACAGGTACCATGAATTTATGTGAAAGTTCAGTAACTTTTAAAGATGTACTATTTAGTTTAAGATCTTTTACCTCACTTCAAACCAATACTGTACCTGTATACATACCATTGAGAGTGAATCATATTTTATCTTGCTTATTTGTATTTTAACTATCAATGCTCTCCTTTCTGTAATTTTATAATTAAAATTAAAATCTTACATAACTTTGTATAAAGACTTTGAAGTGGGATCAAGATTTATTTAGGGCTTGAGATGATGAGTTTATGGGTACTTGATGGTGTTGGTGCAAATTATTTTAACACTCATCTCATGAAGTATTGAACTGTTTACATATTACTAGCACATTTGACAGATATGACAGCAAATCCACCTACATGGACATGGTACGCCTTCACTCTTGGGAGGAGTATGAGTCTTTGCCAGTAACAAAGTGGCAGATCAAGCAGCCACCTCTGAGTGAGCAGTGTGAAACTGCGCTCTCTTCTGGGGGCCTTGATCTCATCCTCATCCCTGGATTAGCTTTTACAAAAGAGGGTCACAGGTAATATTATTTTAGCCTTTATTATATTGAAATATGCCAACCATACCATCAAATATATTTAAAGAGAACTTTAATGAACTGAAAACAGTTATGGTGTACTGATATAAAGCATACATAATTTAGTAATTATAGTGTACAGTATATATTTAGTTGAAGCAGGCCACAAGAACAAAGGAAGGGATGTTCCGTCAGTACTGGATCTAATATTCGCCAGAAAAGAAGAAGAGGTATTTGACATCCAGTACCTTCCTTCCTTGGGAAAGAGTGATCATGTCCTGTTGGACATTAAATATGCTTTGTGATATAATCTAGTAGAGAATGGGGACATTGAAACAGTTGATATACTCAATTTCAAGAGAGGATGCTATGGGGAACTTAGAAAATATTTTTATGGGTATAATTGGACAGACTTGTTGCTAGGCAAGGAAGTAAATGAGATGTACACCAAATTTTGCAAAATATACCATGAAGGCACACAAACATTCATACCAAAATAGAGATGCAGACCTAGGAAACAGGGTTGGTTCAACAGAAACTGCAAAAGTGCTAGAGATCAAAAGACACAAGCTTGGAATCATTATAGGAAGCGGCCAAACCCCCAAACATACAAGCGATACAAAATGCGAGAAATAACTACATGACAGTAAGGAGAGAGGCAGAAAGGCACTTTGAGAACAGTATATCAGACAAATGTAAATCAGATCAAGGCCTTTTCTATAAATTCATGGCAGTATTAAATAGTATACACATCATTCAGATTAGCTGCAAAATGCCAATTAGGTTCTTGAGATGAACCACACCTCAACTACTGTACCCCAACACAAGTCATTTTGACTGAAAAGACATTGTAAATAGATAAGATGAATTTACTATACTGTAATAATGTGGTGTTTGATGTGTTCTCATTACAGAATGGGAAGAGGACGAGGCTATTACGACAGATATCTAACCAGATGCAGAGCTTCACAAATTAATGCACCAAGTACAGTTGCATTAGCTTTTAGTGAACAGATTTTCCCTGAAATTCCCACAGAAGACACAGACATGCTTATTGACATTGTACTCTCAGCAGATTAAATGAATAATTTTATGCAAAGGTAGCCTATATAAATTTGTACTTTATAGTATTGTGTGCAAACCTAATTTTTTAATAAACTATAATTTATACAAGAAATAGTTTCATTTGTAAGATTTTACTTCACCTTTCACCACCCTGTATGTATTACAGCAACTTGGACTGGCCAGAACAAAGCTGGTCTAGCTTCTTGTAAGGTCAGCATTCAATTCCTGATGGTTCAAATGGTTGGGCACCATTCAATCCTTCACTCCATCCTCACTTCCCAGCTCCTAGTCCTAACAACTTCTTTTGATTGGCTATGAATCTGGCTGGAAAAATGTCGAGTGGAGTATTGCATGGTTCCATCTCCGGCCAATCCCTTTTTGTCATATACTGTACATCAATGATATAGATGGCAATATTACAAACCACAACATCAGATTTGCAGAAGACACCAAGATCTATGGTAAAGTAGGAAGCAAAAACAATTTTTAAGCCTTACAAAGAGATTTACATATACCACCAAATGATCAAAAATGAAAATGCTTTTTAATACAGCTGTAGTATAAAATGAATGGAAGACGTTGCATGTAGGGCCTAAGAAAGTACTGTACTGCAAGTAATTATCAAAAGAATGCACCAAGCTGGGTAGACTATATAGCAGGGCCTAAGAATGCATGTCATCAATATCATATCAATAACTAATATGCAGTAGATTTATGCAAAGGACCTAGGATTAAGGATCCAGCAATCACAGAAAGTGGCACAACGAATGGATTCTGCAGTAGAAACAAAATCCAAACCAAATTTTAGGAATAGTCAAAAGAACCTTTGACTTTAAGCAAAATAAAAGTGGTTATTTAACTATATGAATGTCTGGTATGCCCCCATCTGGCCTACTGTATCGAAGCATGGAGACCTCACCTTCAAAAAAGGATATATTTCCTCTAGTTGGAGAAAGTTCAACACATCACAACAAAATTCATCTCAGAACTAAGTCAACTCTCAGACCATTAACAGATGAGTGCCATAGGGCTAACAACACAGCAAACCAGACGTGACAGGGCTGATCTCATCGAGACCTTTAAAACACTGAAAAAGTCAGGGATAATAATCCAGACCAATTCTTTAAAGTCAAATATAGCACATACAAGGGGCAACAGCTTCACACTCAAGAAGCCACAGTGTAGGACAAAAAACATGTGTTTTCACCAATAGGGTTATAAACCTACGGAACCACTTATCTGATGAAGCCATAAGTGTAAGACATCCTCAGCCACAATGGGGGAAACCTTTAACCAGCCATTGGCTTCCTGTCCTCACTGAGGCCACTAGACAGATAGTGGCCCTCGGGTAAAAAAAACAACTTTAAAATTATACACAATTTTATTGATGTATACAGTACAAGGTAATAAAAACTGATTCCCGTGCAAGTCACCTACCTCTGTGATGTTCATTGATTTTTGTCCAATATTATGGCATGAATGATACAGATGTTTTAGGGAGCCGGTCGGCTGAGCGGACAGCACGCTGGACTTGTGATCCTGTGGTCTTGGGTTTGATCCCAGGCACCGGCGAGAAACAATGGGCAGAGTTTCTTTCACCCTACGCCCCTGTTACCTAGCAGCAAATAGGTACCTGGGTGTTAGTCAGCTGTCACGGGCTGCTTCCTGGGGGTGGAGGCCTGGTCGAGGACCGGGCTGCGGGGACACTAAAGCCCCGAAATCATCTCAAGATAACCTCAAGAAGATAAAGCCTGACTGCTCCAAACTTAAGACCAGGATCAATCGTCCGTAATAATTCTGAAATTGTCATGTTACAATACCCACATTTTCATTTATTTTATATAGGAAACCACAAAGAGTTAATGACAAAATTGTAAAAATGTACAGTTTAAAGTCTAGTAGGATTAGAAACTCAACAATCATTACACTGTGTATAACTTTATTAATGGCATAAACACTGTGCTGCATTTAAACTATAACAATGATTGCAAGAATTTAAAATGTTGTGAAGGTCAAGCCAGTTATCACCCATAATAATATGTATACAGGTACTGTACTGTGCTTCAACATATTGCTTGCAAGATACTAGGTAAAGTGAAGCATTTTATAACTAGAGTAATTGTAATCATGAAACTATACAGTAAGATAAAATCTCAGGTCACTTTATATCTCTTGCTGAAACACTTGAGTTATGCCACATTGTATGCCTAGTTATTCAAATTCATTGTTACATTTTCTTTATTTTCTAGCGAAATAACTGGAATGTTTGCTATAAAACTTTGTGCAAAATTTTTAATTAGAAGGCTGCATTATTTTTAAGAGTACAGTATCAGAGTAATTCAGAATTGTATTCCAGTAAATAATCTGAGTATAAAGCTCTATACTCAGAATTGTAGAACATAAATACTGAATATGATTTCTTCACAAATTGTATGTAGTTACAGATGCAACAAAGTATTTACTCAGCAGTATAAATATTTGTATGCTCATGTGCATAAGAAATTATTCAAATATCTTCATTTTAGTGAAATTTGCATTACATTTGATGATGACTGATTACAGTGTTGAAAAAACTCATGTCTGTCTCCAGATGTGACATTTCATAGTTTTTTACAATGACATCTTCATATTAATGGGGGCCTCGTAGCCTGGTGGATAGCGCGCAGGACTCGTAATTTTGTGGCGCGGGTTCGATTCCCGCACGAGGCAGAAACAAATGGGCAAAGTTTCTTTCACCCTGAATGCCCCTGTTACCTAGCAGTAAATAGGTACCTGGGAGTTAGTCAGCTGTCACGGGCTGCTTCCTGGGGGTGGAGGCCTGGTCGAGGACTGGGCCGTGGGGACACTAAAGCCCCGAAATCATCTCAAGATAATCTCAAGATAATAGGTACTGTATTCTTACAATGTTCTTATTTTTAGCTAAAAAATATAAAGAATATGATAATTAATTGGGATGCAGTATATTGATTTGTGAATATTTAATCATGAAAATAGGCACAACTTACATAATGCTTTTCATTAGATTGTAGTTACCTCAGGTTAGAGTTGATAAGAGACTATTGATGCCAAAAATTATTAAAATTATTAAAATACTTTACCATTAACACCTACTTCATATGGCATTGGTTCATGCATCACCACCTGAATACTGGAAAAACAATATGTGTAATAGGTATTGTGCTGTGAATCAAATTGACAAAGCACCTCACACTAGCCCTACATGCATATAAGGAAGGCTGGCCCAAAGTCAGGCTGCAATAGAAGAACTATTACAATTGTCTATACTGTATAGGTAACTTACACATATTGTGCACAAGACAGAACACGAAACAATATGTATACATTGGATTAGTTTAGATTTCAAAAAGAAATCTTTCCTGAAAGATTTCAGGAAAGACCTGGGTAAATACGAGTTCGGTAAAAGGGTTTTTGTTTTGTGGAACCAACTATCACATAACATAATACAAGTGAGATCGCTTGATTGTTACAAGCTCAGGTCAATTTGGAAACTAAGTCATTATAATAATGTAATCAGTAAGGCAAACAGTGACTGATTAGTATTAATTCTTACTTGCGTGGTGTGATACAGGTATGGTCAGCAATGAATTCCGTGAGTTTCTCGGAGACTGGTTGCGTCAGCTCTCATGTGTTGAGCCCTATACAGGTTATGTCCAGTAGACACAGTGGCTGGAACCCACCACCATGACTCAACCGGAGGTCAGTCTCCACACTCACCCACACACTCTACAAAGATATTTGTGTTGATATGGATACTTGAGAATATTATTTGTTCATTCAATCAGCTAGGTTAAGGCTAACACTTCACAGGTGACTGCATGGGCAGTCTCGACCTTGACTTGCAGAACTTTGGTAAATTTGATTGTGTAAGACTTTCATAAAAATGTTGGTGGATACATATATAATACAATCATATTTGTGAAAATCTTCTATTTAATTAATAAGCTGTATGTATAGTGTGTGACTCGGTAGATAATGTCCATGCTGTTCAGTCAGTCAGGTTAAGCACTGTTGGATCTGGCCAATAACTGGGGCCAAGAAGAGTAGAAGGGAATTGTCAGAAGAAAATGCCAAGCCATTATGACTTGGAAGGGATCAGGACAAGGATTTGGGATGAATGGGGGGGGGGGAATGGTGCCCAACCACTTGGACAGTCGGGGATTGAACACCGACCTGCATGAAGCGAGACCGTTCAGCCCAGAGATCATTTTATTACTACTACATATAATCAATAAAGTGACCTCTATAATTTCATAGAGTACTGAGAAGATCAGCAAGTGAAAGTCAACTTATATAATGGCATCATTGGTAGCCTATTCTTATGAAATTTAAAGCCAAATTGAATGAAACTTGGTACAGTACAGTATACTAAATTTTACACGGTACAGTAGTTATATAGCTGCTTGCATATGATCTTCATTTACTCCAGTCCTGACCCCCTTGCTCTAACCCTTGCTCTAAATGCCATCTAAGGAACTGGTTGTAAAGAGGTTGGTCATAGTGAGTTGAGATATAACTGCTGTGGGTTATGAAGGCCAAGATTTATTTGCAATATTTATTTGGGTCTCTGGGATATTCCTGACACAAGCTTAGCCTCACCTAATAAAAAATATGATACTGTACTGTATCGTGAATAGTTCGGCTATCAATTTGCCTGTATTTTGTGCAAGGAATTCAAACAATGATATTAAACTCTCCTTGTACTGTATGTCTGTACTTATCTCTGGAGGTTTGTTAAGTACTTCAGCCAGTTTTGTCGAAAGTTTCTTGTGAAATTCTACAGATATTTTCTCTCCAGGCAAGTTGGTTCTCAAATACACACGAGGCATTATTTTAACAGGTAGGGATCGCGTGCAAGCTTGTAGGGATTAATTTAGAGAGTGAAGGGTCTATACTCTGGATGCCTCGGGTATCAGATAAGTTATCTATACAGTATAGTTTATACACCGCAGCTCTTGAACTCTTTGTCATGCTTACTGGCCTGTTTTCAGTTAGTGGTATAGCTGTCGAAAGTCACAGAGTCCTCCAAATATAAAACGTTCTGTTAGCATAGGTGGCAAAAGTCTTGACATTATTGCAGTATCTGTAATCAATAAAAAATATCAGGTTAAGATAACTTTTAGCAAACTAGTGTTTGGGTTTGACCGAGATGCTAATCTTGTAAACACAACAAAACGGACATATGGATATCTGTCACATTTTGTAGTTATTCCCTGTAAGTAGATATCAGTAACTGGACTAGGTCACAGACCTTACTAAATTCCATGTGTTTAATATTTTCACTGAAGCACCAAATAACTGGTGATCATGGTGGATCACAGTAACCTATGGACTAATCACATAGTCTATCTGAATTTTATATTATAGAAATACAATATACTTACATCATTGAAACTACACCTCAGCGTTATCAGCTCTGATGAAATATATCTTCTATACAGGCCACTTTTGATTTAAATGTTAATATTCATATGAAGTATTCTATATGAGGGATTATACAATACAGATTAAGAGCTAGCAAACTTTTGGTAGAGTACAGAATATTTCAATGTATCCTCCAGATAAGTTCAATACACATAGCAAATGCAGGGTAGCTGTACAAAATGTGAGTGGCTGCACCCAGGAACAGTCAACATTTTGTACTATTAACTCTGAGGGGGGTGGGGAAGACTCCGGGAAACAAGGCAACAGCCTAACCTAATTTCTCCTAGGCCTAGTATAACACATACATTGTAAGTACAATATTTGGCCAAAGATTATGTTTATTAGGCCTAAGAGAGGTTTGGTTGTATAGCAGTTTTTTAATGCTCTTTAGTATTTTAATACTGTAGTTCTAGATGTGGACTGTTTTGTGTGCACATTCTTATTTCTGTACATGGAGTATGCCACCATAGTTACTGAATGTACTATAATTCTTAAAGCGTTAGTTTATTGTGCACCATAGACTCATCATGTGAGTGATAGTTTATTGTGACCCCATATTTTCATCCTGCAAGCAGTAGATTTATATGATACTAGACTAATCCTGAGAGCTGTAACTTGTTATTCAGTTAAGAATACTTTATGATTGAACACACCTAGTACTATATCATTTGTTCTGATACAGATAATAACTATGGGGTTGTATTGCACCCATTGGTCCGATGATGGTCAACTGCTAAAGTTTTGTTATCAGCATCTCAAGTACCTCTGTTTTTATTTCTCTTATCACCACTTTAAGTCTCCACTGAAATCACCACCCCTGTCATTACTATTTTTGCTACTATAACCCCAGTATTATTCTCACCTCCAATATTCATATCATAACAGCAATTGTTTCTGCAATCATATCTTTTATCAACATCATATTTATATCATGATAGTTGTGACCATGGCAGTGATGCTTCCTGTACGGGTGTGGGAATGCTGCTCCTGCCATGGGCATAGGGATGATATTCCCAGTATGGGAATGATGATCATGTCATGGCTAGACTGCTTCTAGTATGGGTGCGTGTAATAAATTATTTTCAATCCATAAATTTAGTTTTCAAGATCATGTGACAATAACAAAACTCACAACACTCACATGTTTCTGCTCCATTATTAGTAAACTTGTCATATTTGTCATGGTATTAGTTCTGGAACCGGTTAAGTTATCCTGAATCATGTATTGTGTACAGGTAATTTTTTATTGCAAGCACCACAAGAAGGTAGCAGGAATACTTGCTTCCCTCGCCATCATTAATCAGTGTCTTCATATACTAACTCAAGAGCAAAATTCTAATAACTGCAGCAGTCCATAACACTAGATTATAATGTTTTTACAATACTGAATGACTATTAACACTCATTACCTTCACTTAAATATATTAAGGGATTAAATAAACAAAATTGTATTTGTGGTTGATACAGGTGTATAAAAACTGAAATATACAACCAGTACTCATTATTAATAGAAATATGTACATAATAACTAACAAGCCTTCGATTCATGAGAACAATTATGCAGCAATGCATGTATAGAGAATATAATATTCCGGTAAATAATATTCAGATCGTCATTTACCACTGACTATTCTGTCTAGTTTACAGCTTTCCATAAAGCCTAGTAAATAATTTACAATATTCATGCAAATCCCATGATTACTCTATTTTAAATTTGAATTCTCATTTCTTTTTATGATAATTTATGGATTAGAACAAAATCATAATTTACAACACTTTATATTCAAATACTGTACTGTATTTTACCTTGTTCTTTTAAATAGATATTTTCAAAGGCTTGGAAAATCAATACTATACAGTACTATTATTTATTATTCTTTAAAATCCATTAATAAATTATATCCTTGGTAAAAAGAATCAATAACTGAATACATAAAAAAGGTGCCAAATTTATATTTTTTATAACAATGATCTTACAAAATTAGAAAATGTTTTAAATTAATTATCCAAGCAGTTACTATTTTTGTTTAATAAAGAATTTTTTTTTGACAAACTCATCTATACATACAAAATTCAATATACCATATACTATACTTGGAACGACATTAGCAAGTCTTCAGACACATCTTTACATTTCAGCAAATGTCTGAGAAGTATATACACTTCCAAGCTTTTGCATTATAGTCAAGTACATTTTCAAACTTAACTAGATTTCTACTGAGATTTATGAAGAGTTGCATTAGTAGGTGTATCACTTTCATTGTGGCACTAACTCCTTGTGGTGTACATGTCCGAGTCCTCGGGATTACTCTGGCCGTAATCTATCTCCGGTTTTGGCAGTGGTGGTGCCAGCTGTACGACGATATCCTTTCCTTCCTGCTTCACCGAGTCTCCAGTCTTAGAGCATGAGAAATAATAATTGTAAGAATTAAGATAATTATACATAAAATATGCTATCATACATTAAAACATGCAGCTAATAAAAATATTTTTCTTGCAAGACTTTTATGAGTACATATTCAAAAATATTAATGTTTCCATCTCCTATTTAGAAACTTTAACACATATATATTTGCAGTTAATGCATGTCAAATAAATCATGGGGACAACATATATATAAAGCACAATTAATAACTGGTTAGTAAAAAAAAAAAGAAAAAAAAAGTGCTGAATGTAATGAAAAAACATTTTCTGGGTGAGACATGGAAGCTCGCCGAAGCTAACCGGTCTGAAATGAATGTATTAGACCCTGGCATCAGTCTAAGCAAATGGAATTCTAGGCCTACCAGAGACCACGAGCGAGAACCTGGCCCCCTCAGAGAGGCACGAGGAGCAATGGCCTATAGAAACCCTGTGTGGTTGGAAGCATTCTATGTCTGCCATTGACTGGGTCAGGCACCCAGAAAGGTAAGCGTCCCAAAACAAACCCCTATTATGGTTAAGAAATTGCTACTGAAAGCCAAACTAGTGCACAGAACTCCCCAAACGAAAACGAGCACATCGTCACCATGTCGTTGTCTGTGCAGCTTCCCCCTCCCCAGGAGGGGGAAGGGGGGAGCCCCAAACCCTTGCACCAGCTATCCACAACCCAGTTCTGAGGCTGGATGACAAAAACACATGAAAAACCGCCAACCAGAGGGAGGGAGGGTTGCCCGGGAGTCTCTGGGTCTCACCCAGAAAATGGTGTTTCATTACATTCAACGCTGGCTTTCTGGGGGACAAGCCCCTACTACTCCCCGGAGCTACTTACCCAAAGACAAAAAACTATTAACAAACCTATATTTAAACCAATACACATGAGAGGAAACCTATAACCTATACTATATACTGTACTATACATGTTAAACAAAACCATCAACCAGGCCCCTGCGCCCGAGGTATGAACTGCACCACCCGCCCTCCGGGTGGCACGGTTCGTACACCAGTCGGATGTACACATATCGTACACACACCAGCAAGGCGTATGTAACGAAGACGAGGCACGTCAAGACAGGAAGGACAGACGAAGGGAATACAAAACAAGGCAAAACTAGATTAAAAAGAAAACAAGTAGTATGGAAGAGGACCAACGAGTCCGAGAAAAGACGAGAGGGAAGCCTCACCAGACGTCAACAGACATTCCCATAATATCGTTAGTATCGAAGAGTGTCTCAAACCTCCAAGAAACTTGAGAAGCAAGCACAAAGGCACAGAGGCACCCATGGGCCCAAAGATACCCCTGAACAAGGAACATGCAGGGAACCTGATACGAAGGGAACAGAAATGTGACATAACCGCGAAAAAGCGAGGAAAAAGGGTGAAAGCACCCCCAGGAACGACGGAACCGACGTACCCGAAAGGACACAGAACCGAACCTAGGGAGGGGGGTAGACCTGAAAACAACATGAACGCAGAGGGGGAAGGAATAACCCCCTCTGAGGAACTGCCAGCCCAGCTCCGAGGGTACAACAAACCCGAAGCGGGCCGAAACGGGGCTAAGGCCCCCAGGCAACCCCTCCCCAAGCAGGACACGGGGCCAAGCCATCCCCCCAAAGCCCCGGTCTCACAAGAAAAAGCCGGGGCAGCCGTAAAACACTAAGGAAGGGAGACCACTGGTCAGACCCTTACAGCACGGCTAGAGGAACAGGCTCGAAGACCTGCACCGCCACCCCGGAAGAGGAAAACCCCGAGATCGCCCCAGTCTCAACCCAACTAGACACTGCCTTAACTCCGAAACTGGCCGACAGTTCAGAGCTGAAAGCAAGGGAAAACCGAGGGAGAAGAACCAGGAGGAGCAGACGGAACCAGAGCCGAAGCGACTCCTACCCCCAAAGAACTCCAACAACCAAAACGGGGCAGTCTCGGGGCATCCGGGGCTGCAATGAACCAAGTGCGTAGCAGCAACCTAAACCGAGCATGCAACGTGTCTGCTGCCTGCACCCACATAACAGTATCAGAGGCCTGGATGAACTGGAGTACGAACAGACAACAAACGTCGCATGACTCCGGGTCAAGGAATCCCCGACCCAACAGGCAGCATGGTGGAGGCAGAACTGGCGAGTGTCACGACTGAGACAAGGAGACAGAGCAACCTTCAACCTCGCAAAACACGAGGGGGAACTCAGGGGTCACATCCATCAGATCACGTAGCTCCCGCGGGGTTTCCCAGGGCCCTTAGCCTTGATGTCACGCTAAGGGAAGCCCTGGCAGGGTACTACGAACCGGCGCCCAAATCTACCAAACAAATCTCTAAAAGCTGAACCCCTGGGACATGTCCACTCACAGGGGCCTAGCGGGAGATGCCACCAAACCAAAATAACACACAGAACCTGACCAGCGAAGGGAAGAGAGAGAGGGACCCTCCCTCCAGGCAGAAAAACAAAAAAGAAAAACCCCGCAAGAGGACAACATACCCAGGCGGAACAGAGCAGGCCGCTATAATGTTAGAAGACTAGCTGTGCAGTGCCCTCCGCCCCTACCAGTGACGACAACTACCCCCTACCCAGGGACACACCAGGGCAAGAAAACCCAAGCAGACCCCAAGGGCGGCCAAGTACCAAGCAGTAAAAGGCACGACGGAGGCAGACCCCAAGGTGACTTGTGGAAGGTGGCCCCAAGCTCCAAGGGAAGTACTTACTGGGCACCTAGGAAAGGTAGCCCTAGGTGCATGCAGTCCGAGTACTTCAGAATATTACTCCTGGCTCACACACCCCCTGGAGAGAGAGACCATGCCACCAGACACAGGACTGAGAAAGAATTCTGGAGCCAGAGGCATGTGACTACACCAGACACCCATCAGCCAAGAACTGCCAGTTAGATCGCCACCGTGGAGGGTCTGGGGCTCCCCCTTCCTCCTCCCAGGGAGGGAGGGTTGCGCAGACGGCGGCACGGTGACATGATGGTCATGCTAGTTAGCTAATTTTGTTTGGGGTGTTTTGTCCACTCGTTCAGCTTTCGGTAGCAATATTTTACCAGAATAGGGGTTTGTTTTGGGTTGCCTGCCTTTCTGGGTGTCTATCCAGGTCAATGGCAGACAGAATGCTCCCAACCACACGGGGGTTTCAATAGGCCATTACTCCTCGTGCCTCTCTGAGGGGGCCAGGTTCTGGCTCGTGGTCCCCTGTAGGCAAGAACTCCATGCACTTTGACTGATGCCAGAAAGTTATACATATCCATTCAGCCTGGATAACTCCGGGGAGCCAAAAGAAGAGAATCATGTTTTCTCCCCCCGCAGAAAACATGATTTAAACTGAGTGCATTCAATACGTTTTTTGAAATAACCCAAATTATCTTAACACTTTAGTGCGCGCGGCACTAGCTGGAAAAAAAAGCGGGTTGTGCGCGCGGCGTTCTGGGCGCTCAAGCGTAAACACAAAAAAGCGTATAATCTTTTCACGCTCCTAACATCAATTCTCGAGCTACGTTTTTCATTTTGGTATCAATGCGTTGGCAATAAAATTCTCTACAAGATCATATGCATAAAATGTCACCAAAGCATTTGCAATCCCACCACGAAGTAAATAAACACGAAGATGACTCGCCGTGACACCCAAACAGGAAGTAAATGTTCATACTCTTTCGTTTGTTGCCAGCCTCACGGTCATCCTACAGCGCTTATTTTGATATCACTGAACTCGCAATAAAATTCCCCACCCAGACATATGCCTATCAATGTCTAATTATGTTCCGCACGAGTGTGGGAACTGGGCGAAGCGTTAGCCGTGATTTCAGCAGCGACGACACTGTTGTGATGCAGCGCTTTGAAAGTTTATACTTATTTCACTTTCCTGAAAATATTTCTTGAGCTACGTATTTAATTTTTATAGCAATGTGTTCGCAATAGAAAGTTCTATAAGAACATGGGTAGAATTGGCCAATAGAGCATCAAATAAATTTGCGGCGAATAAAATCTTACGCGAATCTTACGCGTGTTTGTACCCGTGAGCGTAAAAAGTTTTTACTTTGCTCATGTTTTTTCAAGTTTATACTTGATTCACACCGTTTTTTTTGTTTGTATAGTGTTCGGAATAAAATTCTCTACACAGACATATGCATATAAATGTAGAATCATGATCGCGGCCAACACAAGAGTGTGTGAAGTGGGCGATTACCCTCGGTGTGTCACCAACTCAATAGTCTCTCCTCTAAGTTACAATACATTGCCGTTTTCTCAAATAGGCACTGTGCCTATTAGAGAAAACCAAAATTTATTGGCAAACATATTCATACAAACCCCAAGTCGATCGAGTAGTAAATACCCAATATAAAACACGGTCCGTAAATTTACGTCGTGATCCGACAAGCGGTTAAGCAAAACGCCCGTAATTCCAAGTGGAAAATCCAGGAAAGTGATATACAGTACAGTACTGTATATTACATACCAAAATATATGAAAATTAACTTTTGCAGTCTGTAAATAACATTAAAAGTTGTGCTGTACTGTAAATAGTGTGTACTGTAGAGATAAGTAATCTACTGTCCAAGTTTGTCGTTATAACATGTGCCTAAGGTTACTGAAAACTTGTTATTCCCATGTGTGAAGTAAGGAAAGGGAGCATCTTCCTTATTACAAAGGAACACGCACGAGAGCAACCTGAAGCCATGTATATGTGAACAACCGCTGCACTATGTGTTAACAGGCACCGGGACAAAAAGAACTAGGACTTTACCCTGGAGAAGCCTTGCCATACTGGGACAGCTGCGTCACTCCTCTCTTGGCCACTCTCAACTGCAGTCCCTGAATCGCCACCACTGCTTGGCTTGGTTTTCACCACAAAAATGTTATCACTATCAACAAAGGTCATTTCAGGTTTTGATTGTTCAGCAACTTCATTTGGTTGATTGACAGTGTCTTTTTGAGATAAGTTTTCTGTATTTTTGTCATCAACTGACACTAATTCAGCTAATCTATCGACAAGACTCTTGTCCTTCACTTCTAACAAAGGCTCTTCAGTTTCACTTGGAACTGAAACAGAACTCTCTGAACTTAATTTTGGGACCTCAACTAATGATTGGACTGCAGAATCTGAAATTGGTGTCCCCTCGATATCTTCTTCACTGGAGACCATTACAAAATTGGATTGTATCAGTGATTCTTCCTCTGATACATCTACATGTTTCACCACAGCAGCTACTGCAGCTGCTGACTGTGTGTCAGCCACCACAGCAACTTTACAAGACCTATCTGCAGTATCTTCATTAATACTGTAGATTTCTAATATATTTGTATCATTTGGCTGGTTAGCTGAAGATGGTGGTTCTGCTATCACACTTGACTCAGCACTAGTGTTTCCAGCTTCTCTTATTGCATCCATGGATAGCTTCTCAATATTTTCTCTCTCTTCACCTCCAGGTACTTTCATAGTTTCAGAGAGAACATTGTCCTCTTTTCCTTTAGTGAGAAAGTCAGACAGCTTATCAAACACACCTTTCTTTTCCTCTTTAAATGTAGATGTACCAATATTCAACTCTATAACTTTCTCATTAACCTGTTCCTCACTTTCAGTGCAACATAAATCTGAGTCTAGTTCTTTTACCCTCATGACAGATTTGGTTATTGCCTCTTCTTTACCATTGGAGAATGGGCTTGTCAGTTCATCAATAAGACCTTTTCCATCTGCAACAACTGTAGTGCTTGTGCTTGGCTTGTTTATTTTGTCAATTTTGCTTGATTCTGTATCATGCTTAATTATTATATTTTTTAATTCCTCTTCCACAGGCTCAACTCTTTCTCCCACAGACTTTCCACCACCAGCTATCTTGACTTTATGTTCATCATCTTTAGAAAAAAGATTAACAAATTTATCAAACAAACTATCCTTCACTGCTGGTTCTATTATAGAGTCTTTAGGTACTTCCAATACTTCTGTGGGGGATACATATGGCAACTTTTCTTCTGGTTCTTCTTGAGTGCTCACTTCTTTTTGCAGTTCATTTGGTATTTCAGTAGTATCCTCAGAGCTTGGCATCTTCAAGTCTACTGCAGGTAATTCTAGAGATTCATCTTTTATTCCATCAGATGAGGACGACTCATTTCCTGTGACATACTCAATAATATTCTCAATTAGTTCTTCCCTTTTTTCCTCACTCTGCATAAGTTCAACAGCCTGGTTTTCAATTTCTATAGCTTCTTTCCTTATTACTTCAGCAACATCCTCTACAGTTTCTGCAACAGTAGTTCCAGCCTCAACCACTGTCTCTATTTGTTCAGATACTTCTTCGACAACCTTTGCTTTGAATGCCAACGACTCTGATATCCCTGGAATTTTCTGAGCCTCTTCTGAAGCTTCTTGAATGGCATCTAAAACTGTCACAATTTGTTTATCAACATCTTCAACTATATCCATCACCTTGACCACACCAGAGACAGCTTCCTGTACATCTCTTGCCGTTTCTTTAACAGCCTCAGAAATGGTTTCCATTGCATCATCTGCAACATCTTCTGCAACATCCTTTGCAATACCCTCAATAACTGGCTGAAGCACTTCACCAATGCTATTTGGTTTTGCTTCATCTTCAGAAAACTTGGTCACAGCAGATGCAGAAATTGTTTTACTTTCATTAACTTTCATTTTAGCTTCACCTTGAAGATATTCCTCTGGAGTTTCTTTTGTAACAGCTGCCTCACTTTCAGTAGTCATACCAGAACCAGTAGATCGTCCCTTGATGTTTCTGGCAAAAGGTTCTTCCACTTTTTCAACAATTGAAATATCTTTATCTTCTTTAGAGAAAAAACTAATAATTTTATAAAGTGGTTTAATTTTCTCAAGTGATCCCAACTTGTTATTAATAACTGGTTCCTTCTGTGCTACAAGAAGCTGATCTGCTTTACTGTCATCCTTTTCCTCAGAATCTGAACTTGACTTAGGCTCTTCTGATGATTTTGGAGCAAGTCCCTTCAGTTCAGTATCCAAGTATGAAGTGTCCTTGATTTCAGTCTCAGAATTTTCTATCTGCCCCTTTTTGTCAGTGATAGCAAATTCCAAAAGATCTGCTGGTTCTTCAGATATAATCTCGCCACTGATTTTTTGCAGTTCTTTTTTATTTTTTATACTACTATCAGGTAGCTGTATAGAGGTTTCTTTAACTTCATCTGATGAGGGTGACTCTGTGCCTATCACAAAGTCGACAACTTTTTCAAATATTTCTTCTCTCTTTTTCTTGCTCTGTATTACTTCAGAAGCTTGGCTTTCAATGTCTTCTGTCTCTCTTTTAACTTCTTTAGCAACTTCTTCTACACTTTCTGCTATACTTGTGACATTGTCAACCACTTTTCCTGCCTCCTCAACTATCTCCGTCACTAACTCTATCTTCTCTATGATTGGCTCGGGTACTCCTGGAGTATAATGGGCTGCTTTGGTAGCAGCTTCAGATACATTTTTAGCAACATTAAGAACTGACTCCACTTTGCTACCAAGCTCCTCTACCACTTCAGCTGTTGCAGCTATTTTTGAAGCATCGTTTTCAACTTCATGTGCTGCTTCTATAACAACTCCTGCAGTCTTTTCTTCTACAAAATCTGCAACCTTCTCTGCGACAATATGTACAATATCCTCCACTTGGCCAGTACTAGACCTCTCATTCTCAATATTTGCAACGTTTTCTGGATGATGAACCTCTTCACTTATAACTTCAGCTGTCGACTCCGTAGCCATTCTGTTAGTTCCTTCAACACTTCCAAACCCTTCTGGCACTGATGGCTTAGCAGGTACCACTAAATCAGTTGGGGATCTGGAACCTGTGCTGGATTTGTCTATTAGTCTAAAGCCCCACAGTGTTATATCTCTTGCTTGCTGTGCTAGTGTATCAAAAGTAGAGAGCGTCTTGTGGGACATTACCTGTGGCATCACGCTCCTTACCTCAGCACCTTCTGCACCTGTGGTTGATGCAGGTGTTGCTGGAGGAACCTCTTCCTCTGTTGGTTCTGGGGTGACATCTTGAATAGTATGTGCAAGAGGTACTTTCTTTGGTTCAGCTTGAGTCAAAATTTTTGATTGAGGTTTCACTAGAATGAAAATGCAATGACTGGTTTGCAATCTGATTATCATTATATAATAAATTAATGAAAAAGGATAAGTAAATACATATATAAGATTCAGACTGCATTTTTCTCATGGCATCCCTAATGTAAAATAATGACAAGCTAGATGTTAATGTTAAAACTCACTTTAATTAAAAAAAAAAATGATCAATACATAAGAGTCAAAAGAGCATTACCTCCAACAACAAAGTTGTAGCCAATAGCAGCATAATCCTTAGCATTCCCGTACATGTTTTGTGAGATCTGGTAGGCTTGACGAGGATAGCAAAGAGAGGCAGCAGCTGTTAAAAGAAAAACATTGGCATGAACCACACAGGTGTGTATGTGTATTTGGGTGTAAGGTGATCATACAATTACAACTGCAAACAAATTAGAGAATGTTTATTGAGGAATATCTTTATGTATTCCTCTAATGCCACTTCTTTATATCATACAATATTTAATCATATTTCACTGATCTTTGACAATAAATTTCATCTACATTGAAGACACTTTCCCACTTACAACCACAATGTAAAGTTCCAAATCTCCTACAGACATTCCTAATCATACATAAACTCCTACATGTTTTGGTGCTAGCATCCCTCTCCTTGCTTCCAGCCACCCACTCTTTATTCTCACGCGTGCTCTCTCAGATACTGATACTGTACCTCAAAGCCCTCTGCTGTTAATGGATCATCTTGACATCTTGTTGTGGTCCTGCAACTCGAAGGGGGCAGCATTACCCTTGCTGGGATGCAACTTATTTGAAAAAACCCAGCGTTGAATGTAATGAAACCCCATTTTCTGGGCGAGACCCGGAGGCTTCCCTGAGCTTACTAGGCTGATATGCTAATGTCAGACTTTGGCATCAGTCATGTGTATGGAGTTCTGTGGGCCTACTGGGGACTGATGACTGATGCCAAAGTCTGACATTAGCATATCAGCCTAGTAAGCTCTAGGGAGCCGAAGGGGCTCACCAAGAAAAGCCTTGTTGCATCTTTTTCACTTTATTTTTAATAATAATTTTAATTGATTAAAATGATTATTAGCTTAAAAAATCTTTGTCTTTCTGACTTCCTAGTTCTGTCCATATTCAGTTTGTTTTATTCTCACACTTAAATTAATATAAGCTTTAAATTACAGTTTGTTAATACGTACTATATTCAAATAATTATAGAAATGTATACAGTGGTACCTTCGTTTACGATTTTAATCCGTTCCAAGAGACGGATCGTACACCAAAAAATAATCCAAAACGAATTTTCCCATAAGAAATAATGTAAATTGAATTAATCCATTCCACAAACCCAAAAATATTATCTTGAAATATATTTTATACAGAATACTATTCATATTTTTTAATATACTTTACCTTTATTGAGGACTCTTGTTGGTGTATGGAAGACAGTGAGAAGGGGGGAAGAGGAGACGTGTTCAGAAGGGAAGCCCCCTTCCAGTATAACATCAGGCAGTGATGACAATTCTGGGGTACTCTCTCCTATGTTTTTGCAGGCATACCACTAGGACCTGGTTGTGGCTCACTGCTTGCTTGTCTCACTAAAAATCTGTCTAAAGACACTGGTTTTCCCTACATTTTAACACTTGTCTGGAGTGAGACATCACATTCATTCACTATGAATGATCTCTATTTTTCCTCTATCGTCATCCTCAACTATTTTCTTACGATGAACTTTACCAATAACTTTCTTGGGACCCCTGGCATGATATATAATAAGAACTTTTATGTTAACACTTTCGCACCCCGGGCATGCACGCCGCCAACTTAGAGGTCACGCCCCCGGCGTACGGGCGATCGTGTGGGCGAGCGCGTGGCAAAACCGCAATATGTATACTCGTTTTAGTTTTCTCATCTTAATTCTTGTGCTACATCGTTTGTTTTGGTATCATTGTGTTCGCAATAGAATTCCCTACAGGTGTATATGCATATAATGTCCAAAAGCCCGGCGTGACTCCCCGCAGCAAAGCATAAAGTCGGCAAAAGTTACCCGTGAGCGCACAAAATCCTTGAAATGTGTATACTCGTTTCAGTTTTCTCACCTTAATTCTCGTGCTACGTTGTTCATTTTGATATCATTGTGTTCGCAATTAAATTACCTGCAGGTGTATATGCACAATAAATAAAATGTTAAATATTTAAAAATTTTGACCAAAAACGTATTTATAATCTTTCAAGTGTTCTGATATCAAGTTTCGTGTTACATCTTTCATTTTGGTATTAAATTGTATGCACTCTAAAGGTGCTCATTTTGAAACTATCCCGAAGTCGATCAGATAGTAAATGAATTTTATACAAATATTTTTTTGTCGGTCGCACATCATGTCTGATGGTTGTACTCGAGAGAAAAAAAGCGAACGCAAGTTGCGTTCGAAGAGTGCTATAGTGTTTAAAAAAAACAGAAAAACAATGAAAGTCTTTACAAAAAATTCAAGCATGATCATCACTAGACGGGAGACACTGGAAACCGAGTGCCTTGCCCGCACCCAGCAGCACCACACGCTCACTCGACCCATACAATTCAAATTTAACTATGCATTTAATGTACTGTATACCAAAAAAATTGTAAACTAGGGCAGTCGTAAACCAAGGTCTCACTGTATTACAAAATGAATGACAAAAAAATTGTATCAATAATTTTGAAGATGCATAATCTTTCAAAAAACTTGTTCACACCATATTTCAATGGTGGAGGGAATCAGTTGTTCTTCACACCTGATATGTCTGTTTACTTAGAGCAAGAATATATCCAAGTCAGGAAAGCTATGTGGGATGCAGCTTGGGAGAGGTCAGTTGCTGACCTAGGAAGAGCTCAATAAGCCACTACACTTCCTGTCCAAACAGTGGGAAACAGAATGCCAATGATACTGATGGAGGACTGAGGATTAAGTTGGTATTAAAGTAATTGAAACAAAAATACCATTGTACTAAAATAGAACATGACAAAATTCCAAGTGCTTCAAAGAGATGAGACAAAAGAGATCAGAACTGCAAAGTGCAAGCTTGAGAGAGAGCTGCAAAAGAAGGTCTATAACCGATGTACAAGGAGTGGAAAATGAAGTCATCAACATAAGAATAGTTACTAGTAAATGTGCTAAGGAAAATAATGCAAAAAGAGAGTTGGTGACTGAACACCATTGAGCTGAATACCACACTTGATAGAGAAAGAATAATTGCTATTATATATCTGCATCAAATATCAAAATTGCTAGTTTAAACCAAATAGTTTATAACTTACAAACAATACCAGTAGAAGTGTAGAGCACTTTCTTAAAAAATCCTCCTTTCTTGCGTGCTCCAATGACGAGGCCAGCCAAACCTCCCACAGTGATGGCACCAGCACGAGGCAAGATATTTTCTTCATCTGTTATGTAGTCCACAGTTGCTAATGAAAAAAATAAAAAAATATATACAACATCCTAATTCTGCAACCTAATAGTACTGAATTTTTTCACCAACCTTATATGCTTTTTATTTTGATATATATATATATATATATTAGTTTATTAAACAAGTTCCAAACAGTGCTGCTTCTGCCCTTTTCAGACTAAAAATGTGCACCAAGGATAAATGAACTCCACATTTTAATTATTAATACATATGTGTTTTAATTCAGAAATGTTAAAACCACATTCCTTGTCAACAAAATAAGAAAGTGCCATTCATTTACCCTTGGTGTACACATTTAGTCTCAAGAGTGACAAACTCCACTACTGTACTGTATTTTCCCTCAAAGAACTAAACAAATAATTTACTAACCAGAGCACATGTATATACAGTGTATAACATTAAGATTTTAAACTTTTACTCATTGATAATTATTCAACTTTATTTTTGCTAGGGGGGGTTATCCCTGATATGAATATACCTGTATTAAGCTTATAATAAACATTATCTAACAACTTGAGCTTAAGATGTGCTAAATTAAAGTTGCCTTTAAAAATAACTGCAAGAGAGCAACAGGTTAACTGAGCAGACATGAAAACAGATAATACCTGCTTGTGCAATATCCTAAGCCGAGTTACCGAGTCTAATTATTATACAGAGCATAAATGCTGGGTGACTACTTATTGCCTCAAACATGAGATGACAAAGTTCTTATTATCTTATTAAACAGTGCCATTAATTAACAAGGGAATGACAACTCCAAATCATTTACACTCTTATATGAACATGCAATGTTTATAAAATACACCATTCAAAATGACATTGAAACACAAAGATATCACACAAACGTGATACACATCAATGAGAGAATTAACTGGAGCTCCAGTTGATTTTCTTATTACAGTACATTGAAATGCAGTAAAATGACTAATACATATACCACTAAAACCAATAACATGGGAGAAGCCAAGTGTTAATGACGGTAAAAGTCCTCCTTTTTTATTTCCCCTCTGATGATAATGTATTCAGGATTAACTAGTTTTTAATGAAAGCCATTTTGAGGGGCCAAAGTACGAGAAACACAACATTATGTAAAGAGCAGCTCTTTTCATTACTGTCTTTATCATTCCTAATCATGTACACTAGTACTGTACATTTCATAATATCCACTGCTAAGCCAATTTTTCAAAGTCCATTCAGAATTAAGGGATTTAATTTGACAAACCTCCAGAATACCGTAGATCTTTCATCAGGTCCACTGAAGCTATGAAATCACACAAAATAATAAGGCAAACATTAGCAAGACTGAACAATGTGACAGGAAAATGTTGTTTATTATGAGTTTAATTCGTAATAAAACATGACACTGTATAAAATTAAAAATTAGTTAGATGACGATTCCCAACCAAACTAAACCAGCAAATACC